ATGCAGCGACCTCAGCTGCGCCACTTTGTGAAGGATCTACTTCAGCTTGTTTTGCCTCGGAAATGCTGCTTCATGCTTCACGGGGATGTCAGGTGGATGATCTTAAAGAAGCCGTGCGCTCAGAAGCCGTTTGCTTTGGCTCTTTGTCCGTTCTGGTTTGAGACCATTGTCATACTCTGATGGCGTGAGGCCATCGAGAAGAAGGCGAAGCTGAGCATAGCAGCATTCAAGATTGACATTTACAGACAGAAGGAGAGCTTTTGTTCAAGGGCACCCGTTTCTTTCCCCGCACCTCACCCCTTGCCGCCTCTCAGCTGGACTTTGCAGGACGGCCGCTGGGTGAAAGAAGAGAAGATGTCAGCAAGTCTCCGTGAGACAGACGAGCAGAGCGCTTGGTTTTGATGCATTTCGACCTCGGGTTTTGCCATCGAGCTCTCAGGGCAGATTGCTACGGATTTGTGCTGCCAGCTGTACCCATTTCTGCATAGGCGCCTCCCTCAGCAGCGCAGCATTTTACACTTGTGAACTTGCGTCGTGGCCAGGCCACTGCTGGCTGCGGCCACTTGCTGTTCTAGACTCAGGCAATGCTGCAATGTTTCACCTCGTGCAGTGGGCGCCATCGCTTCGTTGCAGAGTGACTTTGCTTGAAGGATTAGGAGCTCGATGCTCACAGGAACATGAAGCTGCGGTGTTCAAGACAAGCAGAATACCGGACCAGCAACAGTTGCCGGCGCTGGTCGAAAGCTGTTTTACAGAGGCATTCCCCTTTGTGCGCAGATGCAGTCAATGCAGTACCAAACCATTTGAAGATTTGTGTGGAGGAAGGGGTTGCACTCGTGGCTTGCCGTGCTTCAAGCGTTGCCGAGCCCTGCTGTGGAATGAGTAGGGCCGGCCCAAAGGCCTTTGCTTTTTAGTTCACAGGACGAGTGTTTTTTATGTCACGCGGGATCTTTTGCTTGTGGTTTTCGATGTTTTACGTTTTTGGACGGTCTGCTCGAACTCCTTGTTATCCTGTCCGTCCTTGCTTGGATTTGTTGCAATGCGGATTGGGCCCAAGCTGGGTGAGCAACACCCGCAATATGAAACGAGGCGATCCTCAGTGCGTCAAGCATGCCACGGTGTCCACTTCGTTGTGCTGTGCATTTGTTTGACGAATCGCTGCGCGGACAGCTGCAATCCTGAGCAGTGCAAGAGTCTGGTGACCAATTTGAAGGATTGCGTAGACACTGCGTATGTTGGTGGAGGAGACAATTTGATCGCACTGTGCGCAAGGGATGATGGGACCGAGCTTGCGGTGAGGCTCTCTGTGGTGGAGGACATTCGGCCCAAGTCAGAGTATGACAGCTTTCGAACCATGTACTTGTTTAGCAAGGATTTAGCTAGATCTCTTTGCGGGCATGATTGGATCCAGTCCCTGATTGTGCCGAAGCTCCGCAAAGCCATGCAGCAAACCTCGGTGCGGCGCATTCTCAGAACGAGTGAGTATCATGGAGAAATTCGCTGGAGAGACGAGTTTTTATGGAGGAAGATGGTGTTTGCCCCAGCACCGTCCCTGCACGAATGTTTGGCTTGTGTGCAGATATGTTCCAGAGTGCCTGTGCTGAATCAAAACCATCAGCGTGTGGCGAACCTATCCAGGTCAGTCCAGATCGGGATCAGCATCATGAAAGGTGTCGATGGGTCCTTCAAAAGCGTATATGAAAAGCTGACAGTCCAAGCCATTTCCACTATCTTGGTAGGGTACCACTTGGACCTTGCCACAATGGCAGACTCGAACCACTTCCATGATGCACACGAAGGCAACGTGCTCCTCTCTTTGTCTGGCGTAGATTTTCCAGAGATCCGCTGGCATGACTTCGGGGGCAGTTATAAGCCTGCGGGCGGGTTGGTCACGCCAGCTTTGACAGCTGACTTTGTGGGTAAGATTGAGCGCTTTTCCGACACAGGGATCAACCGTATCAGGATGACACACCAAGATTTTGCCTCAAGACTGAATGAGACGCGCAAGAAGTGCACTTTAGTCGGGCAAGAGATGGTACTGGTGCCATTGTGTTTGCGTCAACGCGCTTTCAGCTTGGTGGAAACCATGCTGAACGCGGACGTCATGGACACCTCGGCCCAGCGAAAGCTCTTGGAAAAGATTTCGCTGGGAATGCCCGAGCTGTCCCAAAAGGAGCTGTGGCGACAGTTCTTTGCAGGCAGGTTTGTTTGGCGCATTTACCACCTGCAAGGCAGCGCCGCCTCGCAACCACCCCCAGCAGTGTGGGTCTGTCAGCTGGGAAGCCCTGCCTGGACCTTACCAGCAGCTGTGTGCAGTCTTGCCTGCCCTGCATTCATGTTCAAGAGAAAGCTGTCAAAGGGTCGACTTCCTTCTCAGAAGAACTCTCGAAAGGCATTCCCTTTTGTGACGCGCAGGAATGAAGCATTCCCAAAGCCCCCACCTCCAAAATCCACTGCGTTTGTGAAAATCGCGGAGCCACTGGTTAAACGGATGGATGTGAACTGGATTGCAGTGCTTGTGCATTGCGAGGATGGCAAGGACTTTGAGATCGTCGGCAACGCATTCAAAATCACTGCTAGTGTTTCAGATGCCCACGCCTCAGCTGCGCCACTTTGTGAAGGATCTACTTCAGCTTGTTTTGCCTTCGGAAATGCTGCTTCATGCTTCACGGGGAATGTGAGGTGGATGATCTGAAAGAAGCCGTGTGCTCGGAAGCCGTTTGCTTTGGCTCTTTGTCCGTTCTGGTTTGAGGCCATCAAGCAGAAGAACCCAAATACTGTATCCTGCGACGCCTATCAACTTGACATTTACCACCAAGAGGAGAGCTTTGCGTGTCACAAACACACCCGGGCACCCATTTGTTCCATTCTCTCACCCCGTACCGTGTCTCAGCTTGACTTTGCAGGACGGCCGCTGGGTCAAGGAAGCCAAGATGTCAGCAAGTCTGCGCGACACAGATGAGCCGAGCGCTCGGACCGATGCCTTTCAACTTTGGGTTGGTGCCGTCGCCCAGCTGTCAGGGCAGACTGCTACGGATTCATGTTACCAGCTGGAGCTGCTGGAGCCGCATAGTTTGAGGCACCTCAGCAGCGCAGCAGTGCTCTACACTTGTGAACTTGCATCGTTGCCAGGCTACTGCTAGCTGTGGTCACTTGCTATTCTCGGCTGAGGCAATGCTGGGGCACAACGTTTCACCTCGTGCAGTGACAAAGGGTGCAGTCGCAGGCACAGTTGTTTCGTTGCAGTGCATTTTTGCTCGACTCTTGAAGCGTAAGGGAGGTCAATGTTCACACTTTTGAACATCACACTGCGGTGTTCAAGACGAGCAGAAAATGTGCGTGCAACGGGTGCAGGACCAGTGACGCGCTGGTCAACAGCTGTTTCACCGAGGCATTCCTCCTTGTGCCTAAGTGCGCAGATGCAGTGCCGAACCACTTGAAGAAGTGCGGAGGAAATGATTGGCAACTTGTGCGCGTTGTTTCATGCTATTTGTTGAGCGTGGCGCTCAGATAAGCTTGTTGAAGAGCAGACCCACACTGCTGCGAAGCGGCGTTGCCATGCAGGTGGCATTCTTGGCACGCAACGTGATAAGTGCGCCTGTCCACTGGCCCTGAAACTGGTAAGCTTTATAGATCGTCCATCCGACTGGAAAGCAACAAGCGCATCCCAAGGCCAAAGAACAAGAGCTTTTGCTCAAGGGCGCGTCAGCTTTCATCAAAAGCGTTGCTCCAGGCTGGGCTCAAACGCTTCGACGTGAAGCTTGATAATTACACTTAAAGCAACATCTGCAGCGACACAATACGAAACTGACAAAAACGGACAGAAGCTGACAGATCACGACCGCAAACTGACGAAAACGGATGGAAGCTGACGGATCACGACCGTAAACTGACGACAACGGACGGATCGCGACCTTAAACTGACGGATCACGACCGTAAACTGACGGATGACCTAAACTGACGGATCACGACCGTAAACTGACGGACCACGACAGAAACTGACGGATCGCGACCGTAAACTGACGGATCGCGACCGTAAACTGACGGATCACGATCGTAAACTGACGGATCACGACCGTAAACTGACGGATCACGACCGCAAACTAGCCCGCAGTGGGCCACTTTGGGCTATTGTTTGGGTGGTTTTGTGTTAGAAACAATGGGCATGTTTGGGACTTATATCGAACAGACCAAGTTTTTTGTTTATTCTCGATGTTTCTTGGGTTTCTAGCTTCTTTTGCAGGGTCCGGTTTTCGTGGAAGAGGTGAGACGCGGCGCCTTGCAGAGGTTGCGCCGCATCAAGCGTTTGTTTTGCTCCACTGCTTTGTTGTTTTGGAGCTGATGTAACGACAAAGGGATTAACTTATTTAGCAGATTTGTGTTTGAATAAGCGGACCACACTGACGAAATGTATCGTTGCAAATGAATTGTTCCTTTCGTGAGTCAAAGGATCCTTACTATAAAGGGCTCAATGACTTTCATTGAAGGTCTTTGTCCTCCGCCACTGCTCTTGGAACCACGCGAGCCACACCCATATAATTTTGCACGTCATGTTCGGCGCACGCCGTGGTCGTTGGCTCGTTCTGGCCATTTCTGGCGTGTAGCTTGCTGGCAAGGCAGAAGATCGTGCGCGCCATCACTTCCGGCGAGACGAATAGCGAAGCCCGTTTTTTCACTTTGGACAGTCGAGGGCCTAAGCTCGAGGCTTCCTTTGCCGCTCCGCCCTGCAGCTGCGATCCGAGTGTACGCGCAGAAAATATGCACCGGATACGCTGGCATGTGTTACTCGAGTTTGCAAACTGCTGAACGCACAGACAGACTTAAATTTTGGTCACAGCCCCAAATTGCGGAACGGAAGGTTTCGGGGATTCTGGAGGTTTCAAAACAGAATGAAGGCTTGGTAGAAACTGGCGCCCCATGGTTCTCAGCTTGGAGGGAGCCCGCGTTCACGTTTTAGTCATGGCACACTGCAAATTGAATGCTTCGGCTCAACTAGTTTTTGCATTGCGCAAGGTATTGGGGAGCCATGGAGCACAATTTCTGGGAGCTGCACAAGCGTCTTGGGGAGTGCTATGCTGCGCAGATGCAACAGATGAAGACAGAAAGCCAGTCTCCTACGTGGGCATCTTTGAAACCATGCAGCCACGCCGAGTTTGGTGACCTGGTGGCTGCGGAACGGCGCTCTGTGTCTGCTGCAGCTGGACAAGTTGATTCTAGAGTGACGCAAAAGGCGCAGCCGAAGCCGGAGTCCCCGGCCGGGCCCTGTGCGCCGCCCGTGTCAGAGCTCAATCTCTTGTGCTTAAGCCATGACGTGTCGATGCGCAGGGGCTCAGGGCCTTTTGTGGACGACTTGCGCGCGGCGGGGGAGAATGCAGACCTGATCAGGAAGTCCGAAGGCAGGGTTGGGAACTTTGCAGAAAAAAACTTCCCTTGTGGTTTGCACTAAGGGAACCCCCAGGTGAGCCACAATCAAAACCTGGGTAGATGAAGGTTAGTAAGGGAAAGACCCAGCCGGAAATAGCCTTTTTCGTTCTTTACATGGTTCACTTAATTCTGGCGGAATTGATTGTGACTCAGGTTCATTCCCTCATTCCCTACCCCAGGCCCGGAGATGTCCATGAAGCCTCGGGAGTTCTGGCAGGACGGGAGGAGCTCGCGGGGCCGGCGGCACGGCTGCGCTGTTCAGCTGCCCCGGCGAATCGGATTCCCAAAAACTTGGGAGGCCTGAAAATCCTTTTGGTTTGAAGGGAAAGCAACCTGATAGAAGCCACGAGCCCAAACGCAAAAATTGCCTTTGGAACGTGCATTTCGTCAACTCGAGCAATGTTGTCCAGCTGGAGCCATGCTTTGAGCGACGCTTCTGAGCTTCTGACCGACCGTTCAGCCGACTGTAAACATTCTTCATTGCAACACACTCGCAAGACTCTGTCACTGGCACTTTTGAGAGACGCTTCTGAGCAAGAGCTTGAGCGACACCTCTGAGCGACAACTTGAGCGACACTTCTGAACACACTTACAAGCGGTATTTCCACATCCAGGCGTCAAGCGCCAATCCTGAAGCCCTGCTTCTGAGCGACAAAGCGCGACAGACTGAGCGACACCTCTACACACACACACACGACACTTCTGAGCAACACTTCAAGCGACACTTATGCACACGCACACACACACATATGGAAGCGACGCTTCTGAGCGACACCCCTGAGCCCCTGAGCAACAGTTCGGGCGACATTTACACACATTGAGCGATACTTTTGAGACACTCCTGAGCGAACTCTCCCGGCGACAACCAGAGCCACGCTTCCGAGCAACACCTCTGAGCGATACTCCTGAGCGACTCTGCTGTCAACACCTCAGAGCGACACCTCTGAGCCGCATGCGCTTCTACACGTGCGCCAGCAAGACTTCTCGGCAACACTCATCAGCAACGATTTGAGCGACACTTCTACACACACACCCACACACACACGCGCATCTGAGCGACACCTCTGAGCGACGCTTCTGAGCGACACTTCTGAGCATCGGATCTGATCGACACTTCTGAGCAACAATTCTGAGCAACACTCCTGCGCGACACTTCTGAGCGGAGCAACGCTTCTGAGCAACACTTCTGATCGACGCTGAGCAACACTTCTGATCGACACTTCTGTTTCACGCGCTTCCGAGCAACGCTTCCGATCGACGCTTCTATTCGAAACTTCTGAGCAACGCGTCTATATTTGATATCTCTGAGCGACACTTTTGAGCAACGCTTCTGAACAACACTTCTAAGCAATACTTCTGATAGCGACGGCTGATCCACACTCTGAGCGACGCTTCTGAGCAACACTTCTGAGCAACTTCTGCTCAGCGCTGCTGATCGACGCTTCTGATCAACACCTTTGATCGACGCTTCTGATCGACGCTGAGCGACGCGACACTTCTGAGCGAGACTTCTTACAACACATCTCAGCGGCACATCTGAGCCACACGTCTACACACACACATCAGCGACGCTTTAGCGGCACTTCTGAGCGACGCGACACTTCTGAGCAAATTTCTGAGGAATTCTGATGATTTGTGTTGCTGGTTGACACTTTTGAGCAACACTTCTGAGCAACGCTTGCGATCGACGCTTTGAGCGACCCTATGATTAACACCTGTGAACGACACTTCTGAGCGACGCTTCTGAGGAACACTTCTGAGCGACGCTTCTGAGCAACACTTCAGCGACACTTCTGAGCAACACCTTTGAGCAACACTGCTGGTCAACACTTATCTGACCAACACTTCTGAGCAGCACATTTGATCGATGCGTCTGACCCACACTTCTGTGCAAGACTTCTGACGAACACTTCTGAGCCACGCTTCTGAGCAACAGGACCCTCCTAATCAACCCTTTCAACCGACACTTCTGAGGGACACTTCTGAATGAAACTTCTGAGAGACGCGACGCTTCTGAACAACACTTCTGCGCAACACTGCTGATTCCCAATTCTAACCAACACCTCTGATCGACGCTTCTGATCGACACTTCTGAGCGACGTGACACTTCTGAGTGACACTTCTGACAACACCTCTCAGCAACACATCTGAGCCACACGCCTAGACACACACACACACACCTGCTGCTGAGCGACACTTTTGAGCAACACACTTCTGAGCGACGCGACACTTCTGAGCAAAACTTCTGGGCAACACAGCTGAGCAACACTTCTGCTGCACACTGCTGAGCGACGCTCTGAGCGACGCTTCTGAGTTCCGATCAACCCTGCTGACTGACACTTCTGACCAACACTATGAGCGACGCTTCTGAGCAACGCTTCTGATCGACACTTCTGAGCGACGCTTCTGATCCACACCTCTGATCGACACTCTTATTGAGCAATGCTTCTAAACAACACTTCTGAGCAACACTTCTGATCGACGCTTCTGAGCGACACAGATCGAAAATGCTGATGGACACTGCTTCTGATCGACACTTCTGCTTGACACCTACGATTGGCACTTCTGAGCAACACGTCTGAGCGACGCGACGCTTTTTAGCAACACTTCTGATCAACACTTTTGCTCGACAACACTGGCAGCACTCCGCGCAACCTGCAGTGGAGCACTGTCACTGCTAGACGCAGCAGCAAGATAGGCGCCCCAGTCTCGCCCAGCGAGCCGGACGTAACGCCGCTGCTGTCGCCAGGCTGGCGTCCCACTTCCGCATCAGCCGCGGCGGGCCCGGCGCCGACCGCGCGTCATCGCGCGGGGCCGGCGGCAGCAGGTGGCAAGCGCCGAAACTCCTCCGCCGAACACTTGCAGGCGCGCCTCCTGGTCAGGGGCCGTACCTGCGGGCTGGATGCCCCAGCTGCAACTCTGGGAGCACAACGCTGCTACTGGCACGGAGCGCCTGACGTGTGGTTGTGGCTGCGTGCGCCCATGTTGCACGCGGCCGCTGGCCGCTTGTCCCCTGGTGCGGTCGTTAAGTGGAGGGCTGACAGCCGGGCGACACCGTGGTGGGACACAGCTTGTCACGCGCTTGCTTCGGCGACCCCCGCTCTTGAGCTTGCGCCGGAAGCGGAAGCCGCCGCGTGGCTTGCTGTGCGGCTGCAACAGGCCGTTGCCTGCTGCCGCGCTCCGATCCACCTCCCTTGGGTCACGAACGTGCTCGCCCTCCCTGACGGCTAGCCCTTTCCAGTTTGCGCTGCAAGCTCGCGCTGCGGGTCGCTGTGGTGCTCTTGCCGGCAGCAGCGCCTATGACTATGACTGTGTGTCACGGGCCGCTTTCCTCCGCAAGCTCAAAGTTGGCTCTTGTTTGTGCGAGGCTTCTACGCACGGCAGTCTGTCTACCTTTGGTGGGACAGCAAGGGCAGTGAGGGCGTTTGCCGTTTTCACATCCTCCAGGGTGAGGGCTGTGAGCACACGCCCAAAGCGACAAAGCCACACCTCCGGTCCTAACTCGGCAATGCTTGCAAAGGGGGGCCGCCCGCACCCGGCCTTAGCAAGGTTCGAGGAGACTTCAGCGTGCTCTGCAACCGCGCCTGCATCAACGCTGTCGCGAGCACGACTGGCCGAAGTGAACGCGTACAGATCGTCCAAGAAGGCCGCCCGGCGAACGCCTGATCGGAGCGCCTGCAAAGCAGCGACCAGGCCGTCGCGCTGCCAAGGTGCCAGCGGGTCGCCCCCCATCGGCAGCCCGGAGTTTGTCGAACGCGGCGCTGGCGAGCGGCTTGCTGACCAACAGCGCCCTGCTTGCCAACGCAGGGGAGCCTCCGGCCCTCGCCTCCCGCCCGATAGAGGCGCACTCTTGTGCGCAGGCTGTCCGGCTCAGAAACAGCCTTCCTTCAAGCCCTCCTGTGCCTGGATCCCGAAGTGTCGCTTTTGGGACAGCCTACTCGCCGAGCTCCCGCAGCTGCCTGGCTGGCTGTTTGTTCTACTCTGTGCCACTTGGCTCTGTGCCACTTGGCCACTTGGCTCTATATAACTTGGCTCTATGTAACTTGGCTCTATGTAGCTTGGCTCTATGTAGCCTAGCTCTATGCAACTTGTCTGTATGTAACTTGGCTCTATGTAACTTGGCTCTCTGTAGCCTGGCTCTATGTAACTTGGCTCTATGTAATTGGGTCTATGTAACTTGGCTCGCTCTATGTAACTTGGCTCTGTGCAACTTGGCTCTGTGCAACTTGGCTCTGTGCAACTTGGCTCTGTGTAACTTGTCTAAGGGCTCCGCACGGAAGAGCCCTTCGCGATGCTTTCGGGAAAATCCAACAACTTCTCAAAGTTGCCAAGCCCCCTTGTCAGCTGACAAAAGGTTAAAAGGGGGTATCGTTTAGCAGTGTTTCGGACACTGGTCAACTGTTGGAAACATTCGCCTGCAAACTTTGGAAGTTCGAGAGCTGCAGTCAAGCATGAGTCGAGAGATCCACACATGTTGCCCGGCGAGCGCGTTTTCCTTCCCCGCTGTTGCGGCGCGACTGTCTTGCGCTGGCTTGCGGCGTGCGTGCGTCACACGCACGCGTAGGCATCCCCATAACAGCACACCCCAAACTGGCATTCAAAAGGCTCCTAGTCCTCAGTCTGACAGGCAGGGCAGGCGCAATCTGCCAACCATCGTGCAGCGAGATCCAACTTCTCTTCAGCTAAATTGAGGTTTACCAGCGCAAGGGAGCTGGTGCGCCCTTCAGTATGCGCACTGACCTGGAAATGCCTAGCAACCAACAAGCTAGCCAGCAGCTGTAGCAGGTGCCACCACGCACTGCGCCCTGAACAGTTCATTCTCAAAATCCTGCGCGTTCTGTGTTTGGCATTGCGCAAAACCTGGCCAGCTGGAATCTGGCAAAAACTAGACACCGATTATCCCGAAAGCGAATATGAGTTTTCTGTTTCTCTCTCTCTCTCTACCTTTCTCTTTCTCTTTCTCTTTCTCTTTCTCTTTCTCTTTCTCTTTCTCTTTCTCTTTCTCTTTCTCTTTCTCTCTCTCTTTCTCTCTCTCTTTCTCTCTCTCTTTCTCTCTCTCTTGCTCTCTCTTGCTCTCTCTTGCTCTCTCTTGCTCTCTCTTGCTCTCTCTTGCTCTCTCTTGCTCTCTCTTGCTCTCTCTTGCTCTCTCTTGCTCTCTCTTGCTCTCTCTTGCTCTCTCTCTCTCTCTCTCTCTCTCTCTCTCTCTCTCTCTCTCTCTCTCTCTCTCTCTCTCTCTCTCTCTCTCTCTCTCTCTCTCTCTCTCTCTCTCTCTCTCTCTCTCTCTCTCTCTTTCTCTCTCTCTCTTTCTCTCTCTCTCGTTCTCTGGCCGGAGCTGCGGGAGCGTGCTTCGCGTACTATTTTTGTACTTTAATTTTGCGAGAGCGATCCGACACGCACAAATCTCCGCAGAGGGTTCGTCGGCGAGCATTGAAATTCGTACGGCGCCACAGCGAGAGCGATTCGACACGCGCAATCTCCGCAGAGGGTTCGTCGGCCACGTAAAAAATTCGCACGGCGCCACAGCGAGAGCGATCCGACACGCACAATCTCCGCAGAGGGTTCGTGGGCCACGTAAAAAATTCGCACGGCGCCACAGCGAGAGCGATCCGACACGCATGATCCCCGCAGAGGGTTCGTCGGCGACGTAGAAAATTCGCACGGCGCCGCAGCGAGAGCGATCCGACACGCACGATCCCCGCAGAGGGTTCATCCCGCCGATGCCCGCCAAACCTACCCCCGGCTAAGAAACAATTCGGAACTAGAGGCGGCGAACAGGCTGGGTTGCTCGCGCGCGTATCTAACACCCGGCTATGTCTTCAGCAAAGTCATCTTTTTTGTCTCCGCACTGTCTCCAGGCTATGTCTTCAGGCAGCGTCCTCTCGCAATGTCACCAGGCTCTGTTGCGTCCTCTCGCAATGTCTCCAGGCTGTGTCTTCAGACAGGTCATCTCGCAGTGTCTCCAGGCTATGTCTTCAGGCAGCAAGACTTCTGGACATCGACACCTGTGAGCAACACTTCTGATCGACGCTTTTGACCGGCGCGTCTGATCGACGCTTCTGGACCATACTTCTGAGAAACGGAGCTTGTCCTAAAACGCGCGCCGCGCCGTAGCGAGATCGAGTGGACCCGCCCAAAGTGCGCAGAGGGTTCACTTTGCGCGCTCAAAATGCGAACCGGGCCAGGGCGAGAGCGATTCGACCCGCCCAAACTTCACAAACGGTTCGCTGTGCTCTCTCAATATGTGCACCGCGCCGCAGCGAGAGCGATTCGACCCGCGCAAAGCGCGCAGAGGGTTCAACTTGCGCTCTCAGAACACGCACCGCGCCACAGCGAGAGCGATTTGACCCGCCCAAAGCGCGCAGACGTTCTCAAAATGTGCACCGCGCCACAGCGAGGGCGATTCGACCAACCCTGAGAGTTGCGCCTGCCACGGATTTTGCACGAAAAGCTCCAAAGTGATGCGCCCGCCACGAAATTGAAGCAACACCCTCGAAAGTGTTTTCAAAGTAAGGTTGCCACAAACTCAGAATCTGCTGCGCCTGTCGCAAAATCCAACTTTGACACGTTTACGACACGCATCCAAAACTAGCACGGGACTGTGGCGCCAGAATGATTTCGACCAATCTTGACGCATTCCAAGCTTGCCAAAACAACCCCTCAAACTCAAATCGCATTGGCCTGGCAACGCGAACACGCAGCCTTCCCAAACACTGAGCATGCGCAGCAAAACCACATGCCGAGCTTGCGAAGCTACAATTCCCGCACCGGGCCAATGAAAACAGCACTTACCGATCCATCAAAAACACGCTTTCGCGACGAATCCCAATGGCACACGCTTATCGCCACCGCGGACGGTTGCGAACGTTTGGGAGCTCTGGAACAACTCCTCGCCAACACGGCCTCCACCCCCAGACCCCCACTGATAAACGGGAACCCTTCGCTACACATTCGGGAAAAAACGAAGGGAAACCTACACTATTCTTTTGTCGGGTTTACATGTTGTGGCGGGCCCAATTTTCTGTCAGCAAACTAGGAGGCCCAGGATGTCCCATGCCTCGTGTTTTCAAACATCGCCGGTTTCGAGTGAAACCCTGACAGACCACCTGCGCTCAGTTGCGCGTGCTGCAACATCCTGGAAGCCGTTTCAGGGCCTGGTGGGGCACCGTGGGCGCTCTCTTGTTGTGCTATGACTTGGTGGCCATCCCTTTGCGCGAGTCTGGTCTGGGGGGGACGTCCATGTTTGCAACGACGGTCATGTCATGGATCAGCCAGTTGTACTGGAACTTTGATTTGCTCCTCTCCTTCATTGCGGGATACTACGACGCTGGGGTCTTGATCCTGGACTTGCGGAAGACCGCCAAGAGCTATGCTTCAAGCTGGTTTGTTTTCGACCTGGCTGTGGTGAGTATCGACTGGATAATTGTCGCGCTGAACACCAGAGATGATGGCAAGGGTGTAGCCCGCTTGTCCAAGACTGTCAGGGCCCTGCGGTTTCTTCGGCTGGCGCGACTGGGTCGCACGATGAAGGCAGGCTCCATGATCGAGTCCTTGCGTGAGCAATTCACCTCCCGGATGGCCTCACTTCACTACGGCGTGGCGAAGATCATTTTGCGGCTGATGCTGATCAACCACATCATTGCGTGTTTTTGGTACATGCTGTCCACGGAAGAGGAAGGGCCAAACTGGGTGAAAGGAAGCGGCTTGGAGGACGAATCCCTGGCGTATCTCTATGCAACTTCTCTTCATTGGACTTTCTCTCAATTTGGTGCGGGACAGACCGCCGTGGAGGCCGTGACCTTGCCAGAGCGCGTTTTCTCCGTGGTGGTTGCCTTCTTCTGCTTGATCATGTTCTCGACCTTAGTCAGCTCAGTGTCATCAATGATGGCAAATCTGCAGCGAATGAAGGATGAGGAGATCGAACAGTTCCAGTCCCTACGTCGCTTTCTGGCGCACAACAACATAGATGCAGACTTGTCACACCGCATCACCCGCTTCCTGGAACACACTTGCGCAGCCAAGAATGAGGTGATGTCTGCGGATGAGCGGATTCCCATGTTGAGCCTGCTGTCGACGCCCCTGCAAGCTGAGTTGCAGCTGCAAAGGCATAAAGACTGTTTGGGGAAGTGTGCCTTTTTCCACAGCCTTTTGCAGCATGACAGCTTCCATGTGGTGCGGGCCATGCGGAATGTGGCGCTGAACTGTATGTCACATGCAGTGCATGCCTCTGGAGATGTCATCTTCGTTGGGGGCACCCTTGCCAGCTCATGCTTCTTCCCGGCAAGCGGTTCCCACAGCTACACCAACGCCATCTCCACGCGGGAGGTGCGCAACGCGTGGGTGGCGGAGATGTGCCTCTGGACCCCCTGGGTCCATGTCGGGGTCCTGGTGGCGAAGGATTCGTCTCGGCTCATCTCCATGGAAGTCACCTCCTTCTGCGAGTGCGTGGGAAAGGTGGTGGAGACCCGGCAAATGGCTTCCGCCTACGCCACGCAATACGTGGCAGCCCTGAATGCGCAACCTGGCTGGTGGTGTTTGGTGAAGTGTGGGAGGCCTTTTCCCTTGGTCTCCCAGACATCCCCTCAGCTTTTTAGCCTTTTGGTTGCTTTGGTTGGGTTTCCGAATTTTACCCACAAGTCATGCACTTCCAACGTGCAGAAATCGGTTTGGTTGGGTTTCTGATTTTTCCCCAGAAGTCATTCACTTTTAGCAGGGCGTCTGAACATGGACCGCCCAGTTCCCCCAACTCCCTGGGTAAGGCAGAGCTTCTGGTCCGACCTGGCGGACGAGGAGCCCTTGTCCGAGGAGCAGGCGGAAAAGCGGACAGGGCGCTCTGGCGGCTGCTGTCCCTGGCGCCTCGTTCAGTTCGGAAAAGTGATACCTTCAGATGGCTCGGACTGAAAGACCTGAGACTTGTGAAGTTGTGAAGGGCGAGTTCTAAAAGAACAAATCCTTCGCCCAATTTTTGGAGGCGCAAGGGGGCGCAAGGGGCTCGCGGCTGGGTTAGATCAGAGGAGCATAACTTTTAAGACCCGTTGCAAGCCCCTTTGCACGTTCCAAGCATGCCGGAGGTGTAGCTCACACGTTCCATGTTTTTCCTTGCATCTAAACACATGGCGATTTGTCACTACGTGCTGATTGCATACAATCAGTTTCGAAGATCCTCTCAATTGTTTGTCTTCCATAGCAGGTGACTACTTCTCACTTGCATCAACCACATTTGACTGAGGTCTGCATGATCTTGCAAACAGTTTTGCAGTTTGTCTTGCCGTTTGCCCGCCTAGTTGTTTGCCCAACACAGCTATCTCTCAACTCAGCCAAATCAGTTTCTTTGTCCTCAACTTCACGGGCCGAACGGGACCAACTTCGAAGGCAGCCATCCAATACCGGGCTGAAATCCATTGTGCGCCTTGCATCCGAATTGGGTGCCTGTCGCCAGTTTCTCTGAGTCCAAATACTTTTTGAAGCCCGTGAGGTTCGAATCCTCCGGGGGATTACAGGCTGCATCTAGCTGAGAAGAAGGTCCGCTGCCTCCGGCTGCAACCACCGCAGCTGAACACACCGACTTAGCAATGTCGAAGGATGTGTGAGCCCGTTTTTGGGTGTTGGGGTGCGGGGGAGGCTGGGAATGGGCAGCCAGAGTCGCCTGAGTTGTTCCAGATTTGGGCATATGTCTCAGGAGGGTTGCCCGGGGCCTCCCTCGTTTTGCGGGTTGCAGCATAGTCAATGGTTGGTGAATTGCCAAGCTTCAATGTCCACCTCATATTTAGAAACGCCCCCCCCCCCCACCCCCCTAAGGTCGTATGGAGGGGGGCCTGTAATTGGAAGCTTCCGGCGAATCCCGGAGATTCCTCTGAGCCTTTTTTGGGATTTTCTGGGCCAAGCCGGATTGTGCAATTACGGGGGTCTAAATACGTTCTGGTATTTGGATTGTGCAAATACGCGGGGGTCTAAATATGAGGTCAACATTACTGCCTCACTTCGTTTCATTCAGAGGGAAGCGCCTTTCTCGCGCAGCATCTGCTTAGAAGGGCTTGAGTCGCGGCAAGAACCGCGTTCGTCCCATGGCGACATGGCAGCGTGGCAGCGCCCCTGTCAGCTGGGACTTCAGCACCAAGAGGCTGTGGGTGCTAGCACGCCGTCGCAGCGGTGTGCCTTTCTGCTCACTCCGCTGGTGAAGTTCTATCACCTGCGGGTCTTTACACGCACAAGATGTTTGTCTTCTCCATGGTTCACGACTTGATTCTCTCCACACTCTTCGGATTTGTGGCTGGCCTGCGCGGCCTGTGGTTTGTGCTGATGCCCATTGTGTTCCCGCTGCTGAGCCTCGAGTGGATCGGCTTCAAGCAGCTTTTGCCCGAGGCAGAGTATGTCGTGAAGCCTATGGATTGGGTTGGCCAGGTTGCGACCTTCACAGTGGGAGGGGTGATGTCTCTGACGCTCGGCCTCACCACTAACCAGGGACTCGACCGCTTCATCACGACTTTGTGACGTTTATTTGTGTGCTGCTATGGACGGACCTGCAGTTTTGGGTGACGCATTGCATGTGCCATCAAGTTCTGCGGCTGTGGAAGCGTCACAAGATTCACCATGAATATGGAATGGGCGAGCTGAACTTAATGGCCAATGGAGATGCGCTGGACGAAGTCTTGATGAATGGCGTGCTGCTCCCGATCCTCGCATGCGGGTGGTTTAGGCTACCCTTCAACCTTTTCTGTTGCTGGAATGATACAGGTTTTATCTTATTCTTTTCATGCATTTGCTTTTTGAATCTTCGGTTTTAAAACCTGATGACATTCTTTGAATTTGATCTACTGGACATACTCCTCTACTAGCCACGCATGGGCGCTTTCTAGTCCATACACTATGAAATGGTCGCAATTAATGAATTCTGCAGAGTTGAATTGGCTAAAGAATCGTATTTATGTAAAATGGACCCCCTTTTTTCCCCTTTTTATTATTTTTAGTTTTACAGACTGGATACGATCCTCGTTGGAATCTATGATCCTGTTATTTATTGATCCCGAATCCTGTAAATTTATTAATCTTTTTGATGTTATTTTCCGTATTTGGTTTTGGATATAAGTTAACCTTAGAATTATCAAAAACCACTTTATTAATGTTGATATATGATTACCGTAAGGCAGAAAAGGTTATTGTGTATTTGTTTGGCATTAATATCTTATGGAAAATTGAGAATATTTTTGTTATATAATATATATTTAGAATGATATCCCGTTCGATATTTCGTCGATACCCCGAGTATTGGTTTGAATTGCAAATGTGAGGTTTAGTGTATTTGCTTATAAAAAATTATATATGGTTTTAGTGTTATATTCGTATAGAAAATTTGTTGGGTGTTTTTTGAGTTTGTGTGGCATTATAGCGAGAGCATTTGGACACGTATGACATTGTGAAGAGGATTCATCGGGCATTTTCCAAATTCGTATGGGTGGAATTATAGTTGGGAAATATGGATGAATTGGATATTGAAAATAATTATGTTTTTCGATGTTTTGCTCGTATAATATATGAAAGGCATTGGAAAACGATATTTAATTATATAAATAGGTGATTTTATAAATAAATTTTAATATTAATATTTTTAATTTGAATTTAAAAATAATTTAAATTCTTATTTTTTTTTTATAAAAATAATATTAATTATAAACAAAAAACAAATAAATTAATAATTAAATATTTAATAATAAATTTATAAATAAATAATTAAATAAATAATTAAAAACTTAAATAACAAAAACATAATAATAAAAATAAAATATATATAAATATAATTAATAAAAATAATTATATAGATATATAGATAAACCAAAAAAACACATAGACATATAAATTTATAGATATATAGACACTTAGATAGAGAAATATATTGAGATATAGAAAGAAAGATAGATAAACAAACAATCAAACAAATAGACAAATAGACAAACAGACAAACAGACAAATAGACAAATAGACAAATAAACAAATAAACAAATAGATAAATAAACAAATAGATAGACGAATAGACACGAATAGATAGATATAAACAGATAGATATAAACATATAGACATAAATAGATAGACACAGATTTAGATATAGACACCGACATAGATATAGACATAGATAGACAGACACAGATAGATAGACACGGATAGATAGACAAAGAAACAGATATTAGAGATAGAGAAACTAATAAACAAAGAGAAATAGAGAAAGACACCGATAGAGAGACAGAAATAAAAAGAGACACATTTCCGGCGCGTAGTGTGCTAGATTCTATTATCGATATATAGGTTTCGTTTGTATACATATGCATGCCCGAGCCCGAGAATTGTGATATAGACGGGTTGTTGTGCGTGTTCTAGTTGTATGCGGCCGTTGGCCGCTTGTCCCCTGGCGTTTTCGCCTAATGGAGCGAATTAATGGGAAATGGTTTGTTATACGCTTGTCTCGGCATTGCCTCGCCGTTCTCCTTGCCCTCCACGACGGTTGTATTCTGGCCCGCGGCTAGGAGGTGGTTTTGTCGGTCCTCTTTGGACTGGGCCATATCGATTTGGATTGGATCGGTGTTTTGGAGATTAGGGGATGATTCTATTTAACTTTCAAGCTCCAAACTTATGCAAACCAGGAATTAGGGATAAGTTGAGGCGAGTGCTAAAAAAGGGCCGAGCTTTCAGGGGCCAAGGTCTAGGCCGTGGTGGGTGTGCCAAGAACGGTGCAAATTTTATAGAGCCCGTGCCGGAAGATATTTTTTGTAACTCAGGCACCAATATATTTTATTATCTCAAATGTATACTCGTCGTATGCGAAAAGCATGCTGCCTTTCTCTAAATAAAGGTCGCGAGATATACTGAGGATCGGGCTGGTCGCGATAAGGTCACGCCAAAGAGTCAGTTAAAGGCGGTTGCCTGAGCAAATTGAGAACGAATCCATGGGTTGTTGGCCCTAAAAGATCTATCTACATATGCAGTTAGCGTAAACGAAAATGTGATTAATTAGAAAACATCCTGGGTATAAGCAAAGCCAAATTGATTTTACCTAAAGCATTTGGGAAAAACACTACTGGTCGCAATAATCGGCCGTGGCTCATAGCTTCTCGTATCGCCAAACTCTCGGAAGATGGGTTAAAATTGCAGCCAAAATTGTTATGGACAGGCAGATATATGCCCCGACTCTTTATTTGAAAGACATACGATTCCGGATATTTCGACGATAACATTTCCCGAAATATTTGGAATATTTCGGGAAAGTGGTTCCTACAAAAAATGAAACTACTATATCTTCCGGATTATGGCCGGGGTAGCCCAGACAAATTTGGGTAAGCGGTTCATAGGAAATGCGAAGCGGTTGTATTTTTGTAATATCCGGGATTTTCGGAAAAGCAATCCGGGAAAACATGTGTAAATGCGACGAGCAAATTTCACGATTTCGTTTTATAGAGTAAATATATATATATATATTTATTAAAATATAATTTTAAATAAATAAAATAATTAAAACCCAAATTAAATATTATTACTTACTATTAATATTTAAATAATAATATAATTCTATACTTTATTTTTTAATAAATATTATATTCTTATATAATACTTATTATATATATATAATACCCCCCGCTTAGTACTTAAGTATTATTGCATCATGTATTAAAATAATTAATATTTACAATATATTTTAATTAATCTTATATATTTTCTATAAAATCATTTTATGGACTAAAAAAACAAAAACAAAAAACCAATCCTAACCCCCACCATAACTAGGATTCTTTGGTTTTTAAATTTTTTAGGTTTTTGTTTTTTGGGTTTTTTAATCTAGAGAAATATTACATAACAAATTCCAAATGTTACACAACATTTACGGAGCATAACAAGAAAAATAAATCTTAAAAAAAAAATATATATTCTAAGTAAAAAGATATATAAATTTCTATAGAGAAGAGTTATTAAAAAAGACATGTTTTGTTTGAGATAATAAGTGAGTCAGTCGTTGTAAAACAATCAGGGTTATAATAATTCATAAAAATACGACAATATATAAGAAATATTATATAAAACCACTATTTATATATTATAAATTATCCTAACCATAACCTGATTTTATTCTACACAGGGTTCACTTTCCTTAGCAACTCTTTCACATATACTACCTTTGTTTCATTAAAAAAGGACATGTAAAAAGACATGTGTTGGGTGAGAGGATGTATGAATTTTGTGTGGAAGAGTCTTTGAAACAAGGCATGGTTATGTGAATTATCTGTGGAAGAGCCTTTAAAAGAAGGCATGGTTTGTGTGGGAAGATATATGAATTGAATTTTGTGTGGAAGAGGCATTGAAAAAGGGCATGGGTTTGGTGAGAGGATATATCATTCCTTGTGAAAGAAGGCATGCAAAAAGACATGTTTTGGATGAGAGGATGAAAGAATTGTCTGTAGAGAAGAGTTATTGAAAAGACATGGTTTGTGTGAGATTATATATGAATATTCTGTGGAAGAGCTTTTGAAAGAAGGCATGGTTTGTGTGGGAAGATATATGAGTTTTCTGTGGAAGAGCCTTTGAAAAAAGGTATGTTTTGGTGAGAGGATATGTGAACCTTTGTGAAAAAAGACTTGTTCTGGCTTCCAAGTGGTGCAGGATTGCGTCCATCCACAGCAGCGGAGAACAATTTTCCTTCACCACAACCATCGTTTGCAAGATGGGAACTTTGCCATCTTGCCGTCGAACGGACACCTGAGCGGCATGTGAGCGGGTCCGCACCTGTAACCCAATGGACTTCGAGGGCACTCACCTTCTTTTCGGCCATGGCGAAACAGAATCAACATGGAAGCCACAGTCACAAAAAGAGGTCTTCAGCTTCATCCTGCGCATCTGGCCTGTAAAGCCTCCAAAGTGGCCAACACGCTCTGGTCGAACGCTGGCCCTTGAACGCTGCAGCCTGCGCATCGCGGGCTTTTACCAGCGCTTGTCACAAAAGCAACTTGGCTCAGCTTCTCCGTGAAGTACATGTATGGCGGTGTTTCTTTGTTGGTTCACCTATGGCAAAAACACCGATCTTGGGAGATGGGCCCGATTTGGAGAGCCCGTTCCCGCAAATCCCGCTTTGTTCACAACATTCACAACATCCTTGCGACAGCCGGGAGTATCAAGGTGATTGAACAGCTCTTCAATCAGCGCTGCGCCAGCTTCACACCACACAGGGACCCGCCTGGCAAGCAAGCTATAGCCAACATGCCCCGCAGCAGCTGCAAAGGCGCGTGACTCAGTGGAAAAGTCAACTTGACCAAATGGGCATGCAATGGACAATTGCCCCAAATTGGGGCAAAGCGCGTCCGCTATTTTCCGTTGTAGCGGTCACACGAAGGTAAAACTTGGGGGACATTACATAGAGTCCTCGAATGGGCATGCAAAGCTCTTTCCCTTCCCTAACAGGCATGTGGCTGAGCGCTGGAACTGCCCATGCAAGCGCTCATAGGATGCCAGTCCTTCCATCCCCCTGGTGAAAAGGTTTCTGGGCGGGAGGGTCAGTACAGGGAGGGACGTCCTACGAAGCAAGAGCCAAGTCACAGCAACTCGCCCAAAAGCAAATGCCGCAGCTGCAGCAATGCCTGGGAAACACAAGCAGGAGCGGATGCTGCCTGCAAAATGGACCTTTTCGATCGGTCTTGAAAACGAGAAAACTGCCACACCGCAATTTGCGCAATTGGAAACTCTTTTCGGATGTGTTGAAGCCCGCGCCGTGTCCCCAGCATATACGCACATGCGCACATTGAACTAACCAGACCGTCAATGCATATCAACTCGATGTACGAATTGCTCGAGCAACCCCGCTTAAGCCTGAAGCCGGCGCACGTGCTAGCATCAATTTGCGCGATGCAACATTCCTGGAGGGCTTCAGCAAATCTTTGCAGATCGGCTCGGTACTTAAATGGTCTGCCCCTGAAGAAGGCGGCCGCAGCTATTTCTGGTCAGGAGTGTCCCTTACTCACCTTCATCTACCCGGGTTTTGAGCAAGTGGCTCATGTGATTCCAAGAGCCCCCAACAAGGTCACCGCGGACATGCTTGGCAGCCACTTTTCTCTCAGCAAGGAAGATACCCACAAGCCGCGGACCCGTGACATTGCAGGATGACCCAACTGACTCCTGCAACAGCTTGATGCTTGGCTGCTGGTCGGACATATTCATCTGCAAGAGGTTCTTGGGCAGCACACAAGAACAACCACACATAAACAAGCAAAACATAAGCAGAACAAATGAATGAATGAATGAATGAATGAATGAATGAATGAATGAATGAATGAATGAATGAATGAATGAATGAATGAAAGAAGGAAGGAAGGAAGGAAGGAATAGATGAACGAAGGAACGAAGGAACGAAGGAACGAAGGAAGGAAGGAAGGAAGGAAGGAAGGAAGGAAGGAAGGAAGGAAGGAAGGAAGGAAGGAAGGAAGGAAGGAAGGAAGGAATGAATCGATGAATGAATGAATGAAGAAACACACGATCGAAGGGATGCATGGAATGTCATGGAATGGAAGGGAATCGAATGGATTGAACGCATCAATGAACGGGATGGAATCAAAGGAATGGAATGGAACGGAATGTAATGGAATGCAGCGAAAGAAATAAAGTAAGAAGGTAAGGAAGAAAACACAATAACGACCTAATGACCGAATGAATTAATGAAATCAACCACACAAAAATGACATGTATATGTAACATAGCAGACATGTAGATACCTGAAAAGTAAACAACAAATTAATCAATGTACATACACATGTATATATTTATATAGGCACATGCATGTCTATGCATACATATATTGTTTGCATGTACATACACATATCTATGCATTATATGTATGTAACACATATATCGACACATGGTGCCTGCAACCACTGCGTGCCTGCCAGCAGTGCCGCAGCTCCGCATCGCTGGGTGGCCTGGCCGCATCTCAGCACATGCCCCCGCGCCACATGCGGGCGGTTGGAGGACATCGATTGTGCGAAAACGAAATCAGGGCCAGCCGAATACACAGTCAGCGCATGTCAACATGAATTCGGGGTTGCAGTCCCTTGCAAGCAGACTGCTACAGTTGAAGATCATGCTCCCAAACGAAGCTTCTTTTTTTTTTGGGGGGGGGGTCAGCCAAAACCAGGCAGACACATTCTCGGAATATCAATTGTTGATTCAGTGGGAGGGTCAAATATTGGGGCAACTTAAAGCCAGCAAGAGGTCAAACGATCGCTTCACCCCTGTCGCGATTGGTCTCCAGAAATAAACGCAGGATCACAGCGGGGCTCCGCTTGGCGAATCTGGGAGGCTGTTGTTCATGGGTTTGGGAAAAGGGAAGGCCACAGCCACGGCTCTACTCATGATGCCAACCATGGAACGCACCCAACCATGACGCGTTTTTTCATGCGCATATCATTCTTCTGGAGTATGCACCACCTCTAAGCCGTGTTTTTACCTAGTTCTTAGCCCGGTTTTGCCAGACAACACCGTAAAACACAGTGTTTTGTAGCATGTTTCATGATAAAAATCACATCCCCACCAACAAGCGGTCTCAACCAGAAGGGGGGGGGGAGTCCGTTTTGAGAAACCCAAAAGGCCCAAAAGGTGAAAGGGGCGCCTGGCCTGATCCCCGCCACACTCTCTGCAGTGATCGGAAGGAGCAGCACACACACGCGCCACCATCTGTCGCGCAGAGAGCAGTTGAGCATACCTCGACGCCACTTCAAAACTCCGGGGATTCTGTGGTAAAGGCCCCTCGAAGTTACATGTATCCATCAAATCACAAGTGGAATTGCACAGGGTCACTACACTCCTAAATTCATCTTCATGTCGCCTTTTGGCATGTTACGACCAGGGCGTGAATGCTCAAACCCAAACTTTAACATGGAGGGTCCCAATGCAACTAAAAGGTGCCCCGCCCCCCGAAATTGCTTCCCTGCTTGAGGAGCCCGCCAGCTAGTGGTGCGATCGCTCAAACGGCAATGTTGCTCATGCCAACCGCCGCGACAAAGCCGGAATCAATGTTGCAGTCCGTCAGCTTGCAGGGTCATGAGAACTATTTTTTTCTTCTGACACTGGGAAAAGGCTTTCTCGATGAATAGGCCAAGTGTTCAATTTGAAGAAGCATAAGTGCGAGCTAGTTATTCTCATCTCAGCCTACAATGGATACCCTAAAGTATTGCAAGTCCAGCAACCACATGCAACAACATACCTGGTCAATCAAAGTACATTGCAGGGTTTCCCTGGTAAACCCTACCTAGGTCCTCCAGTAGAGAGGTTAGCAGAAGGGTGCTCCTTTTTCTGTATCCACCTTTGTTCGGCGCGGCCAAGCAGCACAAAGCGTCTAGAGCGGCCGGCAACGCTTTCACCTCGGGGCACATCCCACTTGCAACCGAAGGACCTGCAAATGACGGGTGTCACCTTGGGACTTTGACTGTCCAAATTATGAAAACACAACTTGAAGAGGTTTTGCTTTGGGCGATGGAGGAGTAGGAATTGCTGAGAAGGGCGTAGCTATCACTCGATGCAGACCCCATAGCCGTGCGCCCAAACCAATGGCCCAATGCAACGGCGGCCATTGGGGCGGAGGGTGTCAAGCCTGGATGTCATGGCACATGTTGGCAAGGGGCCATGGTCTTGACACATCCCTCAAACAAAAAGCACCCAGAAGCTTTGGAAAAACTGTTCGCCTTCCTTTCGCAGCGAGTCTTCCTTTCGCGGGGACGAAATCGGTCTTGAACCACTCGCCGTCCAGCAATTCTTTGCTTTCTGCGAGCGGTACTGAGCTTGCCCACGAACTGGAAGCGTTCCTTTCGTTCTGGTCGGGCTCCCCACTTTGGGAGCTTGCCTTTCGAGTTCCCTTCGCGGAGATTTCACCGGTGCAACTCCACGGGAAAAAAAGGTGCGATTAGAAAAGCTTGCCATCAAGAGAATCGCAGTTCTCTTTGCGGCACTCTCGGGTGCTCCTTTCGCCGAGCTTTCGCGCAGGGTTTTCCTTGGGTTCTTCAGGACCCACCCGGTCCTTTCTTGTGCACCCTTTGTTTCGGGCAATGGGCGCATGCACAGAGATGCGTGGGACTCCTCTTCACATTTCGAGGTCCACTGGAGACCGTTTCCGTGGAGACACGGACTGCCTGAACATCCCGTGAGCAAAGTCCTGGAATACATTTTCGGTGAGCTTGTACAGTGGGGTCAAAAGTTCTCTCATTTGCCCACTCTCCCTTTTTTTGGGCTGATTCCTAATCGTGCAATTAGCCGTATCTCCTGTTGCCTTTGCGGGTTGGCCTGAAATCCACAAAAGAAACCGACTGTTTGTTGCTTCATCCCACAAAAACTAGACATGAGAAATGACCGCAAATGGGCCGTGACTCATTGGCCAAGGAAAAAAGAAAAAAACACCAAAAAGGTGGATTTGCATTGAGCATCTGAGTAGTGGATGGGGCATTTGAGAGAATGTTAACAAATGATTTGGGTGTGGTTCATTTTTCGAGGCCACCCCTTTTAAGTAGGTTTTAGACGAAAAGGAACACCACTTATTTTGGGTGTCATGGCCACAAAGAAAAGACACACCACCCATGTGGAACGAGCCAAAGGGTCAGCAATCTCGGGGTGCCTCCCCAAAAGGCGATTCCCCAAGTTTTCTCGGAACCCTTTGCCCCCGAACCCCGAACCTCAAACACCAGCTTCGTCCTTTTACCCCAAAGAATTTGATGCTTGCGGCCTTTAAGCTTGGAAGGCGATGCCAAACCATCCATTCCTCACACCCTCCGCCAAGACAAAACGAGCCAGCGAGTTGGAGAAAGAGGATGTTCTCTCGGTACAGGTCTCCAACGCGGAGATCGGGGTGTCTTTGTTGGTGCCAGGCCTCTTTGTGGTTTGCCCCAGCGCAAGCCACCCCCTCCTTTCCCCCCACCCCCCACGGCTTGGGGCTGTATGGGCCAAGACGTAGGGCAGATTGGGCACATGAGCCCCAAATCCGGCAACGCTTGGCTTTTTTGGGTTTTGCGGAGTCTTTTGCCCCCAACACCTGGGCGAAGCGTCTCGCTGGGCACATGGCGTTCCATGATGGGCCTGGCCGAGCCGTCAGCAACTCAGGTAGGCGATCGAGGATGCCGCCTCAAGTCCACCATGGACGACCAGCTGAGCTTGACACCCAACATCCGCGAAGCTAAATGGCCAATTGTGGCTTACATTTCCACGAAATAGAGAATCTACTCCCATTCGGGCCAGCCTTCGCACTCCTACCAAACTGGCCAAGAGGAATCGTTTCCCAGTGCTCTTGTGTTGTTCTTTCCTGTTGCTTATCCATCATGAGCCTGCAAGGGACTTCAAAAAGTCCAACTTTTGCAAAGTGGACAAGCGCTTGCATTCAATCAGAACCTTCAAGAGCAAATGCACAAGCAGGCAAGCAAGCAAATAAATACACAAGCAAGCAAGCAAATAAATACACCAGCAAACAAACAACAAGCAAGCAGGCAAGCAATTAAACAAGCAAGCAGGCAAGCCAGCGAATAAATACACAAGCAAGCAAGCGAGCAAGCTTGCAAACAAGAAACAAACAACCACACCAACAAACAAATGAACAAACAAACATGCATGCACGCAATCAAGCAAAATAAGCAAGAACACAAGCAGGCAAGCAAGCAAATGAACAAGCAAGCAGGCAAGCAAGCAAGCAAGCAATCAATCAGGCAAGCAAGCAAGCAAGCAAATAAATACACAAGCAAGCAAATAGACACACATGCGAGCAACCAAGCAAAGAAACAATGCAAGCGGGCAAGCAAGCAAGCAAGCAAAAAAGCAGGCAAGCAAGCAAGCAAGCAAGCAAGCAAGCAAGCAAGCAAGCAAGCAAGCAAGCAGGCAAGCCAGCAGGCAAGCAAGCAGGCAAGCCAGCAGGCAAGCAAGCAAGCCAGCAGGCAAGCCAGCAGGCAATACAAGCAGCAGGCAAGCGAATATATACACAAGCAAGCAACCAACTAAATAACAAGCAAGCAAGAGCACAACCTTGCAACAAACAATCAATCGAAGAACTGACACAAATACACGCACACACACACACACACTCACACTCAGGGCAAGTTAGTTTCCCCTCTCGGTTGCCAATAGACTGACTGTGGGTCCCGGCAACACCATGGCCAGAGCGGCGACCTGGGTGTCACCTCGCAAGACAGGCGCCGCGAACGGCTTCCGTTGGTCAAAAGGAAAACCAACTACTCACTTCCAATGGAGTGGACTGGCCCAAAATGTCTCGGAACTATTTGTTTGCCACGAAAATGGTCTCAGAGAGTGAGTACCGTTGTTGCTTGGACGTGCTGTGCATAACAAAGTACACCACCGTCCAGAAACTCTGGCTTCTGATTGGCTTCCCCGACATAAATACCAGCAAACAATGGCTTCCAACGGTTTCAAAGCTGGTGTAGGATTCGTCCATCCACAGTATGGCCGATTTGTTTTGGTATGCTTAGCTCAAAGCTAAGCCGCAGTTCGTAGCTTTCAGGGAGGGTTCCGGAAGGGTTTTTCTGCGGTTCTGGGGCTGTTGAAAACACCCCCTGGGCTTAATTGAATGTTTTGAAGATACTCCTTTGGTGATGTCCCACGGGATGGTGCAAAAAAACCTGGGAACAAGATTGAAACATCGAAACTAGAATCATGAGCCATTTACCGCTCAGCCCAAAACGTGCAGCAACGCACAATTCTGAAGGTTTCGACAAATTCAGGCGTCTCCGAACATGGGACATTGTATTGTGGAGCGCTGGCGCCTGTGGACACGCAAAGAACAGACCCAGCAAATAAAGGCTAGTTTGGGGCAATTGAAGGAGACCGGAAAAGCGCGGAAAACAGTGGAAGACCCTTTCCAAACAAAACGAGCCGCTAGAGTCGACACAATACCATTATCTTTTGTGGGCCCAGCCCCCTTTTCAGGTTGGAGTCAGTAATTGTCAATTTTGATTCATACAGCCCGTTGCGCTTTTCACAGCAACTGCGGGGTTTTAAGAGAACCCAAAACGAACCAGTCACCATTTCCTCCAGCACTCGCCTTATCTCAGGGACACCTTTACTTCATTGCAACCGGTCTTGGGGCGATGTGCGACCAATCGACAACTGACTCAGTGGCGCCGCAAAGGTTTCAGGGGGAAGGTTGAACTCCGTGGCCAGTACTGAACTGTTTTGTCACCAGTATGCCGACGAATCCACCTAATGACCACCCTCTCTCCCGCAACGTGTAAAGGGTCGAAATTCCAACGCACATACGGCGCTTCTTATTGGATCCTTTCGCCTTTCAAGAGAAGACCCTTGAAAATGTCAATCAGATCTGCATGATTGGTGGCTTGGATTGGTGGTTTGAAGGTTACCTAATGAAAGGAATCTTCAGCACGGGGTCTGAGGTCGCAAAGCTTGGTACTGGCAGATAGGTTCGTTGATATCCTGGCAGCAAATGATCGAAAGGATGGACGGAACACATTACAGAGATTTACCCCCCAAAGAAACCAAACTTTTCAGGAAAAAAACAAACCAAAACAGACAAATACAAAAAGAACAAGTATGAGAGCAAGGACATAAGGAAGAAGGTGGAAAACCCCAAGGACCTGCGAAAAAGGAAGCTCCTTGGGACCATCCATTGAGCTGTCCCCCATTCCCCCGAATTTCCCGCCTCCAAGTGCGCCAGCGCGATCAGCACGCCCAAGCTGCGCGCCAGGTCCAACCGCTGCTCCTGAAAGAAACCTAACCGAAGACCCCCTGCATCCGGTGGGGCGCATTTTTGTGTTTTTGAGGGTGCCTTCTTTTATGTCTTAAAGGGGAAAAAAGGAACACCAAAATTATTGCGGAGACCATTAACAAAGAAACGCCCAGTTTCATCTCGAAGGGCAACAGAGTTTTCAGAATCGGTGCTGTGCCACGCTTTGGCTCAGGGCTTGTGCAAAATTAGTGGTCTCCTTTTGTTCTTGAAAGCAGCCCAACGAAAAAACAATCAAACACATGTACCATACATGAACGTCCTTCATTGTGCTTTCGGCTGTTTTTGAATGGCGGTTACATTCATTGTGTGTCCTGTGGGTTACCCCGTCTCATTCTGGTCAGTTAGTGAATGTGCCATGGCATCCATGGTGGCTGCTGTGCATATTCGGTGTCTCGCAAGGCTCAGCCATGATGCCCGGTCACATACCAAGGCTTCATGTGTTTTGTCCTGCATGATCTTTGCGCCTAGAGGTCATGAGCAAGTCTATGCCTTCTCTCTTTCCAAGTTGTGGGCGAAGCACTACGGGGTGTAAGCTGAGTGAGTGAGAGCACACATGTGCAGGTTGAGTGAGTAAGATCGAGAGCGGTTGGAAGTCAGTGTTGAATGAGTGAGAGTAAGCATGCGCAAGTCAATACGTGTAAGCTAAGTGAGCGAGAGTAAGTGTATTCGTGGACAAGGAATTAGAACATCATTTGGTGAACTCATGTTCTAAGTTGCTTGTAAAAACCATGTTCCGGCATGGGTTTCCACCTTGGGACTTTTTGTAGAACGATGGTCAAGTATATAAGCAGGTGACATTTGTGGGATCAGCCCAAAGCCACCAAGGAGGCACAAACGTTAGTGCATGCTGGCGCGTAAGGCAAGTGACATTGCCAACACTTAATTTAGTATCAGTGCCCGATTTAGTACACCCAGTGCGCAGTTTAGTGCTGCCAGTACGTAGCTTTGCCTTCCTTACCCCGCCGCATGCGCCAAGTGTCAATGCCGCCGCTTGCGACGCGGCAGCCCCCCACATGTCATATTGCCAGTACACAACTTAATACTGCCAGTACTGAAGTTGTTGTTGCCAGTACTTAATTTAGCATTCCCGGAGATCACGCTGCTGGGTTGTTGTCCACAAGGCTGGGTTGCTTCACGAGTGGAGCTGTCGGAATTCTTCACGGTTGTGTTTTGCGCACAGGCTTTAGGAGGTTGGGGCGGCTGAATGAGGGAACTGGCAATCCATTTTCGGATGTCCGCGACCATGCGTAGGCGTAGGCTCTGCGTCGGCATGTTAACAAAGTTTTTTGATGGCCAGCACCAGCCTGCTCCACAGGACAAGTTTAGCCTGAATCCTCCCGGAGATGCGAAGTCGTAAATATTACAGGTCGCAAGTTTGATTGTTCTGTGTTTGACGCCGGGCCCTGCAGAAGGCGCCCGGGAGCCCTCCTGCGCTCGCGACAACGACAAAGACACAAGATTGCGTTTGGCCAAAACCAAAGACGCACCAGGCCTTTTGCTTCAGTAAGTTGCCCTAGCTGCGTAGAAGCGCTGCCTTGCTCAGCCAACTGTGGCGCCACCCCGACGCAAGACGATGGAAGATGAGTGCAGCGCTAGGACTACTACATCTAGTATTGGCAACGCAAAAAACACTTGGCAATTCCGAAATTCAGTGCTGGCAATACAAAGTCGTGTTCTCGCAACCTCGGCGGCTTGCGGGCGAGCGCAGCTCGCTGAAACAATCCGTTTGCCGAATGAACATTACGCAGCTGTCCTTGAGCGATTGTGCGAAATCAGTATATACCCGCTCACAGCCCTGCAAGCGGATAGGCACGTTTACTTTCTGTATTTCAGGCTGTCACATCTTTGCGGCTCAGGCTATGTGTTTCTGACACGTCGATAGCTGCACGTGTTCTCTTTGCATGTGACTCACCGCGGCGGAACAGTTCGAGGGTGAAAAATCGGCGGCCGGGGCGGCTCGGACCAGGCCCAGAGACGCCCAACAGAGAAGCTGCTCGGAGTCCTGCCTCGCAATACCACCTCGCCACATCCGGACATGCCACCCGGATGTCCTCGTACAAGGCGAAAAAATCAGAAGGCCGGAGAACGGAGAAATTCGCTCTGTTCTTGACAGTGTGTCAGCAGGCCGGCAAGCGGGCTAGAGTTGATGCTCGAACAAGTTATTGAGCACCAAGTGGCTATTGAACCAGTACTGAGCCACTACTAAACCAATACTACTCAACCAAGCAAAACTAAGCCGCACAAAACTAGAAGCATCCAAAAGCCATCTTGATTTCTGCGTAAACTCCCTGCTTGGAAATTGCAGCTGTAAACAAGTTTGTCTCCGGAAACGTGGGGAGGACGCTAGCGAACCCTCCCTCATAGCCTAGTGTACCCTATGTGGCTTATGAAAAGATGTTCCGCCTCCAGGCGAACATAGCTTTTGAGAGGCCATACTTATCATTCGGCTACTCTCGTCAAAGCTCCTGATTCAATGTATATTCGCTGCAGCCCATCACAGCGGTCTACTTTCTGTCCCCAGCCGGCAAGCGACGTAGACAGCCACGGAAAGCAAACGCAAGCCCAGCAGGATATGGAAGCCATCCTGATCAAGCTAAGTGCCTTGGGGCATCCCGACCAAGTAAGCAGCCTGGGACAAACAATCTTGAAGATAACTCTAATTTAAGGTGTAACAGGTTTACCGTGCACGAAATCCGGCTTGAGCACGTCCAAAGTACCGTGCCTGCCACAAAACCAGCATTCCGCCCGCAGCCGGCCGCTCCGCAACCAACAGTCTAAAGCACTGCGCCTGACGATTCCAGGCATTCTGCCCAAAGCTAACCCCTTCGCTCCGACCAGTCTAAAGTAGCGTGCTTGTCACGAAATCCATCTTCTGCAGGTCCAAAGTACCAAGGTGAGTGAGTGCAAGAAAGTGTCTGCAAGTTTGTGAGCGTAAGTTGAGTGAGTGAGAGTAAGTATGAGCAAGCTAAGGAGTGTAAGCTAAGTGCGCAAGAGTAAGTATGTGGAAGTGGAGTGAGCGATCGTAAGGTGAGTGAGAGTAAGTACGTGTAAGATGCATAAGTTGAGTGAGTGAAAGAAAGAGAGAGAGAGAGAGAGAGCAAGCACGTGTGCAAGTTCGTGAGTGTATGTTATGTGAGCAAGAATAAGTATGAATGAGCATGAGTAAGTGGAGTGAGTGAGAGTTTGCGTGGTGGAAAGTCAGTGAGTGCAAGTTCGGTGAGAGAGAGAGTAAGCATGCGTACGACGCGTAAGTTGAGTGAGTGAAAGAAACTATGCACAAGCTAGCGAGTGTAAGTGGAATGAACGAGAGTAAGTATGTGTAAGTTCGCGAGTGTGAGTTAAGTGAGCGAGAGTCAGTTGCGCAAGTGGAGTGAGTAAGCTTGGTTGAAAGTCAGTGAGTATAAGTTGAGTGTGTGAGTATGTGTGTGAGTAAAGTGTGAGTAAAGTGTGAGAGCGGGTGTAAGTCTGTAGAAGGGCCTAATCATGTTGCAAGAGCGAAACCCAACGGTTTGCGGTTCAACTTGCAATTGTTGGGGAATCGGCAGCCAGAATTGCTAAATACCAACGACAGATCGAAACCTGACTGCACAAATCTGGTGTGGCAAGCCTGCTCAATTGAAGCGATCCCTCCAGAATGGATGAGCCGGAGAAGTCCGAAACCTTTCGGGAGGTCCCCCCAATCCCGCAGGAAAGGTTCGCAAGACACTTTCTTAGAACAGATCTGCTGAGCCAGAGTTCTAAGAACGCTAATGTCTCTCCAAATGGTAGCCTCTTGCGCAAACACCAAGCCTTGCCCCACGCTGATTTCTTCCTACAAAGACTCCAAACCACGGAATTTCTCATGAGTGATCGCACGATGCAGAACCTATTGGCACCGAATCATGCATATGTGCACACATGTACTATATATGCGTATAAGTGCAAACACATGTGTAAAATTTTGTTGGAATCCTGACAACTCAAAATGGTGGTTACTCTTTTGTTTTTTCTTTAGCGCCACTCAAAATAGGGTACCCTCAAAAATAACAACCCCAAATCCAGGGGAGCGTGTGAACACTTTGCGGGCCGCAGTTAAAGTCTTCTCAGGGTCCTCAAGAAAGCTACGGACAAGTTGGGTGGGTGTCTCAAAGCGACAAAGCCCTTCCAAACTGGCTGTCGTATCAAACACAATCCTTCGGGTTCCCTTCAAACAACCTCAACTGTCGGATACCTTGAACGAATAAATGCCGGGCACAAAATCGAGCATCTTCCCTTTTTCCTTTCCCCGGCTCAACCTACAAATGCATGCTTGAGCTTCTCGGCACGCGCATCGATCCTCGCATCGATCCAGCAGCGCGTTGGTGAGGCGAGGCGGCGGCAGGTGCCGGAGCCGCGCCAGGGCGGCGAAGGTGAGGCCTGTCGTTCTCGGGTCGGTTTTTGGGTGGGAGCCATGGCCTCTCTTCGGTGCTCCTCTTTTTTTCTTTTTCTTTTCCAAACACGTACCGTCAAAACTCAGATGTCCAGTGGCTATGGGAAAAAAAGGGCATTTATTTTCGGTTTGTTAACTTTAAAGAGCAACCCTTCCCCGAAAATAGTAAAAAGGGGCACTTCTGGGCAACTGGGAAAACAAGGCCCTACGTACCTTGCAATAGGTCTTCCTTTTGGGTTGGAGCCAGAAGAAGTCAATTGAGAGACCTGGGCGGAAAGCCTATAGCATGGTCTTGTTCCCTTTGTAGGACCATTGTCTTAGAACGGTTCTCCTTTCGGTTTCACAAACCAAAAAGGAGCCGCAAACAAGACACATGGTCTTGCAAATCACATTCAGAAACACCCCTCATAGGGGTCATGGTTCGGACCATGTTCCTTTTCAAAAAGGGGCAATTTTCCTGGTGGGGTCCATGGCAACATTGACTAGAGCGTAATTCCTAGTCTTTAGTTTTCGGCCTTCCAGTCAGCGGGAACAATGTAGGTATCGTTTTCTTCCAAAATGGTGGGTTTCCTTCTGGCTTTAATTTAAGCCACCAATAAGGGACCCTTCAAAAAACACACACCCATTTGTCGCCGCGCCCCTGTGCCTGAGAAATGCTTTTTTTGACAGAGGAATAGAGGAATTAATGGGATGAAACCATTTTGGGGCGCAATGCTGATCAAGCAGACTCACTTCCTGAGTGGACTGGCCTAAAAGAAAGTCAGACACTCTTTGCTTGCCTCTAAAAACCCAAGCCCAACACAAGAAAGTCCAGGAACTCCGGGAACGAGTAGATGACAGGCCGCAGACGCGGCCGCAGACGCGGTCCGGCTGTCAGGGCTTAGATGAGTCACTTGCTCAAAACCCGGCACAAAAATGGTCTACGCTTCGCGAACTAAGAAGGCGGCCGAAACTATTTCTGGCTGGGACTGCCCCTTACTAACCTTCATCTACCCGGGTTTTGAGCAAGTGGCTTAGATGGGCAACGAAAAACCCGCGCCTACGGCTTCCGCGGGCACTCGACCTCTTCGCTCCATTTCTCCCAGCAGCTCCTGGGTTTCAACCGCGTTGTTCAGCCACGCTTTGAATGCCTGGCAGCCCAACCTTCCATTTGCTTGAGGCCCCAGGAAAATAGAAAAATATGTCCAGCAATGTTGGACCTCCTGTATGAATAGTACTCTCTATTGTGGAAACTTTTTTGTTATTCAGAATCGTTTGACTGCTTTAGGGGTCCTCTATTGTGGAAAGTTTTTTTGCGGGACACAACGCTGGGGAAATATGGGCAAAAAACTTCGCAAACAAGTCGGGCCAAAAAACGGGCAAGCAAACCCTCGCAAACATTGGGAAATCCTTTTCTTGACGTGGTCCCCAAACCATCAAATCTAAGATCACCCAAAGGGGGGTGCCCACAAGAGACCCAGATCCTCTTTAATGCGACTGTTTTGGGGTCCTCTTTAGTGTCCAACTGGTTTTGGGGGTTGCTGAACAAAACGATCCTTGGCAATACTACAGTAGAATTGGCGATGCTAAAGTAAGTACTGGGGATCTGAGTGTCAGTGTTGGCAATACTAAAGTAGAATTGGCAATGCTAAAGTAACCCACAGCCCCCGTGGTTTGCCGGCACCCCCTAATCCACCCTTGTCCAGCACGTGGTTCAAGTATGGCACCCTTTACTACTCAAGTAGCACAACTCGTGCAGCCATACGTGACACGTGGTGACCTGCGTTCTCTTCAGAACGTGGGGCCGTGGTACCACGAGGCGTGGGTAGCAGGAAGGTCTGGGGGTTTTTAGGGTTTAGGTTTAGGGTTTTTAGGGTTTAGGTTTTTGCAAGCAGGTTTGGGTTTTTTTAGGGTTTCGGTTTAGGGTTTTAGGGTTTAGGTTTAGGGTTTTTAGGGTTTAGGTTTAGGGTTTTTAGGGTAAGGTTAGGCTTAGGGTTGTAAGGTTTAGGTTTAGGGTGTTTAGGGTTTAGGTTTCTGGGTTTTAGGGTTGAGGTTTAGGGTTTTAGGGTTTAGATTTATGGTTTTTTGGGTTTAGGTTTGGGTTTTTGTGTCGGGGCGTTGGTTCGGGGCGCAGGCAAACCTCAGGGGCTGGCCGTAAAGTAAGTACTGCCCCTCCCAGACCCCCAGGATTTCACTAAAGAGAGTCCCGCCGACTGGTTCCACTGTTCGGGGGGGGGGTTACATTAAAGAGAGTCCAACATTAGTGATGAATTCCTTTTAAAACCAACAAGGGAAAATACAAACTATTCTTAAGCAAATGGAGGCAAAGGGGATGTTTCCCGATGAGTATTGGGCCGCCAAGGGTGCGCAATATCACCCAGGCTTTCTTATGTGTCCAACCTAAAGAAACATCACCCCCGCTAAAAGAGAACATCACCTCCCACTAAAAGGTAACACAATTCAAACCGCCATCAAAAGTGATGGTTTAACCACCTCCAACGAACAATATGCTGTTCACCACAATCCCACCCAAGGAGCATTCACTCAAAACGACATTCCGAAAGCTGATGGTCCAACCATCCCTGTCCTCTGCTCCTTCTGTTGCCACCTTCCTGGATGGCAGCGATGAGCGCGAACGGAATCAGCCACGACTGCTGTTCTTCCAGCGAAGCAACGCAACCGGAAAACCAACAGCGTTTCCAAGACTGATTTGCTTTGGGCAAGTGAGCCCTAGCAACCGTAGACAACAATCATGTGATAAGTTGTGATGCACAATTGCAACGGTACCCTGCGACATCTGAACACACATTCATCAAGTTTGCTGGAGAAGACATTTTGTAGACACAAGTTGAGGGATGTCTGTAAACTTTTGCCAACCGATATGCTCGACAACGGCAACATACGGAGAGCTCCTGCGCAGGCCAATAACTATCCCATAAACATAACCTGAGCTGTCCTCAGATCCCCTGCTAAAAGTTCTCAACTGTTAGTGAGTTAAATGGGAACCCTTGCGCCAAACCAACTAAACACCTAAAAGCTTAAGTTGAACCGGACGATTCGCTGGTTCTGAACCGCCAAGTAACATATCCTCGTTTCCGCGCGATTGTAAGCAGCGCCGGACCCAGTTTCTTACGCTCCAGTCACGGGTAATCAAGGGCTTCTGAGCCAAGGCAAGGGAAGCCTTGTATCAAGCGAAATATGGCAACATTGTTGGTGTGTTCCTTTGTACCAAAATCACTTTAGTTTCTTGCCCAGATAATCTATGACCCTGCAAACAGAAAACGGGTCAGCTTTAGAGCAAAGTGCTTGTTTGAAGAGCTCAAGTGTCACAGTCAAACATCCCCAAGCTCAGCCACGTCTATGCGTGCGTGGCCTTTTTTTGTTGACGGCACCGTTCTGTTTCAAGTGAAACCAACAGAATACCCCTGAGCAACCCCGATTGGGTAACTTCTCTACTTTGAGACAAACCCATGCAAGGATCAATTCACTAACATGGAACCTGATTTGGGCTCCCTTCAGAAATTTGTTCTCCTTGTACCCCATAAGAACCGTCAAGGCTTATGAGCCACAATCAACAATTGGCGACCTGGTTTACCGAACCAATGGTCAAGAAAGAAACGGGCGAATATCCGCACCAGTGTATGGCTGGGACTGTCCCTTTGTACAGTAACCATCATCTACCCATTGATTTTGGCTCTCATGGTCTCATTTGCTAGGTCCTCCAGTAGACAGGTGAGAATAAGGGCCCCCTTTATACTGAAAACGGGCAAAAGGGCACTACTGGGGGACCTAGTTTTCGTTGAAACCATGGGGAAAATCCAAAGACTTGGGACAGGCTCGCAAATTGTGCTTTTAACCAGGGACTGCTGGCTGCCCTAAGATTCTATTGGTTGATTCCAACCATTCTTTTTAGCCATCGTTCCTTTCAAAAGCCAGCCATTTCCCCAGGGTTTTTGGTGGTCCTCTAGAAAGAAGGATCCCTGGAAAGAATTGGGAAGTTACCCCTAGACAAATCTGTGTAGCAATCCCGCTAGGCTTCTCCAGCTTCTGGCCGAGGGGCGAAACCGAGTTCAGCAGAAGTGCCAGCTGGAAGTCACTGCCTGCGGAACATATGGCCATGGGGTGCAGGGCTCAAACACGTTTGCACTGTTAGCCAAAGAATGTCCACATTCGTTTTTTTCTTTCTTTCTTTTTCAGAAAACTAGAAAGGGTAGGGAATACAGAAAGCTGCCTGTCCGGGGATGGTGAACACCTGAATGAATCCCTCCTGGCCATTCTTGGGCGCAGCAAACCACAAGCCAATCCTCAGCCAGCAAAACCGAAGGCCTCAACCAAATTGTTGATTCCCAAAACAGAATATCTCAAAGTGGCACAGGGAACCCCCGAAAGGGAATCATGATGTATGTTTCTCCTCTGAAAGCCAGGATATTTTTCGGAACGCGCTTGTTTGTAGGATTTTTGGAGGGGCAGATGAGGGTATAAGGGTCAGGACACATCTTTCGCACGAGTACTTAAAAAACATCTAAGCCACTAAGCAGAGAGGACCGAAGAGGAATTTTCAGCTGGTTTCTATTTGTTCCAACCGTTTTCTTCTTTTTTTGGGGGGGCCTCTACTTATCACTCTCCACTAATTTTTCATTTGGCTCTCATTCCTCTTGAAAGGTTTGGGCTCCACCCCTCGAGGAAGCCACCGACTTGGGAACAGAGACTGTCCAGAACCCGACGTCATGGAGGCGACCGACACCGCGAGCCAAAATCTGAAGGTCGTGCAACTCCTGACCGAATGTCCAAGTGTCTGCATCCATCCGGACGTCTTCCCTCAAGTTTAGAAGAAAGGGTCGGCCTCAGGACATCTCAGGACCATTTGAGCCTCAGAACAACTGCTTCCCCGTCGCGAAGGTATGTCACCAAGTGTTGGCAGCGGGCAAAAAGCTGGCAAAATGGAGATCTCTGCAGGTTGTTCCACACAGGGTTACCTCCTATTGCTACTACCACCTGTGGGCACCACCAAGAAGGTGAGTCCATAAAGCCACCTTTTGAGGGCATTTAGAGCTGGACGGCTGTGGGTGCGTGAAGGCAAGGGCATTTTGGAAGTGGAATCCAGAGCAACAGCCCACGGGTGTGTTTTCAACTGGACCCAAGATGGGCGGCTTCGGCGTCCCTTCGGTCAACTCAAAACAACCCCAAAAGGGCACCGTCGCAAAGACATTCTGGCTCCCACTGCTCTAGCATCATATCATTGCCCAAGTTTTGAAGGTGAACCATCGGTTCAAGTTCAATACCCCTCAGCCTGACAGATCAACAGTTGAGATCATGGCAACAAACTTTGCTTGCCTAAACGGTTCATCACATCCGAGACGTGGCTTTCGTCTCATGATGGATCTGTGCAGCTTAACTTTCTTCGTGGCTAGTGACCATGGTTAAAAAAACAGCGCACACACACAAAGGGCGGAACCTACCTGGCATCATATTTTGCCATTGTCCAAGTCACCATCTAGGTGGAAAGGAAAGCAACCGATTCCAGTTTCTGACATCGATCCCCCTGAAGCAGTCAAAACTGGGCCGCCCTTAGACCGCTAAAAGTGACTAACTTTTAGTGGGTTAAATGAAAATCCAACCACTAAACACTAGGCTAAAAAGCCAAGGGACCGGCTGGGAGCCACCAAGAGCTTTCTGCTCCCCTGCTAAAAGTTTAACTTTTAGTGGTTTAATGGAACACCCATTAGTTGGCAAACAGTTAAAGTCGTAACATCCAAGCAAGATGCACCAAAGTACTGACCACCCGAAATCAGCCCAAGTACTGACCACCCTGTCTACCGCGCAGTGGGGCTGATTGCCCCCGTCGGCCTGTTGCAAGCTTCACCTTCAGGGCGAAGGCCCCGCGCACAGCGTCCTCGCGCAAGCAGCTTGAGATGGGTTGACCGCCACTGGCGCCGGCGTTTCTCAGGAAAATGTTATTCCCTCCAAGAGGCTGGCCCCATTTTCTCAGGCAAACGCAGCAAAACTAGTTCCTCCATCCCAAGAGGGTTTTCTTTCAACCCGGGCACTTTTGCGCACCCACCGCGCGCTGATTTCTGAGTTTTGGAGCCTTGTATAAGCCCAAGAAATCGCAAGCTTCATGCGAACAGGGTAATTTCAGGCTGGTTTGCGGACTCAAAAGGACGCCCTTCCGTCGAAGGCCATCGGACAGAAAGTGCACTTCTGGGCCACAGTCATTACCTCAAAACCCCAAGATGGCCAAATGAGAAACCATCGGTGTTCACTTCACGAGCGGCCAAACATGATCTGAAGTGTAGAATGAAGTTTGAGCGTCCAGAAGATGCGATGATCTGAAGTCTGGAATGAAGTTTGACCGTCCAGAACATGCGATGATCTGAAGTGTAGAATGAAGTTTGAGCGTCCAGAACATGCGATGATCTGAAGTGTAGAATGAAGTTTGAGCGTCCAGAACATGCGATGATCTGAAGTGTAGAATGAAGTTTGAGCGTCCAGAACATGCGATGATCTGAAGTGTAGAATGAAGTTTGAGCGTCCAGAACATGCGATGATCTGAAGTGTAGAATGAAGTTTGAGCGTCCAGAACATGCGATGATCTGAAGTGTAGAATGAAGTTTGAGCGTCCAGAACATGCGATGATCTGAAGTGTAGAATGAAGTTTGAGCGTCCAGAACATGCGATGATCTGAAGTGTAGAATGAAGTTTGAGCGTCCAGAACATGCGATGATCTGAAGTGTAGAATGAAGTTTGAGCGTCCAGAACATGCGATGATCTGAAGTGTAGAATGAAGTTTGACCGTCCAGAACATGCGATGATCTGAAGTGTAGAATGAAGTTTGACCGTCCAGAACATGCGATGATCTGAAGTGTAGAATGAAGTTTGACCGTCCAGAAGATGCGATGATCTGAAGTGTAGAATGAAGTTTGAGCGTCCAGAACATGCGATGATCTGAAGTGTAGAATGAAGTTTGAGCGTCCAGAACATGCGATGATCTGAAGTGTAGAATGAAGTTCGAGCGTCCAGAACATGCGATGATCTGAAGTGTAGAATGAAGTTTGAGCGTCCAGAACATGCGATGATCTGAAGTGTAGAATGAAGTTTGAGCGTCCAGAAGATGCGATGATCTGAAGTGTAGAATGAAGTTTGACCGTCCAGAACATGCGATGATCTGAAGTGTAGAATGAAGTTTGACCGTCCAGTTGGACCCTGCAAGCGTTGGTCCAGGTCGCCACTGCAGGTCGTTCAAAGGTTGCACCACCAAGGCAACAATACCATGAAGGGCAACGTTGCCTTTTGGGCAGGCAGCGTTCAAATGGGAATTGCAACCAAACAAGGGTACGGTATTCTCAAAAAGACCATCCTCGAAATTGAAGAACATCTGAATCTAGCTTCCAACCTACTGATGGACAAAATTCGTTTCGCACCACCTGGTAGGTACAAACATGACTTTTCTTGAGGAAGCAAGCATATGCTTCCCAGCCCAAGAACCACTTTAAATCTGGTACTTTCATTCCCTTCGTCCTATTTTTATTGCACCTTCTTCTCAGTATTCCTGGGGTTTCCATCCTTCCATTTGATTAAGGCCCCAGGAAAAAAGGAACCTATTTCTAGCAGTGATGAATTCCTTTTAAACCAACCAGGGGGGGGAAAAACGACAACAACATTCTCAATTCCTTTTAAAACCAACCAGGGGAAAAAACAACAAACAAACAGCATTCTCTTAGTCTTAAGGAAAGCGGAGGCACCCCAACTGCCGCGCTTTTCGCGGGGGCTTGGCATGGCGCGCGCTCTCTCTGGCTCGCTCGCTCGGTCCGCCAGGTCAGGGCGCTGCCTCGGTTGAACCCGCGAGTGAGAGATTCCCAGGGTGATAGGCTTCTCATGCTGAGAGAATCAACTTCCATTTGTGTTCGCCCCTGGGAAAAAATGCAAATATTTCCGGTAGTGATAAGTTCCCTTCAAGCTCAACCGCGGAAAAGAACACATATTCTTAAGCAAATGGACGCAAGGGGTTCGAGATCCGGCCCGGCGAGCCGGGGTTCAAGATGGTTTCCTTTCAGGGAACCTTTTCCCGCTTCATTCCCAAAACCCCGGAACGGTCACTACCTGTCGCACCGATCGCAAGTTCTGCGATTCCAATAGGAGAACCCCTGAAGCAAAAACCACGTGCCACTGAACAACAGGATGGGGAGTGAAAGGTGACCTGGCAGCCGCCAAATTGTAAAATTGGAAAAGTCAAAAGGTCAAAACGGGTGGGGGGAGTGATTTTTTTGGGGGAATCCTCTGTTTGGTTGGTTTGAAAGGGACACCAAAACGACCACCAATTTGCGGTGCCTTGACAAAAAAACACACACCCGAATGCTTACTAATTGGCGTCGGACAAGTCTGCTCGTTGGATTCGTCGAATTGTGGTTGAGTGAATTGGAGGGCATTTGAGACCCCTCTGCATCACACTATGGAAGGAAACTTGCGATTGCTGTGACAAGTGGGGAATGTGGTGGAATGAACCCAGGGATTCCTTAGGAAATCACCACTTGCATGGCTTTTATAGGCGTCCTTCCATTTCTCATTCCCTATTGAGCACCAGCAAGGTAAACCCCATCAATGGGTGAGTCACTGCGCATGCCGAACCAAGTCAATCCCTTGCGTGTTAAATGCTCAAAGAGCCAAACTGTGTGAAGAACATGCTGGAAGGATTCCCTTGGACGGGGACCTGAGCCTTGGTGTTTAAACAGGTTTGCCTTGGACCCCTAAACCCTTGCAAAATTTCACGACATGCTGCATTGAAATCTTCAACCTGGGCAAATTGCTACAATGTCAAAAGGCATCAAAAGATATCAAAAGGCGATTGTAGAACCAACTAGTATCACCGAAGCTGCGAGCAAGACCCTTGGCTCACGTTCTTCTTTAGGCACATACACCCCATGGCCTATTGGGCAATTCTTCAAACAGAAGCCCTAAAGGGGTTCGACAAAAACCAAACGACGTGTGCATGGTTGGCATTTTGGGTACCAATGGACAACACTTGGAGGGTGCTGGTTACCATAGAAAGGGTTCCCCCACACCCATGGGTTCTTCGACTGAACAAGTCGCTTGGCTCAGCTAAGCCCAAAGCTTTGCGAAGTGCGCGAGAGCGTTCAGCAAAGACGCCGCCTCCTGGCCGCAGTGCCCCTTTTGTACCTTTCATTGGAGGTCTCTTTGTCTTGTGTGACCCTTTTTGGGCGATTATATCATTTGGGCCGCTTTCTTTGATGTCCCTTACCACAATTTCCAGGTTCTTGCGTGACCCGTTGTGGGCGATTGCATCATCCAAAAGGCCGCTTTAAGTTCAGTATTCTTGGGGTTGGATGATGAAAGGGGACACCCTGCGCCAAGGAGTGAATGTGAGCTCGAATGGGTTGGCTCCTTTTGGAATGGAGTTGCGTGGCAAAGGAACCAACGAACCAACATGGGTGTGGTTGCTTTCTTGAGCGTACCCCCCTTCTGCGGAAAGCATTGAAGGGGGTCTCCTACAAAAAGACGAGCCACATGGTGATTTGAAATGTGTTCAGGGCTTTGCCTTTCAAAAGTCCGACTCATTGGCAACTCGGCAACACTGGAGCAGGTAGATGCGCAAGGAGGCTCTTGATGGATGCTGTGAAGCGGATCGATTCGAACAGAGCCAACTCTCGCGAGCAGAATAAATCAGTGGCATGTCTAAAAAGCAGAGCTTCCAGCATGACAGGCATTGAACGCCAGCAAACAAGCAGGTGACGTGTTTCCTAGGCCCTCTGGCTGAACAATATGTTGCCAGTCTCCGCACCACATCGGAAGGGACAATATTGACCAAGCAATCATTGGCACCAATTGATTAGCAACAATCGGAGGCTTCTCTGGTATTCGGAATGCCAGATTGAATCGGGGACGACAAGCATTGCCATTGAGACATCATTTCAAATAGAACCTCACTAGTCCAAAAGGGAACCGAAATCTGATTTTCTGAAATCGGGTTTAATTGAAATGCTCTATTTGAACACGCAAAGATACGTCGTTTGCTCATCTCGATAAATTACACAGCCAAGAGCAAATGCCCCGTCTTGGACCACTCATCTGGACGCGTGTCAAGAATTTATCATTTTAATACAGCCGGATCGTGGGGCCGGAACTTCTGCACTCACATCTGCACTTGCAGAAGAACATCTACACAAATGAAGGAATCCAAGAAAAGCTTCCTGGGCAAACTCATTTTAGCCCGGAAGCGGATGGTTGAGCATTTAGCATTCTGGGATCTCTGGTGTCTTCTCAGGGCAACTCGGATCCCCCTCGCACGTCCGACACCTGGGGCAAAGGTTCTTGCGGACGACCTTTGAACAGCCATTTTTTTTTGGGGGGGGAGGTACCCGCCAAAATGGCTTCGCTTTTGCATTTGTTTCTTTATCGGTTTCCCTTTAAAACCACCAGAGAAAGGGCAGCTTTCCTTCGTCTCATCTCCTGCGCGTTGAACTGGAGCTCTGCGGCCACCTCCGCCGCGGCCACGAATGTCTGGGCATCCTCGAAGCTTTCGATCGCTTTTCTCAAAGCAAAGGCTCAAGCGACGCGAGCCAAAATCTACCGGGATCCTTACAATGGATCCACTTGAACATTGCAACTTGTAAATGCTGGTGTCCATTTCTGTATTTTTGGTGTTGAAAAAGCCACATGTTTCAAATGGTGGCAAAATGGAGATCTTTTAAGGAGCCCTGCAAAATCTAGAGGGGGGAAGGACACCTATGCTTGAGGGGGTCAAAAGCCCGTACCCCCAGTGATCATCCCAATCCCCACTAAAATAGGTTCTATAATGGGTGGTGCACCTATTCCAAAATGGGATACCATTCGTTTTGACCCACAGCCAAATCTAAAGGGGGGAAGGGAGGGAGAAACCACTTCAGGGTTGCAAATCTTCAACTCGGGCCTTCAAAACAATCCATCCCTCTTCAAGTTGCGATTTCCTGTGTATGGAACTCGCTGGTGAATTCTGCCTGCCCCCTATTCACCCTCTTGCTCTTACGAAACAGGCACGAAAGTTGCTGGGTCCACACCGTTCGGGGCATATAAAGTGATCTGCTGCTTCGCGAGTGCCAAAAGCTGTCGGTTTGGAAAGGGGAAGAAAGGGAAATCAACCATTTGGTTCATCTTTAGACCAGCCCAGGTGTGGACGACTTTTTCATTTTGCTTTGAGCATGTGAGCCCCGTGAATTGCCTTCTTTCTGGCTTGATTGATCCGCCCACAGCTCGGCTTGGCCAATGTTTGAACATGGGATTGAACATTCGACCATGGAACTCCGAGAGAAAACACTCGTTCAAGCCGGTGAATGGGAAACATGGCTCTGGGAATGAGCCTTTAGCCTCTGCTTTGTCAACAGCAATAATTGTCCATGGCTCTACATGGTATGGTATCATCCCCGTTGGTTAGGACTTAACCCTGCCTGTACACTACCCTCAAAGGTTGACAGTCTACTCGTTACCTACTACTCCCCTGCAACCAAACATGGAATCGACAGAGAGTCTCCCAAAAGCAGACTCCTCTACAAATGATGTTTGTTTCTTGGTCCACGTATGGGGAGGACGTGGGCTGAATATCCAACTTTGACTCATAGACGACATGCCAAAAAAAACTCTGCAAGCCTCAGGGTCATGAGAGCCAAGGGAAGTCGGAAACGTGGGGCTTCGGCTCAAGATGAAGGGCTCAGCAAAACAAAAGGAATGCTGCCAACTAATTTCCAGCATGTCTCTCGTGCTTCTCATCTTGTTTAAACATCACCTCACCAACAAAAACGCTCTCTGGTTGCTTTCTGCTCCCCTGCTAAAAGTTTGACTTTAGGTGGTTTAATGGAGAACCCATTAGTTGGCAAAAAGTTAAATTCAAAGTTATCCAAATGAATCCAAAGGGGGGGTTCACACAATTGAAATCGATGAGCAATGGACAGTGCAAGGCTTTGGAGCTTTGACATGTGCCATGGAGCGTCGAGTCGCGAAAATCTTGCTGCCAGGTGTCCCACACACTCAGCCGTGCCAAAGCACCTCGGATGTAATTCGCAGGCGAGAGTCTCTGAAACATGTCTGGCGTATGCCAAGTACTTCAAGCGGTTGTTTTGACTTTTTCAGCTTACCCCCTGTTTCGGTGGCTTAGGGAAACCAACAGGGACAACTTGAAGCCATGTTGGGGGCTCGCAGATAAAAACAACGAAACAATCACACAAACCAGCAATTGATTTTCCTGGTTGCGTAGATCAGACCTTTTAGTTGCAGGAACGAACATGGAATCGGTGTTCATCCAGGAGATGGAGGAAAGGAACATCGTAAGACCTGAGCGGAAATCATTAGGCAGCAACGCTGCCTGTTGCTGTGTTGCCTTGTTGTTGCATCGTAGTTAGTAGTTAAAGGGTCGGCCGCGGACGGCCCAAATACATTTGCTCACTTGCTATTTTCCCCCTGCAAAAAAACGGGATACAAGGGACATGTCTAGCTTTAGGACGTCCGTATTTGCAGATGGCAGCCTGAGCCCCGCGCATATCAGGTTCGCCACGTCCTGGCAAAGGATGTTGCAGCCCCCGATCTACGTGAGTTGACTTTTTGACACTATTTGTGGAAGGACTGAGTCGAAGGGCACGTACGTTTTTTGGGAGTGATTCCGGCTTCCATAAATTCCTTTTAAATGGGTGACGCTGACCTATCGCGCGTACATCGCTTGAGTGACGCTCAGGGCAGGAGCATGACATCCCTTCAAATCTAAGGTCACTTGAACTGCAGGTGTGAGGCATTCACGGCATTCTGGGTGAATTACAAATAGGTCACTGACCAAATCACGGGCTCATGCAACAAACCTTCATGGGCGAGTCTGCAAACCCTGTAATTTGCTGGGACATCCTGCATCCAAGATGGAATTGGGTATTAAGTACGATTCAGAATGGTGGCTTCGACGTCCAGATGACTGCTAAAACAATCAGCATGCGTTGACGTTGCAGATACATTTCAACGTAACTGTCACAATTAACACTCCAACAACGGCACACTCCCCTCAACTCTTGACCCCAACTCACGCCTTCCAGTTCAAAGGCCAAATCGGTCTGGGGCAGGTAGCCCTGACTCTCTTGTCTCACACAAAACTGATTCTTTGTCCTCTGATCGGTTTCAATGGACGACCACAGAGACCTGGTCTGATCAAATCTAGGTCCCAGCACCCAAGCACCCAAGCACCCAAGCCCCGAGACTGAGCTGTTCTTTTCAACCAGGTCTCCTTGATTGGGGCGACGGGTTGTCCAAAGAAGGGGGCTCCCTAGCTCCAGAGATTCTTCCCCCATTCTAGGGCTCCTTTTTTTGGACAATGGCCAAGCATCCGGGCATCTTCGCCAAGAACGATGCGGCAGCCGAACGGGAAAATCACCCTGTAAACAACTAGGTCCTCCAGTAGAGAGGTTAGAATAAGGGTAGCCTCTTGCTGTAGTCTATTTTAGTAGGGGAACCGAATCTCCCAACCAAAACAGGGGTATTAGAAAGGGCACAACTGGGAGACCTAGACAACTTCGACGACTCGTGCGGCTTTCCCTTGCACACTTTTCGCTTTTTCGCCTGCGAGTTCCATCGCTGGCGCTGCTCTCGGAGAGTCTGCAGCACCTCGGCGCAAGCCGAAAGCCAAAGGCTGGGCTTGGACCCGTGGCTGGCTTGGCTTTCTCTGTGGGTACCTGTTGTAGCACAAGGCAAACTGAAGCCAACAAGGGGGGCTCCGCCAAAAAACAAACATGACAGAGTTACATGCCAATCTCCCTCTTCGGGACCCTGCTGAAAGAGGGGGTCTCTGCCCAAATATGCTCTCAACAAAACTCGGAGTGAGTAGTTTTCAGGGAGGGTTCAACAGGAGGGTTCCGGGGAACCTTTTGGGGATACCATCCCGGGCTTTGTTCCTTGCCGGCCGGCTTAGGAAGCTTCACCCGTCCATGACCAAAAACCCCGTGACGAGCCGTGAGTTCTCTCATCCAGGTTCCCATTCGACCGACCGAACCGGCGCAAGGCAACCTGGCACCGGGAAAATTCAATTCGAGGAAACCAAACCAATGTTCTGCCTTCAGGGCGTCATCGGCTCGAAACGAGACTTGAACGCAAACTCACAGCCCCCAAAGGTCCAGGAGGCAGAGGTGTAACTCAGCACACCCAGTTGCAACCCGCATAACCTGTACCCCTTGGAGAACCTCGGCAAACTTGCAATCCCAGCTATCACTTTTGATGTCCACAGCTCAAGATGAATGCCAGCCGAAAGCTTGAGGAGGTCGAGCCTTCTGATTCAGTACGGAAACATTCGCACTTCGCCGGCACGTAAATCTGACCAACCAAATCGAATCATCTGCAAGTTTTACTGGAATTGCAAACATGTTCATAGAGAAATGGATCCCGAATCCTCAAGTAAAGGACCTTTGTCATGGCTTTCGCTCGTTCTACCCCGCGATTGGTAAGCTCGCAATAGACAGAATCATGGAAATCACCACACAAGAAGCAGACTACTCAGCTTGAAGCAAGCCAAGCTCGCAATAAACCGGGCATAATTGTGGAAACCACACATACGGTTTCAAGCAAAACCGAGAAACCGCCGCGCCCTGCGGGTTTTCGCCTCGCTTCCTGAGCTTTTTGGGAACGCCCTCCCGGTGCGCCGGTCTGGGAACCGCTGACTGGTCGAAGCATCGACATCTCCTTCATGGTGAGCTGAGAGAAGGCAGAGACAACGTTCACCAGGTTCTGCACCTTTGGCGCGGTAAACAAACGCGACTTCCGTATTTTACCTCTTGGTTTATCCGTCAAAAATCAGGTTGGGGGTCAACAAAAACAGGGCCCCCGGTTTTGTAATCACCACATAATCACCACCCTGTGTGTTTGGGCGAATCTCAAAACGTCTCCACCCGAAAGGAGGCATATGCGCCTAAGGGCGTGTCGGGGCACAGCTGTTCTTCCTATTCCAATCACCACCAAGGGGAAACTCGCGCCTGTTTTGGCGTATCCAACTTAATATCTCCCAATCGACTGGAGGCGCACTCTTGGTTCCAACCACTCAAAGCGGAAGCAGGAAACTCTGCCCTGAGTTTGAGGTTGGAGGGATTTCTGCTTCGACATTTCCCTTGCTTCTGCCCTTCTTCCCGTGGGAAATCATAGGGACAACTGCTTGGCAGGTTGAATTCAATCGACCACGTGGAAAATCGGAAACAGCTTTCTTCCCCTGGGTTGGGATGGTAGAGCCAGCGGAAGAGAAATGGTAATTGGTAAGTGCAGGTTTTAGTTGGGCTGTCCGTTTTCAGATCCCCTGCCAATAGTGCCTTCCATGTTGCCCGGTTAGCTCGCAGGGTTGAATGGACAAACCCAACCACGACAACCTAGAAACCCTAAAAACCTAAGGGGGCGGCCGGGAATCGCCAAGGTGTGCAAATCAGTCAGCTCAGAACCTCAAATCCTCGGGGTGGGCCGCTTGCTGCTTCGGACCCGAGCCAGCCATAGCAGGCTAAGCGACGGGAGGTTCCCACTTGGTGATCTGCTGACATGATGTTGAGCCCATATGAATCAACCCCTGTTTTTGTTAATAGGGGGATGTCAATGGGATTCGTGTCACTGGAGGGGAACACCTTGATATGAATAAACAGGGGCTGATTCCTATGGGGTCAACATTACAGTGGCAATAACATCTCTCAATTATCCAAGAGCTACAATCCGAATGAGTGGCACGGCTATTTTGGTGGACTTCACAAGCCAGTAAGGATCCAGTTGAACGCCACAATGTTAGCTTCATGGCTACAATCAACAAGGGTAAGTTCCCTAACTAGAGGTCGCGCAAACCACCTGTTTAGACACGACAAAACACCGCATTTGATTCCTTGCCCTGCTTTGATGCTGCCTGCTTCCCCCCAAAACTGGTTCACGTCCAAACCAGTTTTCACTCAACACCACCACCACAGCCTATGTGGCCATGGGTCAAAATCCCGTACCCCCAGTGAACATCCCAATCCCCACTAAAGTAGATTAACATATGGTACCATTGGTTTTGACCCACAGCCTAGGTCAGCTTGTCAAAAGAATCGTGCCCTAAGGCCGTGGACTTCCTGCACTGGCTCCATATGAGCCGTTGGCTTGCAACCCCCCCGCCCCCCGGCCGTGGAAAACTGAGAGGCACATCGGGATCTTTTGACTAAACCTCTGGTGATTTCCTGAAAATTGAGGAGCCCCCCTTTATGATATACTTATTTTTCCTTCCAAGAACCAGCCAAGCATAAGGCCCTTCCTCTGCTAAGGCAACACATCAGTCGAGTGAACGGGGTACTGCAGATCACTAACCACTAAAAGTAACCATTTGTCTGCTGCAGGAATGTTTTGGTGTCCCTCCCCCACCCATGTTTTTTCGGACCCCATACATCAGCTTTTTGGCATTTAGGCAGACGATTCCAATTCATCCCCCATCCTTTTTGCCTCCCCCTTTTTACCCCTTCCCTTTCGGTGTCCCCCATGGATTTTCGCACACCTCTTTCAAAAACCTTCCCCAGACTCCAACAAAATTCTCCGCCAAGGCCCTGCCGATCGCAATCGGTGCTCGAGGTCTGAGGGCTCCCGCGCTGAACTGCGTCGCCCTGCCGGACACCTCCGGCGCGCGCGCTCGCCGCTCGCTCGGCGCGAGCGCGGACCCGGGACGCGAGGGACGCCGCGGGAAGCCGCGGGGCAATTCCATAGGAGAAGGTGAAATGGAATGTCATTCGAATTCTCATTCCCTATCGCACCGATCGCAAGCAATTCGGACTCAAACGGCAGCCCCCTTTCTTCTGATTCAGAGCCATAGGGGCCATTGGCAGCCGGAGAACACGCGTAGTTTGGGGGAAGGGCGGCTGGCAGACTAGTTCTCATGAAAACCACCTGGTCCCTTTGTGAAAAAAAAATCAGCCTCCAGGACACCCTTTAAACGTCAGGTTCCATGTTAATGGACAGGGTGCTGCTGCCCCAAACTATGAAACTCTCTATGTATCTCTCCCCAAACACCATGGGTCTCGCCAGGCAAGGCCCTAACAGGCTTAAAGGGTTACGTACCGGGTACCTGGAGGTACCAAACAAATGCAGCCGCAAATTGTGGTCTGCTTCCTCAAATAAAACAGTTGTTGCCCTTGAATCTTGGGTTTCGCCTTCTGATCATTTCTCCTTCTCGCTTAACCTGTGGCACCCTTTGGTTCGATCTGTTCAACTCTCGGCTCCCCTTCCAACTGCGATTCGCCATCTGCGGTTTACATGGGAGCCGACCCCCCCCCAAATTTGAGCCCAAGGAGTCTACCCGGCCCCAAAACAAACTCCCACAAGGTTACCACATAGCTTGGGATTCCATGCTCTGGGTTGAGCTTTAATATTCATTCACTTGGGGTGTAACATTCCATCAATGTTTGCCATTTGCCAACAGCTCAACTTGTGCCAATGCGGACACGTGGCTTGAAGGCCATATCATGTTCCAGCATTTGTCCCTTCTACTGGGGCTTGTCACAGGCTTCCCTTGGGACCCCACGAGCCGGTGGTCATGTCAGGCCAAACGGCCCCTAGGTGTTCGGCTGCAGGGACCAGTTGCTTCTGTTCCAAAGGAATCCAACAAGTCCTTCATGATCATGTCAATTGCAATTGATGTGGTTTTGAAAACGAAGCAAGCTGCTGTCGAAAGCCTTTGGCAGAACGACCCTTGGTTCTCATTTACTCCCCTAAAACTACAGAAGGAACCCGGTAGTGAAAGGCGAAGTGGGCAAGCCCATAGGTGGCCTTTTGGAAAAATAAACCCCACCTAAACCAGGGTCCTCTATGTTTTAAGCAAACCAACCAAAAAGGACACCTATGATCGCTCCATTACGAGCTAGCAAATGGTTCCTGGGTCAGCATTGGGGAATTGGAGTAGACCTCGGGAAGACTGGGCTCCATCAATTTCAGCATGGCAGCTCCGAGGGCATGCTTCCCAACTCGTATGTGAACAAGAATCTTGATCCCTGACTCAGATGTCCAGTGGCCATGGGAAAAAGGGCATCCTTCTTTGGGTCGCTTGAATTTAAAGGGGAACCCTTCCCAAAAAAAGGAAACAAGGGGCACCACCGGGCAACTGGGCTAAGCATGAACAGAACCAACGACCCAAACAACTAGAAGGCATAAACCAATAACAGTGAAGTACTCGACGGCCACCAAACGGAGATTTCGAGGCTCGATCAACTGGCCAAAGAAGCGACCCTCTTTGGGACTGAAAACGACCACCATTTTTAGATGGCAGCCAATGAGCAGCAAGGCGCCCAATCTGCTCTTGGCTAAACACAAGATGGCTACAAAGTTGTATGTAGGTCCTTATCTTGCTGGTGCTCAGCAGGGAACGAGGAAATGACCCTCGTAAACCATCCCTTGTGGTTTCCTTTGAGGGAATCCTGAGGTTCATTCCCACATTCCCTACTGAGAACCAGCAAGTTTTGAAGTCCCTCCAACCAATTTAGGCAAAAGAACCTGAACCCTCAAACTACCCTTACTGCAAGATGTTGCCGAACGCTTCCGGTAGTTTACGGGTCCAGGAAGATGTCGCCAAACGCCAAGCAAAAATGACCAAACCATTCGGCAACTTGACGGGTACATGTCCGGTTGAGCTCTGTCAAAGTGGATGGATTCATGTTGTTTCTCTGTTGGCTTCGCCACTTTCACAAGACTAGGCAGTGACAGGCTTGGCAGAAGCTTGGTGTAGTTCAAGGATTCCCACATGGAGGCCATGTTGGTCGGTTTTCCAGGAAACCAAAAGGACAACTGAAGCCAATTTGGAGTATTCCAAGAACGTCGCCGAAAAGGTCGTCGCAAACAGAAATCGAATCGACCACGTCTTGGCAAAGGTGCCTTAGGGCAGCCATGGACAGTGGCAAAGCCTATGGATAGCCTCACAGGAAAGCTTCCTATCTTAGAACGGGGATCATAGGGGGATCTTTGAACAATGGGTTTCTTTCGAAACTCTCGGACCAAAATCGCTCCGGTGCTTCGTCTCGGGGACTTCCCTTCAATTTGCAACCCCAAAATCACGGAAGCAACACCATGACTCACTTCCTGAGTGGATTGGTCAAACAAGTGCATACAACGTTTTCCTTTTTGTACCACTAAAACAGTCCAAATCCCAGAAAGTGGCCAAAGTCCGCGTCCTGGAATTCAGGGAGTGACATGGCCGTGGGTCAAAATGGTCTTGACAACCACAGCCACATTCATGAACCACGAGACAGCACCGGATCACCGCTCGCCTCCTTGCCAGCCAGCGCAAACATCGCCTGGAGTCGGGACCGCTCTTCACCTGCCGAGCGGTCCCTGCCCACTTCTTGGGCCACGGAAGCCCTCGAGTGGATTGCCCAGAGGGGTCTCTCTTCAAAACAAGAAAAAGACATGGCAAGCGCTTATGTTGAAGGTTGGACAACTCGAAAGCAAGCAAAGGAGTCTGACAGGTGCTTTATCCAATTTGGAACACAGGAAACCAGGCAAAGCAATAACTTCTGGCCCAAAACTAATGAAGCCATGATTGGATTCTGGTCAACATGTTTCTTGAACCTCAACATGTGGGCACCGACTCGCATCAATGGTACCCGACTCGCATCAAGCAGGGCCCCGCATCGAAAGCAAAGAAGCATGAAACCAACGAATTTGAAAGGTTCCTGAGTTTTACAGCATTCTCCCATCAAAGAAAAAGTAGCCACCGACACCTTTTTAGAGGTTGATTCCTTTGCCCCGCTGATCAAAACTGCGGAAGATACCAATCAACACTCAAGGCATCACTAGGTTCTCCAGTAGTGAGGTTAGAATATAAGGGTACCCTTTTTTCTGTAGTCGATTCTAGGGGAACCCTCCCCCAAAAAAGAAACGGGAAAGGGCACTACTGGGGGACCTAGGCGCGCCAACACCCAGGAGTTCCACGCCCCGGGGCGCCTCGGAAGTCCTCGGCTCGAAAAGGCTCGCCGATCTTCAAGGAGTTTTTTTGCCTGGGGTTGGGGGGAATGGCAAATCAGTGTATAACAGGGGGGGGAATGGGAATGGCTCATCAATGTACAAATGGGGTAGCCGGGGGGGGGGGAATGGCTAATCAACGTGCAAGATGGATTCGTAGGATTGATCCGCCCTTCAATCTCCCGTTGGATCCCAGGGTTGACGTTCTTCAGATGCAGTTAAACACATGAGTCGAGCATCTGCATACGGGGAGGAATTTTGGGCCCAGAGCTATTTCACCAACTAGGTTGCACTGAGCGACTCGCAAAGACAAAAGGGGAACCCTGCCAACCAAAAAAGAAACGGGTGAGAAAGGGCACTGGGGGACCTAGCCAAAGGGATAGAACGAGCGCGAGGATCTCCTGGTGACTTCTCCGGCTCAGGAAGCCCCAGCCCTGCGACTTGCACCTAAAACCCAACACTAGCCGGGCATGGCCCCAAAAATGGAGTTCTGCTTCCCTTTCATCCCAAAAAGGGCACCCTCGACAAAGAAAGAAAAAGACACACCCAAGTAGGATTTCCTTTGCCCCGCCAAGTCGCATTCTGGAACTTCGCGAAGGCATGCCTCAGGGGGAGGGGGATCATTTTCGAACACCGATTTTGGATCATTTTCGAACACCGATGTCCTGGATCATTTTCGAACACAGAGTGGGTCATTTTCGAACACATGGGGGGCTATCCTGCGGCAGGTGGGGCAGTTACGTTTGCCTCTTACTGCGTGACCATGCCACTGCGTCCTGGGGGTGGGGGTGGGGGTGGGGTGGGGCAGTTCCGCTCGCCTCTTACTGCGTGACCGTGCGACTGCATCCTGGGGCTGGGGGAAGGGGGTAATTGCGATCGCTGCTGACTGCGTGACGGTGGAACTGCGTATTGGGGCTGGGGGGGGGGGGTGGGGCGGGGCAGTTACGTTCGCCTCTTACTGCGTGCCCGTGCAACTGCGCCCTGGGGCTGGGAAAAGGGGGCCCCGAGTCCCAAGTTACCTTGGCTTTTTGAACTCAGATGTCCTCGGCGATTTGCGCTCGTTGGCCCCCGTAAAGCCGTGAAAACTCGGCCTAACGGCCGATAACTCGCGCGGGAAACTGAAAGGCCGTTACTACTCCGTGAAAAAGCCGTGAAAACTCGTGAAATTTCAAGCTCTGAGTTATCTTGTCCTCGCGACACAAAAACCTCCTTAGCTCATACGGCCTAAGTAACTTGCGAATCGGAGCCTCCTGGAATTGCGATCGCCGCTTACTGCGTGGCGGCGCAACTGCGTATTGGGGTGGGGTGGGGCAGTTGCGTTTGCTTCTTGCTGCCTGACCGTGCAACTGCGTCCTGCGGCTGGGGGGGGGGATATGGGGTGGGGCAGTTACGTTCGCCTCTTACTGCGTGACCGTGCGACTGCGCGCTGGTGGTGATGGTGGTGTTGTTGGTAGTGATGATGACGGTGTTGATGATGGTCATGATGATGATGATGATGATGATGATGATGATGATGATGATGATGGTGGTGATGTCGACGTTGATGTTGATAATGGTGATGATGTTGTTAATGATGATGATGGTGATGATGTTGATGTTGACGATGTTGACGATGTTGACGATGTTGACGATGTTGATGTTGTTGATGATGATGATGGTGATAATGATGGTGATGATGGTCATGTTGATGGTGTTGTTGATGATGATGATGATGATGATGATGATATGGATATTGGTGGTGATGTTGATGATGGCGATGATGATGTTGGTGTTGATGTGGATGAAGGTGATGTTGCTGGTAGTGATGATGACGATGTTGTTGGTGATGATGATGATGGTGATGATGATGATGGTGATGATGATGATGATGATGATGATGATGATGTTGATGATGATGTTGACGATGTCGATGATAATGATGATGATGACGATGATGATGTCGCTTTGCGTTCCTTGTGCTTTGTGTTCCCGGGTCTACATCTGACGATTGTCTCCCAAAAGCACGGCGCCATCCATGTGCTACACGTGCATCGTGGTGCGTGTTCGTGCGCCTCATCGTGGTGTGCATGGACACTTGAAAAAATGGCCGTGCTGCTGTAAATCACATACACTTGAGGAAAACCGCGTTCAAAAACGAGCCAAAACCCGCGTTCAAAAACGAGCCAAAACACGCGTTCAAAAACGACCACCTTGCCTGCCTCAGGCGTCTTTAGGCAACGGCACTTTTGGGCATTTTGGACCCAACACCAACCGCAGCCGGGACCGCCGTCTTTTCGTCTTCTAACTCATTTGGCCGATTTGATGAACAAGTTGTCCCCATACTGTAGGGGGTGATTTCCATTCTTTTCAACCATCGTTCTTTTCACCAAAACAGCTATTTTACTTGAGCTTCTGGAGGCTTTCTAGAAAGAAGGATCTCTGAACAAAAATGGGACGGCGCCTCTAGAACAATACTATGTTTTGCTCAAGGGTGGACAGCACTGGATGTCTGGACCTGGCTTGTCGAGCTACGGTTTGGTGCTCTCCCGGAACGCAGTTCAAAAGGAATCCAAAAGCAAAGCATGCTCTTGCCACACAATGCTTTTTGCGACCAGTCATGAACATTGAAGAAAGACATGTAAAGGGACCATTGAATCATATATTTCGTAGAGACAGAGCCAGTCTTGGCTGGCCAAGCTGCGCACACACACGCACACACTGGAGGTGGTTGTCAACAGAAAGGAGGAAGGCGCCAACACAGCTTGAACCATGAGGGAAGCCTGGTCGAGGCAAACACACATGAAGACAACCAAGGGTCCCAGCGAGTTTGCTACTCTGATACTACCGCAAAAACTTCACCAGTGTGCGGACCCCGTATTTAAAAGACAAAACCAGCGGTCCTTCTTGCAGGGCAGTTCGGCCAAACTTTGAAAAATGACGCATCGGTCTTCTCACGGGCCCCGATGCCCTGACAGCACTTTTGGGGCAAGAGGGGTCCGATTGGAGATTCGCACGCGCATCCGCATCCTCACTTGGCCAAACTTGGAACTTAGACCCCCTGCAAAAAGTCGGCCTTGGACAATGAATGCCAAATCCCATCTCGTCCATCCGAGTGGCAACGCCACCGCCAGCGACTGGGGGGAGCATGACGCCAGGTGATTGGGCAAGAAGAGCCTTGGATCCGGAGAATGCGTGCTCCGAGTGTTTTGGCAGGAGCCCCTCGAAAATGGCCCAGTGAATCCATTTACCCGCATAGGTGACCAAGACCTGGCCACCCTTCAAAAGCCAAGAGGAAAATGGCTGGCTACCTACTATAGTGGTAACTGGGATCCATTAAGGGACACCCCTCAGACTTTGTGTTCTTTAGAGCGACTGGGACTCTATGGGGCCGCCACGTGGTCTTGGGTCCCCAGGGTTTCCAACATCTTCCTGCCCGAAAAGACAACTCCTCACCAACGAGAAGCTTATATTAAGTTGGCCCAAGATGCAGCAGTAGGGGCCGTAGTAGTGGTCGTAGTGGTCGAGATAGAAGTAACAGTGATCAAGGAGTGTCAGGCGTGGGCATCGGTGTAAAAGTCGGAAAACAAAAACAGGGCATGATGACGTGGAAGTACTAGACCAGTGTCACGCAACTGACTGACGAACAGCTGGTTTCCCAGAATGTTGTCCGCAAAAAGCGAACCTAGTTTTGACGCATCCTTTGGAACGTCGGCACACCTGACCCGTTGCCTCTGCCCGTGCCAGGTGACCAGTCCAGAGCTGCCTTGAAGAAGCGTTCCTCGAAGATGCCGGCCTATTTCTCAGCAGTCTTCAGCGAGCCAACCGCAGATTCGCAAGAGGGAAAGCGATATGTATTCCAGAGGAAACAACATGAGCCAATTCCAATGACTCTTGCCATTCTTCTGGATGTCAGGAAGTGATGGGACGACTCCGATGAACTATTTTCATGGTTTCTTGAAGTGCTCACTTCCAAGGATGGCCCCCAAAAAGTCCGAACTGTGTTTTTTCCATTAAAACGGTATCCCGAGAAAAAAAAAAAGAGAAGAACTCAGGGAGTAAGAGTTTGTCTCTGGGCCCGTGTTCCAGAACCGAACGCAATTCCTTGCTAAGCACCAGCAGCGCGAGATTGCCAGCATCACAGGCCATGGTTGGCCGTTCGGCAGTGACAGCCATGGAAGCCCCTCGAACTGAAGGGGCCAAGCCCAAAGCTACAGTCGTCCTCGTCAGCAAGCTCCCGACTCAGAGCATGCCTAGCAACACCACAAATGACACAAGCGGCCAAAGTTCTCCTTGTAGTTGAACATTGGAAGAGGGCATCACAACATCCAGGCTCGCCTACTAACCAATCATTGAGCACATCTCGCACGGAGCACAAGATCTGATGTCGAACGAATGTGGACATGGAATCACCCCTATAAACCAGCCCTTGTGGTTTCCTTTCAGGGAATCCCCGCATTCCCTACTGAGCACCAGCAAGAAAAGAAAGCAAAAGGAAAACCATCCAAAGGTCATTGCTACCAATGTTCCAGCATAAGTGTGTCATTCGCATGCTAGGAAACCAAAAAGAGAGCCACCAACACAGGTCCCTGCAGCGGCCAAGGGCCCCTGCAGCGGCAACAAACAGAGCGGCCAGCGTTGCCTTGGCATGGGCATTCAGCAGCTGCGTCACAGCCACGTGATCCCACTCCTCGACCGCGCTCGGCGTTCGGCGCTCGAGGTTAACCCCGCGTTTGGGGAGTTGGTAGTCCGTTGTGGACGGGTTTCAAGGGAAACCACCAGGAAAACCGAAGACCTTTTTGGGGATTCCAAGTAATACAAACACACACACACACAGATGCATGCATGCATGAATCCAACGTACTATGGGTGGTTGCCCTTTCATGGATTGATTCCTGATAGATGGCTTTCACAAGACGGTTGTTTCCCTGGTATTTGCGTCCCACAAAGGGTTAGGATTAGCAGGTAAGTTGGAGCTCACATGGATATGTAACCCACTTAGCAAGTTGGCTATAACAATGGCTATCCATGTGACAACAGGGGCTGGTGGATATTTGTTTGTCATAGTTGCAATGCGGGTTGAACCAGAGGAACATCAAGTCGGGTCTAGCAGTTGGCTCTGTCCTTTTTCGGTTGGAAGCACTGTTGATAAGCGGAACATACCAGGGACAAGCCATTTTGAGGGATCTAAACAAGCACGCACCCAAAAAAGCGGGGAACCAAATGGCCACTTGGCTCTGACACGTGGAACTTCGTAGGAGTCTCTATGATTCACCTATTCGCACCTGTAGCTCTGTGGCCCAGAGGGCCGAGACCAAAACGGTGATCACCTGGTAGGGTTGAGACCAAAACTGGACCAAAGAAAACCAAAAGGTCAAAAGCTCGATTCGCTTTGGGCAACTCGGCTTCTGAAAGGTCGGAGAAAACAATTTGTTTGGGTATAAAGAGGGTAACACCTTGAGAGGGCCTGTGAAAATTTGGGCCTTCTATTTATACTTAAAACTATACATAAAAATTAGGACACCATTTGAGACCATGTGTAGCAAGTCTGAACACTATTCCAAACTACTTATAAACAATAAGGAACCGCTTTGAAACTATTTACAAACAATAGGGACATGTTACAACTGATTATAAACATTTGGAAACAATCTGAAACTATTCATAACCACATGTGGACAGGACAAACTATTGGAACAATTGAGAAACATGCAAATCGACTCTGCAACTTGGAGAAGCTATTTGGAGCCAGTTTAGGACATCGACAATTTATGAACATGTGTCAACTTGTGCCAACTGGCATCTGCAGACGACAAGGGAATACTGTCAGATACTTGCCATAAGCAAAACTGGTTGGGGTTTGCAATGCGCTGTGCCGTATGTCGGTGTATCGCTGTGCTAGTGATGTGCGAAAACTACGATTTGTGGCGGCTGCGCCGTGTGGAAAGGCCAGTTCGGCCTTGGCCTTGCTTCTCAACCCACTTCCAAACAGAAAGCAAACCAGCGCCCAGCATGACGCTTGGGCCGCAGGGCCAAGCAGAAAACCAGCGTGGCCTAGGTTTCGACCCTAAATGTGGGGGCCTTGAACCCTTAAAGGCAAAATGGAGGTCTAAGTGACTCCTAGGAACCCGCGAAGGCATCAAAATTGAGCTCCAAGAAACTCCCAGCAGCATCAAATTTGAGGTCCTAGGCTCCTAAAAGCGGCCTCAAGTGTTCACACTCTGCGCTTTTTCCGCGAAGTCCTCCGCTGGCAGACCCTTGCTCGCCCTCTCGCTCAGCAGCGCCAGCAGGCCTCGGTCCTGGACAAACCGAAGCGAGCCATCGGGGCGTGATGGGTGCAGGTGGGTCAGGTCAAGGTGTCTCGCTTTTTCGGGGGAACTCGTCGTCTTTGGAGTGGTCTACAAGGGAAACCCGAAGCCAACTTTTTGCAAGTTGTGTCTCTCTTTTTAGGAGAACCATATTTTGTTGGGTTGCCGAAATGCAAAAGCACAACCCCTAAAATTTCGGGGAAGGACATATCCAGTAACCACTTGGAGACTTCCTAATAAGGAACCGGGCCAAATGGGCTTTGCGCCATGTGCTAACCGACTCACTATCGGGAAACCCAACCAATCGAATGGCAAAACAACCTAGCAACGGGGGATCGACCATGCTGCCAGTCTTCCAAACGCAGCGCCCTTGTTTTACAACATATGCCAGGGCTCCAACCGTACTTCCAGTAACCTTGGCTAAAACGTCACACACGGCCCAAAGGCGATGCTGACTCCTTGAAAAGCAAATATGCCTGGCACGACCATTCCTGTTCGTCTGCCCGGTATACTTCTGTTTTCACAGGGACTCTGTCAGGCCCTTCTCTTTGACAGAAATCAATCATGATACATCATTAGAGCTGAACCGCTGTCCTGCTTGAGCATCTTCGTTTAGGTATTCGTGCTTCAGTTTTCCACGGCTCATGCTGGCATACTTGCGCCCAACTTGGGAATGGGTGAAAACTTAAGAGCCGCATGAGAAGAGCAACAGCCTTTGATGGGGATCAACATGAACTGTTGCCATCTGTACGCTGTCTGTCCGATGCGTTTGGACAGCGGGCCAACCCGGACAATCACACGACTGCCTTGTTGAAGCCTTGCAATGAAGCTGCCGTTTCTGCGTTGGTTGATTGTGTGCAGAGTCCTTATATGCACGCAGCAACAAAAAAAACACACACACACACACACCACCAGAGTGAGACTCATCTGAAAGATGCAGAGACATACAAGGACCACTGGCAAAGGGAAACCCTTCAAGGGTCAAAACGCAGGCAGCGATGTTTTTTGTGTCAAAGTAGGACAAATGGCGCGGTTTTCCAAGTGGATTACCATTAAAGCTAGCTCACAAAGGCTCACACGCATTTACTTGGAGGCTCAAACCACTTAGTAGGTAGAGGATAGGTCATAACCATGGTATGTCCATTTAGTAGCCATGGTTCTATCCTGCTTGCTTGGTGGCTGCCCACTGCCCGCCGGCGCTCCAAGCGTCCCATACGCGCGTAGGCGTTGGCAATCATGCCCACCGACTGCGGCGGCATCTGCCTCACATTTCTCACAGGCTATTTCCAAGATCTTTCTAGGGGTTGATTCCTTTTCCATTCTTTTTAGCCATCGTTCTTTTGAAAAACCAGGCTTTCCCCAGGGTTTTTGGTGGTTTTCCAGAAAGAAGGATCCCTGGAAAGAATGGGGAAGTTACCCCTAGAATCTTGTCAAACTTAATGCGATGGTGATAAGAGAACAGTCCTTCGAAACCATCTTGGATTCTGAGTTGCACCTGACCATGAAGCCATGACACCAAGTTGATTGCAAAGGAAACCTCCCAATCTGAATGTAGCTGCAACTTGTCGCCATCAAACTCGCTCTAGGCTTGCGGCTCAAGTTTGGCGATCACCTGAGGCACCGCACTCCATTTGAGCCCAGGAGGAGAGAAACTTTCTCCCTGGAAACAAAGAGGAAACAACCGCATCTATTTAGTTTTCCCTCAGGCTGTGGTCATTACTTCAAGGTCCCTTCAAGAGCCACGTCTTAGGTTTCTCAAGGTAAATCCTTGGGACTTCGACGCTAAAAGCAGCCTGGGGCACCGTCCATGCGCTTGCGCCACTCGTCACAAGACAAGCTGCTGCTTTTGTTCGCTTGCCGGGGCTTCACGACTTTCGGGCACCTTGGAAGGACTTGCTGCGGGTTCCAGACGTCTTTTGAATCAGCCCATCTTGAAAAACATCACCATCAACTCTATATATATATATATATACACCATCATTTCCAGATCCATGTCTATCATACGCTATATTGGACACAAGAGTTGTGTTTCAACCTATTTGCCATATCTGAAGTGAGCGACAGCGACATCCCACGCCTCTCGGCCCCGCGTTGGGCCCGGGCCAAACTTTGCAGCTCCGAGGTCTCAAGCTCCGGGCGATTCCACCTCGCCAGCGCCTGGCGCGGCGGCGCTCCGAAGCCAAGCGCCGCAAAAGAAAAACCTTGGGTTTGTCTCCAAGGCGTGAGGGTGTGGGGCTTGTTTTGGGCTCAACCTTGCTAATTTTTCAGGTATGTATGTTGGGCTGAACCTTGTTAAGTTGTTAAACGGTTTGTTTTCAAGGTTTGAGCAAGGAGCTTGTTGGGCGTCTGGCTTTGGTTTCAGGTTGGCTTCAGGTTGTCAAGTGTCAGGTTTGTTTCCAAGGTTTAAAGGGAGACTTTCTGAAAGGGGGTTGTCCCCTTGGGTGCTTTAGGTTGGCTATTTTTTTGACTCTCTTCGAAACATCTATGCTTGACCCCGAAGGTGCAGCATTGGAAGTATCAGCAAATGCAAAGGCTGGGAAAAAACAGATGGCCCCCCGAGCAAGAGTCAACCCTCGGTGGCGCACAGCGGGAGTTGCCAGGGAGGGGAAGGCGAAACAAGGAGGAGACGACTTGCGGTCTGCTTCTTACAGCCCGACTGCGCAAATGTTCGATGAGTGTCTAAGGTGACCGGGGAAAGGCGGAAAATTTCAAGCCTTGTCAATTGCTTCCCATAGCGGTAGGCTCTTTGACAACCAGGTTCTGTCATGAAATTCCCGCAGTTCTTGTGGCTAAGAGATTGGAGCGATTCACATACTTCACTCACCATGTGGGAAACTCTAAAGTGCCACAGACTTGACCATTTGGGTTCCGGCACAAAATAATAGTAATAGGACCCAAAAATGGCACCACCCGTTCTTGCCAAAACAGAAGGTTGTTGAGGTTCCATGCTCATCTGAAGCTGAGTACTGATCAACCTTTCCCCCAAATCGGGGGGTTCCCACTTGTCAGCACAGAAAGGTCAGCAAAACCCCAAAAGCTCCACCGGGCTTCACAAAACACGTGAACTCAGCGGGCCCCACCCAATTTCACCTTGCTCTAGGGGCGGTCCTTTTGGCTTTTGGAAAGGACATCTGTCCCAACGTGCAGTGAACAAAAAGGATCGATCCGCCGCCACGTTTGCGAAGATCCTCAGCTTTGCTCACGAATGCGTGCGCAGAAAAATCGCAGCTCACCTCTGAAAGTCGGCTGGAGAAACAGCGTTTGACACTGAACGCTTGTAACCTATGTTTATTTTTCTTTCCGGCTCTGAGAACTCCGGTAGCGAGAGGGTCTTACGAGCTAAGAGAACCCAGGCTGAGTAGAATGGTCATTTGTATGGTCCCATTCGAGAGGACATCCCTTCTTTTGTAGGGGGAGCCCTATTAATCCGACTGACGCAAACCCGCCAGGCCAGCAACTTGAGGCCATACTTGGGCCCAACTTCAAGGGTGACACCACGAGATCTCAGGAGCATCGTGAGCCCAGGAAATCGGCATTTCAGAACGGAACGCGTCCTTCTAACATTTTGTTGGGGTGGTTCTTGAAGAAACTGGGAGAACAAAACTGCCCGTGTCCTAAACCCGAGGCACTCGGGGAGTTTCTTTTTGCTGAGAGGAAACTACCCCTCTTGTGACCAGTTTCCCCTTGGAGACCCGCCTAACCGACTCCAAATCGAAAAACCCCGCCTGCGCCAGCTGCGCCAAAGCCACCGGCGGCAGCTGCAGCGCGGCTTGGCCTAGACGAGGAGCGAGCCGTGCAGTGCGCCAGGCAGACTTCGACCAGAAGTCCCCGGTGCAGAAGCGGAGAACTTTTGGTGGGTGACAAGAGACAACTTGCGATCATTTTTGTTTTTTGGTTTTTTAAGGCAGGCAATAAGACATGGAATGATTTCAAGAAAAACCATCCCAGATTTGTTTTTTGTTTCAGGGATTCCTTTGTAGTTTCGTGCCAAGGTGCCACCCAAGCCCACGTTTGGCTCTGCACTTTGCAATGCCCAAGGTTTACATAGACTATGCTTTGTCCAAGAACCAGTCAAACCAGCAGAGCCTATTGCTGTATTTCACGCGGGAAATGTTGACAGATTTTGGAAAGGAGGCCCACATGCAACCTGAGTCCAAGCTGATTTAACTTGCCAACTTCTCATCTGGCTTTGCTGGTCTTTTCTTTTGGCACTGCACAACAACCCTCCGAATTTCACAGCGACTATTTCGGGATCTCGTTCACCTTGGCTTGCATGAATTTCCGCAACGCCACCTCGTTCTCTCGAATTACAGGACATCTCAACTAACTAGAGGACATTCTGGCCGTATCAGTTCGTGCAAACGGAGCTGTAAGACTTGCTGGAAGTGGCTTTCCTCGAGTATGTGCACATAGCTTTTTTACTGGAGCATGTGTTGCATACAACTGCTAAAACAATTGCGAAAACTGTGGTTATTACTAACATGGCACAGTTAGCATAATACAAATCCAAAACGGATTCCGTTTTGCTCTAAACGTAAGATTTGCTGTTTCCTGGCATGTAGGGTTCTGTTGAACGCTGCCACTCACGCGCCAAATTAATTGTTCACAGTCCTTGTAGTCAGGGCCTTGGCTGGCAGTTGATTGAATGACCGGCGCAGTGTCAAACTTCTGGATAGCTCCAGGGCATCACGCCTCTCGGGCAAACCGTTTCTCATCTTATGCGTGCATCCTTGGAGAGGATGACCCCTTGTATCATTGCCTCAGGGAGAAACTTTCCAGGCCTTGTGGCCACCAAGGGATGTTATCTTGTCATGGAGCTCACCCACAAGGGGCACAATCTCCGTGGGGACATGGAAGTCCGGTAGCATCCCATAGGGGATGACTGCTTGGTGAACCCCCTGGGCTCGTGTCTCACATACTCCTTCAAAGGAGAAACAAGGCAAGGGAGAGCGATCTTCAGGGTAGTCTCTGGGGCAAACAGTCTCAACAAAGCTCAGGGTACTCTGAGTGCAAGAGCCGCCATACTCCTGGAACCAAAGGAGGACATCCAGCTCAACAAATGAAAATGGTCGAGGGAGGGAGTGGGATGAGCATTGAGTGAATTCCTTAAAGCACAGCCTGACATGACATCAGTGGTGATGGGTGCGGTCAGTCTCACATCCTTGGGGGAAGAGTACAAACGGGAGAACCTTCTATCAAATGATAAGATGGGCACACCCTGCCCAGACCATCCGGGTCGGGCCCCCGGATCGCATTTTTGTTATCCATGCTTAGGGAGAGGGAGTAGATTGGAATGCAGGAGCAATTAGCAAAGTTAGCTCTAAACGGCGTTCTTCTGACAAAAGCACATAAAGCACATAAAGCACTGTGACTTGTTTTACACTTTTTTGAGGCAGAGCAACAGAGGTAGTTCATGGCGGGGGGGGGGACCAAATAAAAATCAGAAACACATATATCGGTGTAAAGTTGGATGCAGGTCCAACACCACTTCCAACCCTGCTGAAACTGATCCCTGGCAAGAACTGAACACGCGCTGAAACTGATCCAATGGTTAAATATTGACGTCAAACAACACACATCTCCGAAGATGTGTTTGTTGCAGACCCAAGAAACTCTTAAACAGTGTGTGCCCATGTAAATATATATATATATACATGTTTCATATATATATATATATGTATATATATACATATACATATATGCACGTATTCATTGAAGTAGCTGAAGTATATCTGCTCGAATTCGCCACAGCCCTTGGAACGGGCTTGCAAAAAGCCACTTTCTTTTTTGCAGCTCCCTACTCAACATGAACAGAAGCAACACAACCCCAAACCCAAAAAACTTGATAACCCAAAACAAAATGGCCCAAGTGAGGAATCTACTGATTTTGTTAAGGTGACATCGGCTCTGCCCCTTCTGGTTCCAACCGCTGGCTCGGGCCCGAACCCTCGAGGCCGGCCTCGCCGTCGCTGGGCCTCCGAATCAGAAGCCAACCCCCGAGCTGCCCAGTGGACTTGCAATGAAGGTGCCATGTCTGTGTTGGTTGTGCAAAGAGTCCTTCTATGCCCCTCAAAAAAACAAAAACACGACCAGAGTGAGACTCATCTGAAAGATGCAAACATGGTGAGTAGATCAACTCAACAGAGACATACAAGGATCACTGGCAAAGGGAAACCCTTCAAGGGTAGGCAGCGATGCTTTTTTGGGCTCAAAATAGGGCAGACCCCAAAATGGCGCTGTTTTCCAAGTGGGTTACCATTCAAGCTAGCTCACGAAGGGTGCAACAAAAGACAGACACTCTCACTTATTTAACCAAAGCGTGGGTGGGTGGAAAGGAGCTCCTTACTCACGGAATTATGGCACCTTGCTTTGTAGCTAAATTATAAACCAATCAGAACCAAAAACTAAACAAACTGCTTTAAAGACACAAAAAGACCCAACAACTATAGTCAAACTAGGAGCTCTTGGAGCTCAGGTCATGGGATTCTGTTTGAGCAATTCTCCCCGGCTCCCTTATCCATGCTCCTTGAAAGGGAGGCAGCCTTAAGGCCATTTAGATAGTCTCCCTCTTCCAGGGGCCTATTGAGCGACCATGTCGCACTCACCTCAAAATTGTTGCCACGCCCAGCTATCTTCCCAAGCCCTCGAACATGACTTCCGCGAGCTCGAATCAATTCCATGTGAGCAAACGCATGATCGTTTGACAGAAAGATCCAGGCCGAAACGAGAATGCTTGGGTATGGTAGCCTGTGGTTTGCGTCGGACCAGTGTTGCGCTTTGCCATTGACAAGCCGGGCTTGTCGATACAGAATGGCAGCTCAAAAGTTGGAACATGTACAATAATTCCAGAGCCAAGCAAAATGGTCAGCAACCCTGATGTCCCAGTGGTAGCTTGGTGAATGTGCCCAATGTCAGCCCCCTCAATTGCGCTACTGACAGATGAATGTGTGTGTGTTTTTAGAGGAACCTGAAAATCGCTTCGGTTGTTCTTTTGGTTTCCCTTCAAACCCACCAAAACGAGGACCCAAACAAAGGGGCACCCCCCATATTGAGCGTTAAAATGGCCTTTCGGGCCTTTCCGCAGGTGTCACTGGCCCAATCTCCAGAACTGCCCACGAATTCTTCACGCAGCCAAATGCTGATGTCTGGAGAAAAGACCCCTGACATACATACATACATACATACATACATACATACATACATACATACATACATACATATATATATATATATCTATATATATATCTATCTATATATATATATATATTAGGCGCTGGTACGGAGTAGCGCGATGCTACTCGGACAGTATCGGGTACTCCAGGCTTCGTGCGGCTGTTGTTCGAACAAAAGTGGAAGTACCACCACATAGTTTGTCTTGACCGAGCCATTTCCCAATAAGTGAAATGTATCAAAAGCACACCCCTGGAGCAATAGCTTGTGCTTTACATGCCAGGTATGATATTTGTTTCGCGAGCCTTCAGTGGACATCAGCTACATACGGGTTTATGTCCACCAGCCATCTGGGAGCTTGTTCCAACCTCCAACCATTCAAATTCGCGGCCATCAAGACCCAAAGGCCTAGCGAGCCCGTGGTACAGTATCCATCTGAACATCCCCCCAAGATGCTGGCTTCCTTTCCGGCGAAAACGGGCAGCGCTTTAAATGGCCCGGTAAACCATTTTTCTCAGAGACACATGTCCCGGGATAGCCTTGACTGTCCTTCTGCTTGGTGAGTTGCCTGGCCGGGGCGATGAACTAAGCATAGCTGGATTTCGAATTCTGCAAAACCTGACTCACTTGATGGCAAAGGAGCTGGAAAGAAAGAAAAAACAGGTTGAGTCTAACTCAAATTGGGCCAAATCACTTGCACATCACATGAAAATCAAATTTTGTGGTCCCGGGATTAGGGAAAGGTCAGCAAGAACCAACAGCCCAACAAAACCATCAACAGCCCAACAGCCCAAAAGCCCAATAGCCCAACAACCCACAGCCAACAGCCCAACAGCCCAACAGCCCAACAGCCCAACAACCCAACAGCCTAACAGGCTAGCAGCCACAGGGGACCAACAGGTTAACCCCGCAAAACCCAGTGCAGGCAGACATTGCCAAAAAGTGTGACAACGGGCTGCAGCCCTTTTTGCTTGGCATGCGGCGTGTCACTGTCTTGGCATGCGGCTTGGCATTTGACAACTGCAGACAGTGACACGCAGTATGCCAAGCAAAAAGGGCTGCGGCCCTTTGTCACACTTTTTGGCAGTGTCTTCTTGCACTGAGTTTTGCGGGCTTGGGCGTTAGGTATGGCGTAAGGTTAACCCTGCCGACTTTTCTATCAGGCTGGAAGCCTCGGCCCCTCAGCCGCCCAGATAAGTTCGAGGAGGATTTGGCTACCGGCATGGGTCGGTCTGAGGCACGGAGGAGAATGAAGGGTTGTGAGCCCCGGCATTGCGAGAATGGAGGGAGCCACTGCTTACTTCCTGAGTTGATGGGCCAAAGAAAGTTCAATCTTTCTGTTTACCACTAAAATGGTCTTCCCACTAAAATGGTCTTCCCAAAAAGTTTAAAGTCCAGGAACTCAGGGAGTGAGACTGAGAGTTGAATCCTGGACACGTACGCCGGAGGAGCGCTATCGCGCCCCACGCAACGCAAACGGAATGGCAGAGTGAATGCGCTGGCGAAAGTGGCCGGCGGGCGAACCCTTGCCTCAGGCTTGTCCGAAGCGTCCAACTGCTCGGAGCGAGCCGTGACGCAGTCGCTTGCGTGAAGGGTGTGCGGCTCCTCCCCGCCCCACCAATGCTCGGCGACACCTAACGGCAGCAGATTTGTCATCAGCGCCAGCCACTTGATCATTCTCAGCAATTGCCTTGCGTGGGACACTGCTCGTTTGCCAGCGTGGAATTGTTCTTTCCCGTAAGCACCTGGAGCGAACTCCACGGTGAGGGTGCCACACCCACGTGCCAGCAGACAGGTTACCCTTCATCAGGTTTTTTCTGGCCTTGTGCCAGACGCTTGCAGGAGTGGGTTAGACGCCCCTTTCAGGCGGCGCGAGCACTTGGCTCTGGAAGGACACTCCCTGGAAGAGGGAAGGGCGTGCCTCGATTTTTCGGGTGCGACCCGGCTGAGATTTGGTCCCCAAAGCTGCTGGGACAGTCCTCCAGCTTCCTGCGGTGCTGCCGCGCGACAGCTCCGACCGGAGAAGCAGGTGCTCCTCATCTTGCAAGCCGTCTTCCATTCTCTTTTGGAAGGGGAAGGGAGGCAAGGGGAGGGCTCGGCGTTGAACTCAGCTGGAAGAGCTGGTCTATATTCTGCCACCTCGTGCTCTGTGAGCGCGGCCGCCCTTCCTCGTGGCCAGGTAGACGGGCCCGAAGATTTGAGAAGATGGCTCGCAGCGTCAGTCTGGAATTCTCATCCGCGACAGAGATGCCATCTCACATGTTGAGCGCCTCAGCTCGGGAACCCGCCAGACGGGCCTACCCATCTGGGTTAGGAACTCCGAGCTATATATTCTGTCAAGCAGTTGGGGCATCCCTGACAAGAGAACTAAGTATCGCACCAGGGCCCGTTCTGCGTCGTGGCCGCCAAGTTCGCCTATGAACACAAACCACCGCTGAACTCGTGCAAGGAAAACGAGAGACTAGGCAGGGTCCCATGTCCCCTTGGCTCGTCGAGAGAAGAGCTCTGTGTCTGCTCCACAGAACGTTCCAGGGCCAAAGAGAGTGACGTCTTCATACGGCGCAGGTGTTCTGAGCACAGGGAGGAGCTCCCCGACTCCCTCGGCCGACTCCCGCGACCACGTGCGTGACCGCCTGTAGATCCACCTTCCCGCCCAACGGCAGGGACGGACTGCCACTGCGGTGCCGAGCAACCCGGCGCTGGCTATGCCAGGCCAGAAGTCGCCGCACATCCAGACGCCGAAGTTGTCAAGGAAGTACAGTACCCAACCCCCGGAGTCGCTCAGGCTGAACCAGCATCCGCCCAGGTGGCAGTACAGATCCCATGCCCAGGACAAGGCTTTTGTGGCCCCAAGCTGGAACAGCAGGGTAAAGTCACCCTCTTCCCCTCCTATGGTCCCCAGCTGCCAGCCCGACTCCCGGTGGGGGAGTAGTGGTCCCTTCTGGCAGCCACCAGGTCTGGCCGAGAAAGAAAACGGCGAAACTTGAGCCAAGAACAGGGGAGTCGGCAGGGCTAACCTTACGTTGAACCTAACGCCCAACTCAACAACCTAACAGTCAAACAGTCTCAACAGCCCGACAGCCCCCCACTTTTGCTTAAACCCGTCCAGCAAACCAGGTGAAAAATCCCTGGGCTTGCCTTGGCGTGTTCTTGAGTAGTGGCCCCCGTGGATCTCACGTCAATGCATCATATGGCTCATTCATCTTACCCGGGGAAAATAAATTGCCAGGGGTTTATACATGGATACATTTGAACAATGGTAACTCAAAGGGTGATGTTCAAACATCTTAAGAGGGAGAAACTACGTGTGTGTTTGCTAAAACAAAGGTCCCCCAATCAGAATTGGGTTCTGCAACGCTTACAAAGCCGTCAAGTTTCGCCCGTGTGCATTCTTGGCCTCGGGCCCTCTGTGCAACACCCATTTTGTGGTACATGGGAAAAGCCCGCGTTGCATGTTATGATTGCCAGGTAGACTTCAACCCAAGTTTATTCCTGCAAGGCAAACCTTGAGTTTGAGCCTTCCTTGGAGTGGAAAGAACCAACACCCACCCACTCCGCCTCCGACACTCGCAGCGCAATCGCCTGCCAGGTTCCAGTCGCCCAGCGAATTTGTTGGACACGTTTTTGGGGCCATGTGCCAACGGGAACCCAAGCAAAAATGGGGAGAAGGGTGGGTGACACTGAACTGGCTTGCGGAACCCTGGTAAATGGAACCAAAGACTAAAATATGCGGTCCCCTGGTGCTTTTATTTTGACTCATGCTCAACTGGGAATGAACCAAAGGAGCACACAAGGTCAGAAGGCTGGCGGTGGGCATATTGGAGTCACACACACACACACAAAACCTGGTTTCAGGGTCTGCCCAAATTAGCAGTGAAGATCCAAAGAGCAAAAAGTCACACCTTTTGCCTGGCGAACTGTCCCTCACACCGAAGCTGGCCAGGTTCTTTGATTGTGGCTCGGTTTGCCAAGCTCGAGAACTGCCCAACGTACTGTGGATAGACGAACCCAAGAAACCCTGGTTTCTGATTCCATTCCTCTGTAATATACAACCACAACGTTCTGGTTTCATTCCCATGGTTTCATTTCGTGGTGCGAGGAGCGGATTTCGTGCATTGTAGTTCTGCCAACTTGGGTAGCAGATGGACCTTTGAACTCAAAGCCCTGGGTTGCTTCCTTTTACTCAGTTGCACATTCGACCCCCAAAAGGCGATCACCTTGTAAAGGACCAAAAATGGACACCCAACCTGGTGGCCAAAAAACACATTTTGGTCATTTCCTCATTTCGATGGGTCGATTCGCATTCAGTTGCGAGCAACATGGAGCTTATGTGGCCTTGTTCCCCCATCTTTGGCGTGACCTCACCCTCTGGAGCAAACTGAGGGCACCCTTTTTTCTCTCGTCTGTTTTAGGGGAACCGATTTTTTCCCCGAAGAGAAACGGGTTTTAGAAAGGTTGCGCCAGTTGCTGGGGGACCTCTTCGGCCTGCACCAGCGGCTCCGGCGCGACGGAGGCCGCGGTGAAGGAGTGGGCCAAGAGGCCCACCAGGTCTCCGGGGAGCCTCCGAGAGGCTGCGGGTTTTTGGTGGTTTGGTGCGTGGTTTCACGTGGTTTTCCGGGGGTTCCCCAACAAAACCCACTTGACTGCAAACCAGTGTATTGGTCTGGCGCAACAGAAGCACCGCTGACCTTCGTTCCCTGTGTGAAGTAGAACCAGCAATCCAAATTGAAACCAATCCAAACCCAAGGGGTACCTGAGGTGTTGACTCTGCACCTCCCGGCTCCGCTTCCAGCGCCCGCCTTGGCAGCTGGGGCGCCAAAGCTTCCCCGGCAGACCGCCAGAAGTGGCGGTCCCGGAAGTTCCCGCTGGCCAGGCGGTTGAGGATGAAGACCTGAAACGCCGCGACAAACGCACTGGCGCTTGTTCCATACGTCATGCCCTCATAAAACCAAGAGGGAAGGGAGTGCAGCCTTGGGTGGCCTTTTGGAAAAATAGATGGCCCTGGTAAATGGAATAACCCCCATCTAAACCAGGAATCGCCCTCGATTTTTTTAGGCAAACCAACTAAAAAAACGACACCTAGGAGTGCAGCCCAAACACGTCTTTTTGAAGAGCAAAACCGGGAACTGGGGGTCCGCTCGCAATTCCCCCAATCCTTTGGGCCTAAGATGCTTGGGGTTTGCCATGACCCGACTCAACCCCGCCATCGGTTTTGCATCCGGCAAACAAGGGACTGGCCGCAGGTTCTTTCTGAAAGCTGAACAACTGATCTTGCCAGCTTCCTTTCTTGCAGACAACTACTAAAACTGAACCATGCCACCCAAACAAGAAGGAGCCTAAAATCCCGCTGTCTTGTTCCCAAACAAGAGGAATGTTCAAGTTTTCAGGGTGGTAAACCCCCACCAAAGTGCAAACACGGCAGGGGGATCTAAATGGAACACCGATGTCAAACAACGCCCCAAGAACTGAATGCGACCCAAGATCCCTTTCTTTGGAGCAAAATGTTGTGCCGCCGTTTTGGTAACGGAAACCAAAAGGAAACCAAGAGCCATTCTTGGGGCCGAAGCAAAACACGAGCACAAACGCAAGTCAAGCAGGTTTCAGGGAGGTGAAAGGACCCTGGAAAGCAGGCCTTGGGCCGAATTTCCATGAGCCAAGATCAAAATCAAGAAGGACCCCGGTTTTGCGGGTCCTTGGAAGAATCAGCAATGATCCATGATCCTCCTACCACGCCCAAATCGCATGCGACGAATGCTGGGGCCAGAACGCGATGGCCGAGACCCACGCTCTCACCGGCCTTGCTGGGAGCGCAGAAGCAGTGCAAGTGAAATGTCTCATGGGCTATATCCCCTGGCCCTGACAGGTAGAACGCGTGAAACCTTCGGGCAGTTTGGTTTTCCTAGTCTGGAAGACCAAACGAAAACCAACACGCATACACAGGTGTGTTTTTGTTGAGGGTACCCTTTGTTTGTGGTCTTTTCAGGAGAACCTTTTATGGGTCCCCTTATTTTAAGACACACCGCATACGGTCACATGCCCACACGACCAAGGCCCCGCTCCTCCAGGAATTGCTGCGCCGCTGCAGCCATTGCCTTCCGCCACTTTCAGAGGCAACCAAACAAGGCCCACATTTCTTCCCCAAGCACGAAAATTGCCAAACACAATTGCGCGGCCCCAGCTAAAAGTTTAACTGTTCGTGGGTCAAATGGACGCCCCCCACTGAACCCAAAAAAGCAAAAAAACAACTGACTCAGGGAAAGCACCAAAAGAACCCTAAAAACCAGCAACAACCCCTAAACCCGAAAAAGCGGACAAAAAGAAAAGAAAGCAAAAACAAAACAAGGAACCGCATGGCTGGAAACCACCAAAACTCAAACTGAGTATAGAGTCCACAGACTTGGGAGGAAGTTAACCCTAAACTTCTGGCCAATGCCGCGCAATAGACCTCCACAAGGGCCGGGCGAAATTTCCTGGAACTCGAGGTCGCTGCTTGAACGGTTCAGAGGTGGCACTTGCTGCTTCAACGATTTGTAATCAATCATTTTGAGGCAACACCTTTGAGGTTCTTTCGCAAGCCAAAAAAAGCCGAGGAACTGGCAGAGTTCTTGTCCGAAACTAAGGGCTGCTCGACGAACGGGATGATCATGCAGGGGAACCTATCCACAACCTCGCTACCTCCAAGGGAAATATTAATGTGCCCTTTCGCGCCCAATTCCATTCCCTCAAATTGCGAGGGTTCCAAGAATTTGCATGGAGATGTGGTGTCTTTCTGGGTATCTATTCAAACCACTGCCACTCTGGAACCCAAAAGAAACCCTTGTAAGTGTGACCTTCCTGAAGCCTTCTCGCTGGAACTGAAGTTGCTGGCAAGGTTGATAGCCGCTTTGGGCCACTTTGGTCTATTCCTGTTTCAACTCCCCAAGTGAGTTATAATCAAAACCTGGTATCAAAATGGTCGACCCAGAACCATGTAAAGAGTTAAGAAGGCGGATATCCGCAGCTATTTATGGCTCGGATTGTCCCTTACTAACATTCACTTGCCCGGGTTTTGGTTGTGACTCACCTGGCGAACGGGATTTGGACCCCAACAGGACGCGTTTTCCTTTTGGCTTGCTGGTGCCATTGGCAGGGAATGAGAATTGGACTGCCAATTCTAAGAACCATCCAACTGGTGGTTTCCTGTAAGGGACCGGGGTGTCGCCCAGGTTTACGGCCCATTTTTTCGTCTATCCCCACAGTGCCTGAGACGACCTCGGACGCGCCTTGGAGTCCTTCTCGCGGCAGGCCCGCGCCACCGCCTCCCGGAGGTACTTCCCCGGGCCATGGGCCTCCAGCCTCGGGGTGGTTTTGGGCGTCGGAACGCGAAACCAGCAGACCTTCAGTACCCAACATCAGCAGACCAACTTCTACGCTAGCAACTCCGCTACAGAAGTAGTTGCGCAACGTGTCGTTGCAGGCCGAGCTAGGAGGAAGATGCGCGCGGGCTAAGATCCAAGAAAAGGCTCATTCCGACCCAAAAACCCCAGAAAACCTATGGTTGTTATGAGGCTCCTTCAAAACCGATGCCCAAAAGCGTCTTCTTTCGCTTTGGACCCAAAACTCTGACACCCTTTGAGCCCCATGGTGCCTCTGGGGTTCCTTTAAAAGAAAACACCCCAAAAACCTATGGTGCTTCTGGGGTTCCTTCAAACCAAAGGGACAGCACACCTTCTGAGCATATTTCGACCAACACATCCAGCTGCTGTCTCTTTCTTCTTTTTTGCACTTCTGCCTGTTGGGTCTTTGGGGTGTTTTTTTGTTCATGGCAGGCTGCAGGATTTGCGGGGTGCTCGGTTTCTGGGGGCAACTTTCATTTCATGGCAGCGGCTTCTGGACTCGACAACTACCGGGGGCAGGGTGGAAGGCCACCATGAGCAAGTCGCCCGTGCGTGGGGGTAAAAGTTTGGCCATCGGCCGAATGACTCGAAGGCCACAGGCCCTAGATGATAAAAGAATGAATCAGGTGCATTAAAACCAATGGATCACAAGAGAACAAGGGGTGTAATTGTTAACCATGTTTGAAAGGAACACGGGTTGGTGGGCATAATGACCTGGGTGTCTTGAACATCAGGATATTTCTCTACAGGTGATTTCACCAGCCTCTGTTGTTCCATTTCTAGCCATGGGTCTTGTAAGGAAAGTAGGTTGCACACAAGGCTTGCTATTTCTCGGTGGGATGACCCCGAACTGAACCATACATTGCACATTTCCTTTAAGGGGATCCCTAGGTTGATCCCCAAAACGCGTAGTGATTTGCTACTGAGAACCACCAATATTGTTAGACATGGCACAAAGGCTGCTAGACATGTAGAAGCATGGTTCTGGCCTACTAACATCCAAGCAATTGCCTCAAAAGGGGCCCGACCAAAAAGACGCTGGTTCTTCTTCACATCGAAAGGAAAGTGAAGTTTCTTTTCGGATCTTCGCCTGCAGATTAACATAAAACGACCCAAACAAGCGGGCCCTCCAAAAAATGATTCATGTACCACTGGCGGTTTTGGGGGCTTCCATCTGAAGGAAACCAGGCAATTGGAGGGTCCTCAGCTTGCTGCTGTTTTTGAAGGACAAAAGAGGGGGAACCAATCCTTTTATTTAGGGGATTTACTGAGTTGGTTTGCCGTAAGGGGAGCCACAGCAACCCACGAGTGGCTAGAACCTCTTGAAACCATCGAGACCACCCGGGATCAAATAATTCCGCTTCCTTCAATTGGCACACGCCGCTCTAAACACTTTCTGACTACCTCCTTTCTTGAAATTCTAGGTGGCCGGAAAAACGTAGCTGTCTGCCGCCTGTCTGCGTGTTTATGGTGATCCTCTATGCCACCTGCGATTTCCATAAATCATCACCGAGTTTAACTCTGACCTTAAAGCAAGCCTTTCGAAATACTGTGGATGGTTGCGCCGTTCAGAAACCCTGGCGTCTGAATCGACTGTAAATATCAACAAACAACAGTTTCAACCATGGTTTCAAAGTGGTGCAGCCCAAATTGACCCACAGGCCCCCGGGCAACCCTTTCCCGAATTTTCGAAAACCCGACCTTAGGAAAAACCCACCAGTTACTTGAAAAATCTGACCTGTTGAGTTGACTGGCCATCAAAAGTTCGAGCTGGCCTTGACAAAAACGATCAATCCTACCAGCAACAAGTCTAAACGCTTGTAAGTAGGTAACCAGCCATCTTCTGCATCTTCTCCTTCAAATTCGTGTGTCAAGGGCTATTTCCGTGGTTGCCTATCACCTGGAAAGGGAACGAGAGACGCTGCCAAGTGGCTTGTGAAGCTGTCGAGATGGCGTCGCCATCGCCTGAGGGCAGGCGAGAAATGCATCGTCAGCTTCCTGCCTTGAGCATACTCTTCTAGGTCCTCCAGTAGAGAGGTTAGAATAAGGGTACCAACTTTTTGTGTAGTGTATTTTGGTAGAGGAACCCTCCCCAAAAAAAGGCCAAAAGTGCACTACTGCGGGACCTAGTCTTAGTTAAATCTTGATCCCTCCGCCCCGCTTCGCGTCCTGACTGCCAGAATAAGGAACCCGAGGGTAAGAGTGGGCGGCGTGGTATTGATCCCATGCTCAACACAGGCGCCTGAACCCAGCAAACAGCGGCATTGAAGATCCATGTCAACACGCAACGACCGGAATCTGCACCCATGTCTGGTTGGGACCCCTTAAAGTTCTGCCAGGATTAAAGCAGGGGACCCCAACCAAAATGGTTGCTTTTTTTCCTCTCGGTTTACCTTTATCCAAAAAGGGGAAAAAAAACCGCGGAAGAGTACCGCGGTCTGTGAAAGAGCCACTTACAAATCGCAGGAGCTTGGTCCGGGCTCACTTCCGATCGAGCGCATCTGCAGCAGTGAAAACTTTTCGTGCTGGTTCTCCCCTATAAACCATCCAACTTGTGGTTTCCTTTAAGGGGACCAAAGCCTGGCTTCATTCGCACAGTCCCAACTGAGCACCAGCAAGTTTTGTGTGCTAAGGGAAGCTTCCCGATCGGAAACCACAAAAAACACTTTAGAGGGAAACAGCTGGATTATTGAAAAGAACGACGGTTGAATTGAAAAAAGGTGGTCTTCCCGCAAAGTGTGACATGAGCAATACTTCCCAGTATCCTATGGCTTGAATCATTTAATCCCTGAGAGTTGATTTGACGGGGTCTTTGGCTTAGTTCTCGGACCCAAGGAAGACTCAAACCCACGGATTCCCCATTTCCAAAACAGCCGGCCTCGGGGTTCCTGTTTTCCAGTCACGACTGTTCTCGTGAAAAGGCCCCTGTCCACTTCCATTGGAAGGAGGATCTTTTGCATAAGGTTGACTCAGGACCAGAATCAAGCATATTCTTGGTGCCACAACAGCTGAGGTAGTTTCGACCCTTGCCGAGTCAAGCAAGGACACGGCCTTCCCGGCTCAGGCGCCATGGCTGACTGTGGCAAACAAGGAACGCATGGATGTGGCGCTAACCATGTGAGATATCACTCCTGGGGACCCGCATTTTAACCAAAAACCACACATGTGAGATATAACCCCCCTGCCCCAGTTCCGACCCCAAAATACAAAGTGATCACCTTTTGAAGCCTTGACTAAACATGGCCAACAAGGGAAAGCCAAAGGTGAGAAGGTCGATTCGCTTTGGGCAACCGAGAAAAAACACATCTGGCCAAAACATCTACCAGACATGATAAAGAGAAGGGTGAAACGCATTCCACGCTTGTTGATGATTGGAACTGTCCCCTGCAGATCTGCATTTATGATTCTAGTTGAGGCAACGTCAAAAGCCCTGGGTGCTGTCAAGCTGAGTCTGTCATTCGTGGAATCCAAGGCAGATGCGGTCGCCTCAACTTGCCCAGAGTCAATCTCTCGTTTGCATTTTCTCCATTAAGAGGCAGCCAATGCCTCAACTTCCCGAATTCTCGGCATTCATGTTGGACAACAGCATATCGTTTCGTTGTTGCAGCCCCCAAAAACACAACATTTAATAAAGACATGAAACAAGAACAAGCCAAGTCCAACGTGTACCGAATCTTGAGCCCGTTGTGCGCACAGATCGGCTATCCGATGTGTGGAGCCAATGGCTGCGGATATCCGGGGTCTTTCGGCCATCCCTACCGCTTCCAGGCCCCAAACCGGGTGAAGCAACGCCCAACACAGATTCACCCTGGCGGATGAGTTCAACCAGGGCTCCTGAAAGGAACTATCTGGTTGCGAAACCCGAGGCTCGTCAAAAGCTTGACCCCCCTTCCACAACGTTGCTTGGCTCCCTTTCCAAGCTGCGAGCTCCGAACAACCAACCCATTTTGGGGATTTCCTGATTGAAAACACACCCATGTTGCTTGCTTGCCCCGAACATGGTTTGAACGCAGGGGTTCCAGCCATTTCGGAAAGCAAACCACGTTGCTTTTTGTTTTCCTCTTTTTCTTTTTTTAGATACCGGGGGCCCTTATGAATTGGCGAGATTGCATGCGCACCCCTCTAAATTCATCCACAAGCAAAAGGGTGAAAACAATTTAGCCCTCTACCAACATAGAACTAACCTGAAGGCCTCCCATGTTTCCACATGTTTTCCACATCCTTACATGTTCTAAATCTAACTCATAAACAATAACTCTTAACACCATCACCAGACCAGATTGTCACAATCTGCGCCCCAAGATCTGTGGCTTCCTTTTTGTTTCCATTCAGACCTTAACTTTGCCGAAGAGGGGGGGCCAGTTCCCAAGGCCCTTGCCGGGGGCAAACGCACAGCACCGCTCGTTTTCACGGACCCCTCGGATGCCTGAGCAGCTCCTGCGTTGGACGGTGACCGAAATTCCGATTTTCTTTGAAGGCCCATCGGCCATCGGCCCATGTTTTGGAATCACAAGGCTTCAACCAGGTTTCAACCCCTGGAAATGGTCAAACTTTTTTAGAATCTTGACTAAAAAATCAACAACAACGAAAAACGAACTGGTCGGCTTTGGGCAACTCAATTTGGGTCAACAAACACAACAAAGATGGGCCAGGTGGCATCCCAGCTTTACCAGAGCCTGACCCACCGATTCTCGGCTGAAAGGTGCCACCTGTCTCCAGCAAACCGACTTCCCGATGTGTCCTTTGTTGGGGGACCCCCCAAAAAGGTTGGTGTGCCTTTGGTTTCCGAAAACCACCAACCAAAACAGACCCATTTGGTGGTTTGAATTTCCTCTGACTACCCATGTTTGACACCCCAAAGCCAACAGCAGGCTAAAACCGTTGCCAGTTGCTCATATTGTCATAAGCAGCTACCAAGTAGGCTGAACACAAGTAAACATTGGATTTGTGGTTTGGAGCTTTGGGTGGTTTGCTATTTTGCTCTCAAGAACCAGGGGTTCAACACCATCCAAACCACCAATTCGGAGTTACCCGATAAGCAAACCCCAAAAAGATCCATGGCCGAGGATTTACCTCTCCAAGGCCTTGGATTGCACCGGGAATCCCGCAAAGATGGCCGATGGGAGACCGCTCACATTGCATCTGCGTCCATTTTCCCTATGAAGTTCATAACATATCAACCAGACAAGGAAACTGCCTTTCGGGCACTTCGAATTATGTTCGTTGCAAGTTGCGTGCTCCTTCACATCACCTACATGCTCCTTCACATCACCTAGGTCCTCCAGATTTGAGAGGTTAGAATAAGGGTATCCATTTTTTTTCTGTAGTCTATTTTAGTAGGGGAACCGAATCTCCCAACCAAAAAAGAAACGGTAAAAGTGCACCTAGCTGGGGCACCCGCTAACATATCAACCAAACAGGGATCCTGCCTTTCGGGCACTTCGAATTATGTTCGTTGCAAGTTGTGTGCGAGGGTGCGCGTGTGGGCTCTTGAACATCACCCCGAAAGGAAGGTCATGTTGAGCTGCACAACAAGGGCCTAAATAATTCTAATAGGGGTGTGGGTGACTTTACAGAAATGATTCTAATATATTGATGTAAATACCCATTTATCATTTATATTGAACATAAACTAACAGATAGAATTGACACAATAAGAATCCTCCTTATTGTCTCAATCAGATATTAATTCAACAAGAGAGCAATGCTCGAATTTTTTAAGCCTCTCCCCCAAACTTGCGTTGACTTGAATTGCCAATTCTCCTGCGCAGCTTGGCAGCTGGGATCAATCATGAGCGCTCGCCGCGCTGCTGCCTCGCTCCGAAGACTTCGATTTTCGGACTCTGCAACTCATGCACTGACTTTTGCATTCCTCCCAGATCCCACCTCAAAGAGCAAGGATCGTGGACATGCGGTCGCAATCATTTTACGACTGGAACCTTCATTCATGTGTGAGGTGTTGTTCCCCTGAACGAATTAAGATACTTCCCGAAACTGAGTCAGGGACCCTCCCCCCCAAACAAAAAAACAAATCCCCACAAACGAAGGAACCTTCGGATGCATGACCCCGACTTAGAGTTCCAACTATGGCAAGTGGTTGACAACTCCGGCTAAACCCGCCATTCTTCTACTCACCTCTCCCTTGCAAGTCTAGGTCCTCCAGTGGAGAGGTTAGAATAAGGGTACCAACTTTTTTCAAAAAAAAAGAGCAAAAGGGCACTACTGGGGGACCTAGAAGTTCACATTGAACCCAAAAAATGGTCTCCCCAAAGTGCGTCAAGCCGACGGTCCTGAGGTTCACACTACTTTTCCACGTCAGGTAAGTGGCTTGCAAAAACGGCCACTATTGTGGCACAACAAGGATTGCCGACAGAAAAACCGTGGGTATAACCTACTTTCCTGACGTGGATTCCACCAAAAAGCACCATTCGCTTCCAGGAGAACTCGCGGCGACTTCCCGCGCAACAAAATCAAGGAACGCTTATTTCTCATGAGATGGCTACAAAGGTTTCTGTTTCTCCAAGGTCTCGCTTTCACGCCCGGCTCCCTACATGCTCCTTCACCTTACCTAGGTCCTCCAGATTTCAAAAGTTAGAATAAGGGCACCCACTTTTTTCTGTAGTCTATTTTAGGCGAACCGAATCTCCCAACCAAACAAGGAACGGTGAAAGGGCACTTGGGGACCTAGTCACCCAAAAAAGCCACTCTCACCTCCCGCCCAAAGGCGACATCCACGGAGCCCCTGGCGCCTCCGCCTCCGCCTCCGCGCCGCCGGCGCGGCTCAGCGCGGCCTTCTGCGCCAGCAGCGCCGCGCGCAGAGGCGCCGCCGCCGCGAGGGGCTGACCGGGACCCGGGCAGCGGGTGGGAAGACAGCACAGGTACCAAGCCATTTCGGGTGTGGCTGAAGTTGTGCCATCTTTCTAGGGGTTGATTCCGAGTCCATCCTTTTGAACCATCGTTCTTGTCGCCAAAAAAAACATCGTTTTCGCTGGGTTTCTGGGGGGTTTTCTAGAAAGAAGGTTTCCTGGAAAGAATGGGAAGGTACCCCTAGAATCTTCCCAAGCAAATGGCTGGTCAACCTATGGCTGGACATAATGAACACCGTTCCCAGAGCTGAGCTTCGAGCGTTTGTTGAGGTCCTTGTGAAAACAGGCGGTTGCTGCAAGGTCGCAACTGATGCTAAGCTTGTTGCCGGTGGTTGGAACAAGTTGTCAAAGAAAACGCTTGGGAAGGCGGCCCACGCTGATTTGTGGAGTAAAGTTTTGGGTTATCGGGACAAGCAGGTTGAGGTCTACAAGATCAAGCCCCACCAGCAACGGGACTGGTTTCTTGCCCAGACGCTTGGGGTTGCTGATAAAAGGGCAGCTGGCGTTGAACCCACGCAGAAGGCTGCCGCCAACGAGTGGATTTGCGGAAGGGCTTGGAGGTTGAATGCTTGGCTGTTGCCGAGGGTGAGGTTTTGGCTTGAGCATAAATGGCCCAAGGAAGAGGCTGGAAACGGCCCAGACAGGCTTACAAAGCAGGCCCTTGAGAGCTATGTTGGGCACCAATGGGTTGAAAAGGGCAAAAACTTGACCTGCTTGAAGTGCGGAGATGCCATTAAGTACTACCACAAGCTCGAAGTGATGCAAACGTCCCTTCTTACCCCCTGTTCTAACTGGAGGTGGTGGTGCTGTTGCTGAGGCAGGTGGTCCTGCACCCCCATATCCATTTCACTCACACGGAGGGATGCTGGGCAGAAGTTTTCCTGCCATCAGTGCAGGAGGAGATTCACTGGGGGCCAGGTTAGCTTAAAGCTTGAGCGCCCATGTCGGTGAAGGCTGAAGCCGGCTGCGGCCAAGTTGGCGGACCCAAAAAAAGTCGTCGGTCAACCTATGGTTCTTGGGAAGTGACTACACTTTTGTGCCCCAAAGCGGTCACAGGATTGCCTTTGAACCGCCCAGGAATTTGGGTCTGGGGGTCCAAAATAGGGTAACCCCACAATGGGTTGCCCGATCGGTAAATGGCAAGGCCTACAACTGCGGTACTCCAATTCCTGGTGGTTTTGACCCAAATCCATGTTGGAATTGAGGCCTGAGGCCTCTACCCAAGGAAAACTCTTGGTTGCTGTTGACCCCCCGGCAAAAAGCTTAACTTTTTGGGGGGGGTTCGTGGAAAAAAACACCACTTGATTTCAACCAAGAAGCTAAAGTCTAAAATAGTTTTAACCCAATAGCAGTCAAGAATTGCATCCAGTTCACTGGGCGAGGTTGCGGGTTGAACCTCGAACCGCAACTCCCTCGGCTCGCCTGGCGGTCCAGGCATCGCAGACCAGCATCCACGGAGCCCCCCGGACGCCTCGGGATCCGGAGGCTTTTCGTCCCAGACACCGGGGCTGAGGGGTCCGGCGCACGAATCTCGCCGGCTCTGGGAAATCAGGGAGGCACTCAGGACTACGTGAGCTTTGTCTCCGCCACAATGCCTAAATCCGGCTATTGGGACCTGGCAATCTGTTTGGATCAGGCCACTTGGCGTTCAAGGACCATCAAAAATGAGCTCGTTTTTGCCACGGAGGGCCAAGCTCTGCATGTAAGATGGATAAAGAAACATCAGTATAGTGCCTTGGCCCCATTGAAATGGGCGAGCCGATAGTTGATCCGAGCTGGAAGTGCAAATCCTGTTCCCTGAAGCGGGGTCCATTGACAAGAGGCGACTTGAGATGCAGAAACTGGGATACCAGGATTTATGTAAAACCCATGCCGAGTTGCTTCAAGTTACAGGGTATCTGGGCTTGTCCCAAAGGATTTGAAGGAAAAGGTTGTCCAAAGATGGTCGATTCACTTTGGGCAACTGAGAAAAAAAACTGCTGGCTTCCTTCTTCTTACGTCCCATGAAAAAACATACTCCGAGCAGTGATAGATTCCCTTGAAAACCACCAACAGACACGCGCGATCGCATCAAGTCATGTTCTTGGTGAGACCTGGAGCCTTGCGGAGAGCAGGCCAAGGGACAGAATCTGCGAATTAATAGTGACAGTGTGAGCCTCCATAATGTCTTTGTTAAGGTCACCCGAAACAACAACTTCGCACTTTGGCTTACAAGCTTTGGTAAACAGCGTCTTCCACTTTACACAGAAACTACACAAAACGCACTCAGGTTCGTCTGTGGTCCATAGTGGCCTGAAACAATGCATTTTAGACTCAATTTTCGTAAGCCGAGAGGTCCATCCTTTAAGGAATGCCTCCCTGCGTCGAATTGCATGCTTGAGTTTCATCCTGGGGTTAGTGCCAAGTACCTTTTTGAGCAGCGGGGAAGACAAAGCAAAAAAGTCCAAAGGTACGGCTTCAATAAGAAAGCGCTTGAGCAAATCAGTAGCTTTAGTAACGATCAGGTTGAAGACAATAACATCCCAGTTTCCAAACACAAGCGGCTGAGGCAGGTCAGCACCCGGGAGAAGAGCACCCCGGCATTTAACCAACACCCATCTACGCTGCCGCAGGTGCTGAAAGTGGGCGTGAAACCTCCAATTGATGATCCCATCATTAATGTCCTGCAGAGTAACATGTAATTTGCGTGTGTCTGATCCATTCAAGAAATAATCCGTGTTGAGATCGACAATCAAATCCAGGGCGATGTTGAGCCCACCAACAAAACATGTCAAAAGTATTCCTTTCAGCAAATGGAAGGTTGAAAGTTGTTTTCCTTTTGCGCAAAAAAACCACATATTCTCAAGCCAATGCAAGTGTTCCTTTTGCTTTCCCAACAAGAAACCACATAAACAAACCACCGAAACCCCGAACAACACCAGCTTCTTCGTAGGCAAACGGAAGTTTTCCCTTTGCTTTCCCAGGCAAAGACCACCTAACGGAAACCCGGGGCCCGGAGCGACGCCAAGAACTCCCCCGCAGTGCGGCGAGTCAAGGCGCAGGGCGTCCGCCGCCTCGGCGATGCTCTGCATGGTCTCAAGCAGCGGCGCGCAGGCCCTGGGAACTTGAGTGATGTGGCGGTTGTCAAAACCGCTTTGGTTGATCCCAGTTTGGTTGGTAGGTGAATTCACCCATTTTAGAACCGATTTTTTAAATGGGGATTGGGATGTTCACTGGGATTTTGGGGGATTTGTGCACCACCCATGGTATTATTGAAATACTATTTGTTGTATAATGATTTACAATCATGATCATTGTATTAAAATATTATCCCATTTGGGTTGGTAGGTGACCACCCATTTTAGAACCTATTTCTTAAATGGGGATTGGTTGATGTTCACTGGGGGATTTTGGTTGGTAGGTGATGCAGTCCAAGAATTTTCCCTGTGCCCTACTTGCTGTGGGTCAAAACCAATGGTGGTAGGTGACCACCATGGTATTATTGAAATACTATTTGTTGTATAATTACTTACAATCATGATCATTGTATTAAACTATTATCCCATTTGGGTTGGTAGGTGACCACCCAGTTTAGAACCTATTTCTTAAATGGGGATTGGTTGATGTTCACTGGGGGATTTTGGGGTAGGTGATGCAGTCCAAGAATATTCCCTGTGCCCTACTTGCTCTACACTTGGCTGTGGGTCAAAACCAACGGTGGTAGGTGACCACCCATTTTAGACCCTATTTCTTAAATGGGGATTGGTGGATGTTTACTGGGGGCTAACCGGGCTTTTGACCCATGGCCATGTGTGAAACGTGAACCTGACCTTAGAAGTCCTGGACCGCTTTCTTTTTCCTGATAAAGGGATGCCCACACATTCCAACTTGCGGGTCTGAGTTCCCATGGACTTGGTTGCGAAAGTTGGAGTCCCATGGATTTCCCATAGATGGACTTAGGCCCCAACTCGGTGGCGAAATCTGAGTTGAGGTACCCCTTGTTGTTTGTGGGGTTCTAAGGGAAACCAAACGGAAAACCGAAGCCATTGTGAGGGTTCCCTCAAAATAGACCTGGTACCCTCACCAATTAACACATGGAACCTGACGATTGAAATGTCCTGGAAGACCATGTTCCTTTTACTTAAAGGCCCTGTCAGGTTGCGCTTTAATTTGTGGGAAGGGATCCGATACCCTTTTGGGTTCCTTGTGGGAAAGCTAAACGTATGGGCTTTATTTAGCACCCAGATTGAGGTCGTTCGTGTTGCAACTCAACTCGACAGCGTCGAGAAGCAACTTTACTAAAACTTATAGAATGTCTTGCTCTCAACAATCATGGAAGTGGACAACGGCCCTTTAAAGATGATCTTAGTGCTGCAAAACTATTCCTGCACACTTCCCTGGTTGTCGACAAGGGGGTACGAGCCACCACAATGTCAACATGGCTCAAATGAAATACAGAAACGAAAGCTATTTCCACTCCTTCAATGCTCCTAGATAATGTGCCAGCTCAGTCGTGCTCATTTTGACTTGCCCATTTAAGTTGCATATTTATGGGCTATCGACATTCGTCTGGGTCTTGTTGGACGTTGGTTCACTTGCAAGGGCATCAGTTCTGGTAAATACGCCGCTTCCCTTTGGCTTTTCTCGTCCGGTGGAACCTTCTTCAAAGCCGCTGGCCAAAACCCAAAGGGTGAGGAAACACATTCTCACCACGCCTCTTTCACATGAATCCTCAGGTAAACATGATGTGCTACAATGGAGTGGGCGACGTGGCTTCAACTGGATCCATGTTTGCATCATCAAAGTCATAGCCAACACGTACTTTGTTGCTCGGACTTTGATACTCGGCAAATGAACGCGGAGCCCAACACGGGGGTGGTTAACCCGAAAGAGGTGTCCTCTGGAAGCTTCATTTGTTTCCATGCCCAGGTTCAGTTGAGCGTGGGTCAACCCCTGCCAACCTCCAATCAATCCTGGCCCTCGCGGATGTCACTTAGTGAAGGGGGATCAATTTCGAAGCTGCCGCGAGCAGTTTCGCTGGACTCAGGGTGGGTGTATGGATACTCGTTTTTGGGTTGGCCAGGCTTGTGGGTGTAGGGTTTAGGGCTTGGGTTGGATTCCGGTGAGTTCAGGGCCGGTTCTTGTTTGTGACTTTCCCGGCGTTCAAAAAGAAAAGCCGCACGCGTTCCAAAAACGAGGCGCTTCCTGAGCATGCAAAAGGGCAAGCCTTTCTGCGAAATCTTGCGAGCCACGATGGATCCCATGCCTCGGAGGATCCCAACCCCTTCACTTTGTCGCTCCTCATGCCCTTCGCTCCGGAACGGGCACATGCCCAGTAGAAAGTGGCTTGCTAGCCCAAGTAACTTAGCATTCGGAATCGGTATGAGCAAGGCCTGCCATATCAAAAAAGCTTTGCCTTTGAATGTGACACCAAATGTCAACAGGGAGGGCAAACGGTACCCGGCTTGTGTCAACCCATGTTTTAATGTTGACCCCGGATTAATAAACCCCTGGTTGATTAATAGGGGGGTGTCCCGTTTGAGTGCGGATTCATCACTTTTGGAGGGAACACCCCCCTAATAATGGTACAGGTTTATTAATCCTGGGTCTTTACCTGTTTCACATATCTGTTCCCGAACCGTCCAGCCTTAGCGCTCGGGATAGGTCGAAGTCTCTGTCAAGCCGCTCCTCCTGAGGCTTCCCCACTGAGCACAAACGCCCCTCTGAGCGCCGACGAGCTTCCCGAAATGGTTGGACCATCGTGGTGCTTTGGTTCGCCTGGAAGCTACCCTGGATTTATTTTCCCGGTTAAACTTCCTTCTTTCCCCGAAACATCACGCATGTTCTGCTTGCGATACACCATGGCACCGGAGATAGACACTTACAAGAGAGGAACCAAGGTCATCAGGTTGGAAGCCACAATGTAAGTCTTGCTTCGGGAGCCGCCGGAGTTTTACACCCCCGTGTGTGTGTGTGTGTGTGTGCCTCTTTTTGTTTTGTTCTTAAGTTGCTACAGCCTCAACAAGGGCTTCATTTCACTTCATAAGGGCTTATTTGGGCTCCCTTCCCCCCCACCCCCGCCCCCTTTCTCCCCCGCCCCCCCTCCCCAGCCTCACCCAGCCCCCATGAAAACCTCTTTTGCCTCACCCCACACTCCTCCCACCAGCCTCGCCTCCCAGCGGTGGAGCTGCAAGGCGCGCCTCGCCACCGTCCCGGCATCCTCGAAGCGCTTCTGCGCCAAGAAGCACCGCGCCTGGAGCCGCGGCTTCTTGGCGCAAGAGACGCGCGCCAAGTGGCGAGAGAGCGCGCGCGTGGATTTTGAGGGCGGCAGAATGGGTGGCTCGTCATTTTTGGGAGTTACCACTTTTGTTGGTGGATTTTGAAGGCGAAGTTAGCAGGAACACCGTTTATGAAGTTCAACCAAGCGGTTTATGAGTGTATGGGGGGGTGGGGGGTTCCCATATGTGGGCGGCTTCCCCACTAAACCCAAAAACCCTGCGGATGCATGAAATCCCAGACCGCACGAAATGAATCCATGGGAATGTAAAACCATGACGCTGGTTGGTATTTACAGGGGGATCGAATCATCCCAGCATTTCTAAGGATTTCCTCCATCCACAGTAGTTCCAACCCAAACATGCGCAATAGGGAACCTTGTTGAGTAGATTGCAAATGTTTTGAGGACACAAGGTTCGATCCCTCCACAAACGGAAGTATAAGAGTCCTGGCTTGGGGTCGGCCCATGTTCCATGACGCGAGGCTGTTGACCTTGGCAAAATTTGTGGAATGAGCCCCCCACAAATACCAGGTTTTCCCTAGACAACATGCAAGAAAATGGGTTGGCCACTCTATTCCCCCAGCTGCGAACCCCCAACTACAAATAGTCTAGCAACAATTTGTCAGTTGCACATGTGAGCTTGTCCCTAAAAGCGAAATATGGGAACCCCCAAATCAAAGGGTGTTCCATTTGTTTTTCCTTCAAACCATCCGAGAGGTTCCTTCCAAAAAGGCACGTGCGTTGAGGGGGGACCTTCTTTTGCAGCAGGGACACAGAGTTTATGATCAAACCGTGGCCAGCAGAACAGGGTTGAACCTGTGAGTCAACACCGATCGGTACTAACATCGTCTACCCAGAACCATGCTTCAAGAACTTAAAAGGCGGATTGCCGCACCCATTTAGGCAAGGATTTGTCCGTTACCCTCCAGTTACCCGGGTTTGGGATTGTGACTATGGGAAGCAAACGGCTCGAAGGGAGCTGGGATGGCTTGAGGAAACCCCCCAAAAAAGGGGTCCATTTCGGTGTGTCTTTCTTTAGAGGACCAAAAAGCAGGGGTACCCTCAACAGAACACATCCGCTCTTTTGGCAACCGACCTTTGGGTCGGTTCAGGTACTGTTCCTGTTGACCCAAATTGGATGAGGAGAATCCTTAGGTGAAAATGGTGGTTTTATTGAAAATGAGAATCCTTAGGAGAATCCTTAGGTGAAAATGAGGAGAATCAATAGAATCCTTGGGTTATATTAACCCCATTGTTTGAATGGTGGTTTAAACTCCAGGGAGTTGCTTGATCAGTTTTCGCTTCTTCAAACATCTTCTTTTGCGATGCTTTCATGCTCACCGCTTCATAACATGGGCAACTTTAAGAGTATTACTTCCAGGCCATCAGTTTTCATAGCCAGTAAGTCGGACCCGGGTCCGTTTGCCTTAAACCAAAAGGACGCTGAAGTCCCAGGGGCATTGAAGCTCGGCTTCGCCCGCAAGAGGTGAAGCTCTTGGAGGAAACTTCCTACATTTGGCTGTGGGTCAAAACCAATGGTACCATTTTGGGGAAGGTGCACCACCTCCCACAAGAGCACCCTCTCTACCAACATGGCACCTGGCAGGGACCCGGTCTCTCCAAGAGGAAACGTGGGAGGAAGGGCACCAATTGAGCCACAATCAAAGCCTGGGGAGATGAAGGTTGGTACGGGGCAGTGCGGAATTCCGCCTTTCGATTTCCTTATGCACGGATTTGGGTAGACCATTGTAATCTTGATGGTGCTCAGCAGGGAATGAGGGAATGACCCCTGTAGACCATCCAACTGGCGGTCTCCTTTCAGGGCATCTCCAGGTTCATTCCATTTCCCGTTCCCCACTTATCGCACCAGCAAGTAATGCCAGGTTTTGATCGTCACTCAATTGGGTGTGGCTCAAAATGAAAGGGCTAGGGCCAACTGCAGGGTTTAGTCTTTGGTTCCATTTGCAAAGGTGCCATGTTGGTACATTGATTTGAGCCAAGGAAGTCTTAAAAGGCCCATGCACCTGGAGGCGCGCAATGGGCACCGCGTGGATCAGCCGCCAGTTCTGGTAAAACGGCTGACTTTTACTAGTTGACATTTTGTAACCATGCGTGACATCACCGTACATGGGCTTCCTCCACCAATTGCCAGGGTGGGTCCTTCGCCGCAGACTGGTTGACACGGGTTTGGGCTACATATCTGAGGTAAAAAATAACAAAAAACCAAGAAACAATCCATGGTGCTTGAGAGTCATGGAAGCCGACAAAGCCTACGTAGGAACAGAGTCCTCCGGAAACGGAAAGCGTCAAAGAAGATGCCTGGAATTTACATGGGCCCTTCCTGAGCACGCTCATGTATGCAACATTTGTTGCTATTTGTTGCTGATCCGAATTCAATTCCCCCATGTATCGCGACCCTTTTGAGATCCACTCTCGGGCCGATGATGATGTGATTCCGATTCCTTGAATCAGAACCCCTAGTTGCGTTGCTGGTGCGATAGGCAGGGAATAAGGGAATGACCCCTATAAACCTTCCAACTTGTGGCTTCCTTTAAGGGGACCCCTGGGTTCATTCCCTCGTTCCCTACTAAGCACCAACAAGTTGATTCAACAGGGCGCGCAACCCAATGGATGGCAAGGGTGCGAAGGCACCTGACAGACACGCCGTGCGACACTTCCTTCATGCTCTTAGAACGGGGTCCCCTACTTTTTGGTGTCATTTCTTTTCGCGAAGTGGAGTTCCCACACGGCAGAAACAAGGCGTTTTGTTTTTCCCCCCTCCGCACTCCTCGCCTGCAGCAGGTGAACGGACAGGAGCTGCTCTGCCACTTTCTTGATTGCGCCTCGCTCCTGAAGCCCAAGCGCCCCAGGGCCTGGGAATAAACCCCTTCGAAAGTTCTTAGAAACCCGCAAAAAGCCGAGCGTTTTCCTAATGCGAAAGATGCTGGGAATGAAAAGTGGAATGACCCTTATGAACCATCCAACTGGTGGTTTTCTTTGAGGGGACCCTCAGGTTCATTCCAACTCATTACCTACTTCTCGCACCAGCAAGAGTTATTGAACCTTCCTGGAGACTCAAGGCAAAGACCCGTCGGTCCTCAGCCTCAGCACGTTGCCGCTCCAAATGCAGAGAAGCGCCCTCGGCACAGACTTGCATCTGCCTGGCCAGGAACAAATACTCCGAACTTGGTAATGTTGACCCAGGATCTAAGTAGAACCCGTCCCATTATTAGGGGCTCCCTCCAAAAGTGGTCTAAATCCAACCACTAAAAGGGGACACCCCCCGATCAAAATCAACCAGGGGTTTATTAATCCGGGGTCAACATTATCCATTCAATCTGGTGACTTCCAACTTCCCCCTCTATTCCAATGAGTTCGAAATTCCCCACCACCCCCGGTTTTTCTATATCGCCGGCAGTGGTGATGCTGGTGGGTTACACGACGAGGGCCTCAAGACTTTGGAGCTGTGGACAGTTCCAACATGGGAATGTCTGGAGCAAGAAATTATCTATCCTTCTTTTGGCTTCCCTCCTCGTTGTTTCCGGAAAAGCATGTGCTGCTCAGCGCAGACTCGAAACAATTCGACCTTGTAGGGCCCGCGTACGCACGAGCCGGTTAAATGTGTATACTACTGGGTTTATTCTGTGGATGGACAAAATCCTGCACCACGTTGAGACCATGGGAAACCAGTGTTTGTTTGTATTTTTACTGGAACATCATCAATGCAGGAAATCTTAGATGGTCCCGGATTTCGTCCATCCACAGTAGGTCTTCCCTTGTTCTACAACTCATTTCTATCATTGCGTTCATCCTTTCTCGAGGCTTTGGCGGGTTAACTGCTACGTCGTTTGATTTGGACGAGGGGCCTTGCCGTAAGAACGCTCACCGATCGCCGCCAATGCTTTGAGCTAAATTTTCTATGGTCGATCCTTCTTCCCCCAGCGCTCCAACCAAGGAACTGTTATACATGCGTGGCTTACGAAAAGTGTCCGGGCCCCTGGAATTTCTCGTAGAATGGTTCAGCCAAATGCGCGTCTCATTTTTTTAGGCGACCCCCCAAAACGGTGGTTCTCCTTTGGGCTTCCATCTAAAACCCGCCGAACAAAAACCCCGGCCTGAGCATCATTGGGCCTTCATCGGAGGGGTGAAAAAGCTCCAGTGGAAGGGGGTTGAACCCCGTGCGCGGCGCCTTTGGAGTTCCCGAGAATCATATGGATGGAATCCTGGGCCACTTTGGAACCATGGTTGAAACCATGGATGGTTGGTATTTACGTTGGGCAGCCATTCTAGGGTTCCTTAGGTGCGAAATGGGATTTTGGAACCATCCACAGTAGGGCAGCCAAAGGAAAAGACGGTGCTCCCGAGCCCGCCTGAAGTCCCCTCGCGCGCAAGCAGCTTCCGCCTCTTTGAGCAAGCGCTTGACCTCTGCACCCTGGCGCCAAAGTGCCGACCGTGTGCGCCCGCAGATCCCCTGCTGAAAGTTTTACTTTAGTGGATTCAATGGGAAACCCCACTAAACACTAAAAAGCTAAGAAGCTAAGGGGATGGCTCCCAGCCACCAAATGAAGTTCAGGCGCCATCCGGCGTTGATTTTGAAGGAGAGGGGTTGGAGGTCAGGAGGCATGGGTTGGATGCTAACAAACTTTCGCAAGACTTCCACTTGTGTTTCACAAATCGGAGGAAACGATTTTCTTAGTCCTTTGCCTCCACCCTACCCCCACCCAAAAAAAAGCCGCCGAGTTGAGTTTTCGGATTTTACCCCTGGACGGGCCCAACCTCTTTCAAGGGTCCCGGGTCCAAAGGCTTCAGGGCGGTGCTCCCAACCCCATGCGCAGTCCCCGTCCTGTGCCGCCACGCACATGCAGAACCACCAAAGATCCAACTGCCTCCATTTTGGATGTCCTTTAAAACCAACAGGGAAAAACAAGAAACAACTTAAGCTAATGGAAGAGTGCTATCCTATGTCCAGTGAAAGCCGACTGGAAGGTTTTGGGACAACTGTCCTTGTGGGGAACTGCCCTGTCTTCGTAAAGCACATTAACTCAGACTCACATGCCCAGTGGGTTTCCGTGGGGAAGAAAAATCGGCATCCAGTTTTGGTTGCTTGAGTTTAAAGGGGACGTCCTTCCCAAAAAAGAAACCGGCAAAAGGGGGCGGAATCCACTGTGCCACGGAGCAAAAAGGTGACTGAGATTTGGCTTTCGGCCAACTGCCTTTCTCCCAGATGGCTTCCAAATGCACCCTTTGCACAATGGGCATGTACGGTATGTGGTGCATTTGCCGTGAGGCTCAATAACTACAATGCACACCTATCGTGACTCAATTCTAAAAGTACTCCAAACCCCCATCCTTCTTGTTGTGCTGGTGGTAGCTTTGGGGTAGCGCTTTGGAAGTCTTAGACACCTTGCTGATCGAAGGTGACGAACCCAAACTTAGCGAAAAGAAGGTACCCAATTCTCTGTATAAGAGAAATTTAGGTGCAAAAACTTCACCTACTTTCCATGGCAGCGCCTGACCGCGGAAAACCCTTTAGAAAACAGCGGTGGCTGGGGGATTAACACACACACACACCAACTCGAGAGGGTCGACTGGCTTCGAGAAACTCGAATGTTGTTTAAGGCCCCCTGCACGTGATTGGATTTTCGGAATGTTGCTTTCCAAGTCCATTCAACTGTTCTGCCCTCCTGCAAATTCACATGGAACTTGTTGTCTCCTGTTCAGAGGAATCTCATGTCGGGATCAAATCGTGCAACTGGAACAACCTCTGCTGACATCTCTTAACTTGTAGATTGAGCCTCCAAGCAGTGATGTTCGGAATGGTGGGATCAAGAATCCGTAGTTGCACACCAGTACAACAAGGGACCCACTACCATCTGGAAGAAGAATGAAAGAACTGATTTTGAACAACCCAAGAGGAAACGAGTCTTCAAAAAAGGGGCCTGGACACCAAACGGTTGGTACCTGTCAAGTTTAAACATCTAAGCCTCCCACATCCGTACCACAAAACACAAATAGATACAAGCAATTTGTTTTACATGTAGTCTACCCTACTGTGGATGGACGAACTCCAATTTCGCACCACTTTGAACCATGTTTGAAACCATTTGTAGGTATTTTCAGGGAATCGAATCAGAAATCAGGGTTTCTGAACGTTGATGCGAGAAGCAGGGTTTGCAGCCATCCGCAGTATGTAAAATCGGTTTAATCTTAGGACTTGATTAATAAATCCCCCCGGAATAACGACTTTTTCTCGCCCCGGGCCAGAAAAAATCCAATACTTATTTTTAATTAGCCAATACATAGTTTAGTCTTGGTGCCCCAGTTGACACAAGAAATCCCCCCGGAATAATAACTTTTCCGAGGCCAGAACTCCCAAAATTCGAATACTAGTTTTAATCTCCCCAATACTAATTGCAATTCAAACCCGGTGGCCAAGCAAACAAACACAAGGTTTCTTGGACTCCAGCACTGCCTCCCCCACATCAAAGCAACCCCCCTACAACTATGCTCCTGCACGCTTTAGCTACCAGAAAAATCATTCCTGCACTGTCATACTACAGTCCTCTTCATGCACACTACCCCCTACAATAATAAAACCCCCTCAGAATAAATGCCATCTACAAACCAGAATTCCACAAAAAAACTGCACCTTCAATTTAATTTTAAATTGCCCTTCACTTTTCTTCTTTCTTGTCTCTCTGCCTTCCCATCCCCCCCTCCCCCCTTCCACCCCCCCCACAATTTGGACCCAGGCTTGTTGTAGGGGGGGGGGGTCCGGGGGGGGGCCCCCCTATTAATCAAGAGCAAAGATTACTCACTTCCTGAGTTGATGGGGCAATCAAAGTGAAAACCTTTGTTTGCCACTGACATGGTCCAAACCCAAAAAGGGTATGAAAAGGTGGGGTTTAAACCACCAAAAGGTGGGGTACAAATAGTTTACCCTTCTGAAAACCACCAAAAAATACTAAAGTCCATGAACTGAAGGAAACGAGCTCTAGTGGGCAAGCGCAGGTTGATCCCACCAGCTTGGCCCCTTACCAACGCGATCCACGCCTCCTCGACCTTCGGCTCCACGATCCTCCGGCCCCGTACCAACTCCACCGTGGCCGTCTCCTCCTCCAAAGTGGCACGAGCGAGGCTGGGTGAAACATATGGGTCTTTGCTCGACTAGGTCCTCGAGTAGAAAGGTTAGAATAAGGATACCCGATTTTATTCTGTAGTCTATTTTAGGAATCCTCCCCCAAAAAAGGGTAAAAGGGCACTACTGGGGGACCTAGCCTTTTTGGGTGGGTTTAAAGGGAAAGCAACAACGGATTGACTCGATGTCACACACCTGAAGCAGAAATGCAGGTCATGGCAAGGTCGCTGGCCGCCTTTCCAGACCAGCCTGAAGTAGTCCCCATTTACTGCCCTTAACAAGGAACCGAGAAATCCTCAAATTGGAGTCTCCTTTTCAAAACACCCTCCTTAGGTTCCATCCGGGTCTTAAACTAGCCGAAACTCTAAAATTGGTGATTCTCAAAAGGGGTACCTTCAGAAGATACCCCCAGCTTGATTCGCAAAGTCTAGGGGCAATGGGTCTGTCTCTTCTTGTACCCCTGCTTGGTTGCTTTCAAAGGGAAAGCAAACGGAAAACCGAAGCCGGAGACACCCAATTGGCCGCGGTGTTAGCTCCCTTGGCTCCTCCTCTTTCGCCGGTTTCGCTGGCGCAACCACCTCACGGCTCTGCAAGCGACGCAGGAGCTCCGCCACCTCCTCGCGAAGCGATTTCATGGCTTGGTTGCTGTTGACCCCCCTGCAAAAAGCTGAACTTTTTGGGGGTTTAGTGGAAAACCCCTTGATTTCCCCAAAAGTTAAAGTCTAAAGATCCAACCCAATAGCAGTCAAGATGGAAGCCACATGGCTTCACCTCGAAGCATGGAAGTCGGTCTCACTCATCACGTTTTCGGGGTACACCAAGACCCTGCAGGTTTATGAATCCTAGATTGCATGGGGTTCTCTGTCGAAACTGATGCTCTTGGTCGTCTCCATTCCCCCATTCGAGATGGCTTTCTGTTTTTTCAGGGTACCCCCAAAAAGTAGTGTGTTGATTCCCTTCGGTTTGGCACCAATCAAAAAAGACACCCCCCATTTGAATTGTTCAGGGGTGCCCCAACAAATGGGGCGTGGTGTCCCTTTAGCTTTCCTTTCAACCAACCCAAAGACACCCAAAATTCGGGAGCGCCAACCCCAAAGACGGAGGTTGTCTTGGTTGACGTTGGAACGGGAGCATTTTGTTGTGTTTTTTAGCAGTTCAGTGGTTGGATTTCAACCACTAACCCACAATAAGCAAACATGTAAAAAGTTTGCCAGCAACAACCATGTTGTGGGCTCCTGGTTCTTCGTGTCCAGCTGCTTCACCGCCTCTTCCGCCTCTTCCCGCCGTCCGAGCTCCAGCAGCGCCACAGCTCGCCTGGGGCAGTGGAACCAAAGATGCAGAAGTTGCCGAAGTTATGCTTCTGTGCATTGGTAAAGCATATAAAACGCAACGGTTTTGGGAACTTGCTTGGGGTTGGCTACTCATGGATGCTTTAGATGGGGAAGAAAGACAGCCGAAGCTGTCATTCTTTGTTTTGTTTCCTTTTCCTGGCGGGCTGGTACACCCAGTGGGTCCGTTGACTTGTATAGGTGACCAAGGGAACCACGATTGAAAAACCAAAGGGAAATAGGGCCAAGGTTATCAACGTTACCAACTGCTATAAGGGCCACAGGTATCCACTGGGACAGTTACTGAATGTTACGGATAATTAGTCAACCGCCAATTGCTTCAGGCATACAGAAAGCATTCACCGTGATCTCCTGTGTGAAATCCACTTTCCCTTTACCGCAGGTAAGAATGAACATGCCAACAACAACTGGCCATGGTTCAAAATCCCGGTTAGCCCCCAGTGAACCATCAACCAATCCAACCACTAGGTTCTAAAATGGGTGGTGAATTCACCAATCCCAACCAAAATGGCATCAACCGTTAAACGGTTTTGACCACGACAGCCATCGCCTGAAGATCTTGGAAAAGGAAGCACGCTTTTTCAATGGCCCGAAAGCTGATGCTTGAAGCTGCCGGGGTGGTGCCCCTGAAAACTTTGCAGCACCGCCGTTCGCGAGAAGAGCAGCTTGCCCAAACACAGCTCCAGATAGACAACGAGGAACAATACTCTCATGCCAGCATCAAGGAGCAGGAGCCAAAACCCACTGATTTCTACCACTACGGCTAGAAAGGTTGATAGAGGCCGGAATTGCTTTATCCCTTTTCAACTGGATAGTAGAAACTATTTCAAACTGGCCAGTTTGGGGCTTGGGCGTTGCTGAGATGGAGGCTAAGCAGAAAGGCCCTGTACACGGTTGCTGACCGAAAGGAGGTTGCTAAATCCCCAAAGACCGTGTCAAAGTGTTGGGTGAGCAGCCTTGCTGTGCCCGCAACCAACAATGACATGCGCAGATTCTGGTCCATGGTTATATGTCAACCATCACATCACGGCTGTCAACCAATTTTGACTATGGCTTTCGCTAAGTTGGTATGAATCTAGAATTTCAAAAACTTCTGGTCAAAATACAACTCCCGAAAGTTGTTGACTCTTGGCTGGCAGTGTAGCGGGGGGGGGCAGGGTGAATGTGGCCAAATAGGTGAGACCCTAAACATGGATTTTGGTCTTTCTTTTGGCTTTGAACCTCCAACAAGAGCACCCTCTCTACCAACATGGCACCTGGCAGGGACCCGGTCTCTCCAAGAGGAAACGTGGGAGGAAGGGCACCAATTGAGCCACAATCGAAACCTGGGGAGATGAAAGTTGGTACGCAGGGCGGATTTGGGTAGACCATTTTAACCTTGATGGTGCTCTGCGGGGAATGAGGGAATGACCTGTAGACCATCCCACTGGCGGTCTCCTTTAAGGGCATCTCCAGTTTCCCGCTCCCCACTTATCGCACCAGCAAGTAATGCCAGGTTTTGATTGTCACTAAATTGGGTGTGGCTCAAAATTAAAGAGCTAGGGTTATCTACTGTTACGCAGGCTTTAGTCGTTGGTTCCATTTACCAAGGTGCCATGTTGGGTACCATTTTTGGAGCCACCGTTTCGAAACTTTGCTTTTGCTGGGTTTCCTTCATTTCCCCTTGTGGAACCTCCAACAGCTGCAGCTTCGACGGACACCAGAAATGTCATCAACCCCGGGCCACCATTTGAGCCATTTGGTGGCCTTTCCTGGATGACTCACGACTTGCTTCTCAGTAGGGGTGATGTGACCCCCCCGCCCTGGCCAGGCCCCAACCGACCCCCTACAAAAAGGGCCAGGACCCGCTACCATGCGTACCTTGTGGTTCCCTTATGTGGCCATGGGTCAAAATCAAAATCCCGGTTGGCCCCCAGTGAACATCAACCAATCCAACCACTACAATAGGCTCTAAAATGGGTGGTGAATTCACCTACCCCAAAGCGGGATCCCAAAACGGTTTCGACCCACAGCCATGTCTTTGAGCCACAGATCCCACAAATCCCCAAACCCCCAGATCGCTCCGCGCGCCTGTACCCGGCCTTCGCATGGCCTGGGTCTTCGGCTAGCACCGAGTCTGCGTCTGCCAGCGCCTCCGCCCTACGTGGCGCTCGTCCTTTTTCGGGTAACCCGCCCAAGAACCAAGCACATGGAATTCCTTGGTCTCTCTTTTGGATCACCCCCCCCCCCAGACATCCCCAACAGCACGCGGTGCTCTTTTTAGTGCTCGCGCCACCCTGCAGCCCTCGCAGAACCTCGAGGAACCCTCGTGGAACCCTGGTGGAACCCTCGTGGAACCTTACCTCAGGGCCGCACCGGACCACCCCGGAGCCTATCTGGGCTGAGACCCCAAAGCTTTCAGCTGTTGGGGAAAAAGGAAGTTCTGTTCTTTTCCTTTTTGATATTCCCCCCCCCCAAAAAAATAATAATAAAAAAATCTGAAACAAACACAAACTTTTGGGTCCTCTTGAAGCCACCAGAAAACGGATACCCTCAACAGCCATGCCGGCCCTAGTCACCCAGCGGATCAGCAGATTGGGCAAGCTACCCAGTGGACCCAGCCAAGGGTGGCCAACGCAGCAGCTCACTGAGAGCTCAAAAAGTCAGCTCCCCTTCCGCTGCCAACGCAGAATCGGTGGTGCTCGCTGGCTTGCGAATCTTCCCCAGCCCAATACTTGGCACTTGACTAGGTCCTCCAGTAGACGCAGTAGAGAGGTTAGAATAAGGGTACCTTGTTTTTTCTTCTCTGTAGTCTATTTTAGTAGGGGAACCCTCCCCCAAAAACGAGTAAAGGGGCACTACTGGAAGATCTAGTTGAGTGAAGCCACGTGATTCTTGCAGCCCCCAACGATTAGCCACTTCTCCCAACATCCCGGGCACCGGCCCCAAAACTCGCAACAACTCGCCGGACACAGGGGGGGTTTGGGCGACTGAAAGCGGTCGAGCGGCCAGCGACGGCGTCGCAGGAGCCCTTGGCAGCGGTTCGCGCGCAGCGCCAGCCGCACGTCACGACAGGCGGAGTCTCCTCGAGTCAGCTGAGCTGCGTTCAAGACCCATGGGTATTGGTTCTAGAAAGCATGGTTTGATCATGTTGTTTAGGTCAGAAAGGCTTGAAGCATGGCTTGTTTTTTGAATCATATCATATCACATCCCAATGCCTAAACAACCATCATTTCCCCGCGTAGAGATCCCTATGGCAGGGTGTGCTTGCGCCAACTTCTGAAATGGCAAAATGCGCACCGAGGGCATCTCAACAAGAGCACCAGGCACCTCTGCAGGCAGCCTTCGTTCAGTGACCCTGGACAAAAAAGGGAACCTTTTCTTGGGGAACACCAATTTTAGTGGGGCAACCACCCAACAAAAAGTTGGAAAAAGAATTGGTGCCACTGAACAACTGAGGGGTTGCCGCAGTGCGCAGTGCGCCGAAATTTCCTCAGGTCATCAGGCTTCCTTTGCCTGACGCAAGGGGCACTTTGACCCTCACTCAGCTGCTTTTGCACTGGGCGCCCACGTTTTGATGAGGCCCGGAAACCTAGAAGTCTAGGTCCTCCAGTAGAGAGGTTAGAATCGTATTATACCCGCTATTTTCTTTTTCTGTTGTATATTTTACTAGGGAACCTCCCCCCAAAAAGAAACGGTTTCGGCTCGGTGGCCCGGCGCCCCAGGCTGCTTCACAGCACATCTTTGCCTATCTCTGCGGCCACTGTCTTTCAATGCCTAGATCTCCCATCGCATTTTCCAGAGGCTCTCGTCATTTTCTTCAGCCTAAGGCGCAGATTCAGGTTCTTCTGCGGCTTCCTGATGGTCAAACGCCGGATTGTCTACCTGGTTCACTATCTGGAGCTGGGTTTGGTCATCTCATTGGACTCGGATGGAAAAGATCTCCGTCTCTGCGATCGCCGCGTTTGGCTTTCATCTGGCGTTCAAGATGTTGGTGGAGCTCGTGCGGCTCGTTTTCCTTCTGATCGTCCCTTATTTGATTGTGGCTCAAGTGGTAAGGTCCCTTACTAACCTTCATCTACCCGGGTGTTTGGTTGTGGCTCAAGTGGTAAGGCTCTTTCGCTCGAGTCTCCTGCTGCATCCTCAAGCCACTCCAAGCCGTCGGAGTACTTGGCGATGGCTCCCTGCCAGTGGGTTGGACTCGCAGGGAGATGGGCCCAAAGGGCTCCAGTTCCCCTTCTTCCTTTTAAAACTAATCCAGGAAGGGCATCCCCAAAAAAAGTTCTCAAAAGCCACACGCGCAAAAAGCTTGGCCTGAGTGGGTTTCTATTAACCTTGCGGAACGAAAACATAAAGCGAGCAGGAGTGGTTTTCAGCCGCCGAAAGGCATGAGTAGCAGCCAAAGTCTGAAAGCTGAAGGACGTGGGCAGCAACAGTGAACAAACTAGACCCTCCAAGCGGCGAAGCTGAATTTTGCACGGACTTTTGAGGTGGTCAAGTAGCGAGGTGGCCTTCTTGCGGCAAGCGGCGCTTGCCACTGTGTCCGCTTGATGCGTGTCCGCATGATGAGAACAACCAACGACAAAGACAAGACCAACACGGATGCCAATGATTAGCAACTCCACCAACACCACCAACACCATCAGCAAGCACCACCACCACCACCGCCGCCGCCGCTACCACCACCAGCAGCAGCAGCAGCAACAGCAACAGAAAGAACGAGGATAATAAAAGTAACAAGAACGATAACGATAACAATTACAAGAACCAGAACAGAACACAAACAATAAAAGCAAGAGCAACATCCAAAAAGCAATAACATTAATGATAACAAGAACGATAACTATAACTTACACCAACAACAAGATCAAGAGCAAGAGCAAGACTAATAACAACACTAATAACAAGACTAATAACAAGACTAATAACAATAACCCGAACAAGAAGAATAACAATAAACAAGAAACACAAGAAGAAGAAGAAACAGAAGAAGAAGAAGAAACAGAAGAAGAAGAAGCAGCGGAAGAAGAAGAAGAAGAGGAAGAAGAAGAAGAACAACAACAGCAGTATGCATAAGGTCGACGTCGCCTCGCATTTGTCTCAGTTGCAACGAGCCTGGACTAGGAACCAATGGAAACCCGCATGTGATAGCAACCCGCATGTTCTTCTGTTGGGCCCGGATGTGTTTCTTTGCGGCCCCCACTAAAACTTGTTTACATCGCTATACATTGGACCCTGCCCCCACCCACCAATAGTGGATGATGGACATTCAGATCAACCACCGCTCTGTTTTTTGGGGGGAGGGTCCAAACCATAGAAGCAAACAACTGAATCATCAGAACTGTGACAATCTCTTTTGTCGGCTCTCTGCTTACCAGAAGCAGGTGCGCAGGACCCTACTACAGTGCTTGGGTTGACATGCTTTGTGTTGGGAGCGTAGAAAGGACCTTGTCAACTTGGCCAAGAACACCAGATACAGAAACGCACAACTCAGAAAGCAAATGCGAAGTGCTGGACTCCGGTAAAAAGCACACACACAAAACACAACCTCTTGGCCGAAAATGAGATGGTTGTTTTCCACTCAAATGATCCTTTGGTTGGAAGTAAGTGAAACACCACCACTCAGAATACTCCTTGACAAGGAAACCAAACACACTTGCAATGCCATGTGCTGAAATCAGAACCCAGAAAAGGGTTCCAAGACACCCCTACCACGTGTGGAATTAATGTTCGCACAAACGCGCAAACATCCAAGTATTACACAACACGTCAACATGCAAACAACGATCATCACAACAAGCAAACACCACTGGCCATGGCACAAAGGGATGAAACTTTATCTTGGAAACCCCTTTGGGGGACATCATGAAGATCTCTTTCCACCCACTTCGGCGGCCATTGATTTCAACAAGTCAAACTCACAATCTCGAATATAAGTCTTTTGTTACCCAAACAAATCATTTTGGGGTGCGCCCCATGAAATTAAAGATCCTAGCCTCCGTTTCCTTAGGCCTCCTGGAAAAAATACCCATATTTCCAGTAGTCATGGGTTCCCGTTTAAACCAAGCGGGGAAAATAAACAACATATTCTGAAACGCAATTGGACATCAGCTGCTACTGGAATTCCAAGCTAAAACCCGGAAACCGCCGTTCGGTCAGTCGCGGGAGTCGCCTCCAGCTGACCTTCGGTCAGGAGCTTGTTGCCAGCGGTTTTGCCTCGGTCTGGGGAGCTGCGCCGGTCTGTGCCATGGGTTCGCAGCTTCAGAAGCCGGGTCTTCCCTTCAAAACCGCACACAGTTGGATGGGAATCCCAGGAACCTGCTTGACTTTTGCAGAGTCCGAAACAGAGGGGTCTTTTTGCCGCCTTTTGCAGACAAATGCTCGACCCTCTCGTAGCGAAGGATTCCTTTCGCCCATTTTCTCAGGTGGCAAAAAGACACCCTTGGTCCGAAATGGCAAATCAAGGGACCCAGGAACTGGAGTCTGGAGCGAGGTTGGCGACTCAGAAATTGAATCCTTCGGCTCGGCCCCAAGCAAGAAGGGAAATCTGAACAACCGAACTGTCCACGGCTAGCAACCCAGCTCCGCAAACCACCCGAAAAAACAAAGGGACACCACCATACAATCATTCTGGGCAATATTTCCTGAAGGGTTTGAGGGTGGTGCCCTTTCTTGCTCTCAGCCAGAACAGGAACCTTCTCAATTGGGACCCATTCAAATACCCCCTTGGAACGCCAGAGCTACGCGGAAAAAAAACAAGAACAACAAGAAGGGAAAAAACAATGGGATTTCTCAGCCGCTGGGTTTGGATTGGGACCTTTCCCTAAACGGAGCTGCCCCTGCTAAAAGCGAATACCTTGTGGCTTGAATGGAAACCCAACCACTTTTCCAACTGAAACCAACTAAAAGCCTCTCTGGACCGGATGCCTGGAAACCACGTTTCAGGTCCCATTCGAAAAACAAAACACATAAATCGCCTCCGAGCTTCGGGCAGAACAAGGCTTGCTTCAAGGCCTGCGAAACGAAGGCCGCGGGAAGGACTCGTGCCAGAAGCAACTCAGCATGTGGGTTGAGGCCGTTGAGGCCGTTGAGGCCTTCTGAACACTTCCAGAAAGCCCACACAACCTCGCCGGTCTGTGTCATCCTGCGTTCACAACGGCGCATGTGCGAGCAAAGAACATACCAGATCCTCCATTTGCTTTTTCGAAGCGAGCCCTGAACAAATATAGACATATCTGTCCAATAGTGACATCGATTCCCTGCTAGGTCCTCCAGTACAGAGGTTTGAATAAGGGTACCTTGTTTTGCTGTAGTTTATTTTTGTAGGGGAGCCCTTCCCCCAAAACAGAAACGGTAAAAGGGCACTACTGGGGGACCTAGATTTTAAAACCAACAGGGACAAATAGGAGATATTCTGACTCGGTTGCTTTCTGCTCCCCTGCTAAAAGTTTAACGTTTAGTGGTTTAACACGGAAAACCCATTAGTTGGCAAAAGGTTGAAGTCATGACATGCCTTGGCAAAATGCACCAAAGCTGAAACGCAACTGGAAGCAGCCCTTCGTCTCTCCCCCGGCGCCTCCCCCTGGCTGCGGCGGCGCTGGGCTTGCTCGAGGCCGCTTTGGGCCATGCTGCGCCGAAACTGGGCCTCGAGGTTGCAAACTTCGACCGAAGCTCATGGAGGCTGGGGGGGAGGGGAGCCCACATAAGCCCCCCCAAAAAAAAGCATATTCAGGGCCTAGAAGGGGCTTATTTGGGCTCCTTCCCCCTCCCCTCCCCCCAAACCCCATGAGAAGCGCTATCTCAGGGCCCCTTGAAAAATCTCAGCTCACTTCCTTTGATTGCCAAGCTTGCTGGTGATAGAAGGATCGATACTGGCAACCCTTGATTCACACCTTCCCAGTGATGAATCATGGTTTTCCTAAAAACAGCCTCTACCAGTAGCTATTGCTTGGGGACTAACAAATCAGGAGTCAACATCAACTCGATTGTTTTTGTTCCTTCTCTTCACTCAAGAAACATGAGTTGAGGCTAAGAAATCAGGCATAGGCGTGTTTGGGTGCTTCACAAAACCGGAAGCAATTGGAAATGCAATCTGGCAGGGGGTCCTCTTAGGTTTCTTGACACCACAAACGCTATCAGTTCACACCCTGTTGAGCCGGGAGGGTTGGTCGCAGCCCAAAACCAAGATACTCCTCCCCGATACGCTGCGTTTTTGCTTAGTCTTGGGTTTGGAGATGTTCCGATCCGGTCAGCGCAAAGCATGTCGGTGCCAAATAGCGTTCCTACCTAGGAAACTCTGAAGAAAATCACATTCATGGGGATTCTCAGTTGAACCAAAGTGAGCGCGGTTGCAGTAGTTTGTGCAGAACACAGCTGTGGCAAACTCTTCCCTGATCCACCCCCCAAACCGCAGCCAAATCAACCGCTTGCTCGCACAACTTCCACCTCACTCAGCTGCCCAACACAAGAACAAATCCAGCAAGACACGCAGAGATGCTGTGTGGCCATAAGTTCAGAAACATGCTTCAGGCTTGTTACAGCTGCGCAGGTTACAGTTATGGTCTCAGGGAAACCGAAGGAACCGCATCCAAGGTTCGATCTTGGTCATCTGTCGGAGCTGCGCCTGTTTTCATTGATCCAAGCTTCGCGTGACCAACTCACTTACCGGTTGGGTGGATGAGCCCAACCAAGTCACCAATTTGCCAAAATGGTCCAACTTCCTGAGTGGAGCCCAACAAAAATCACCCCAACTGTCGATCCAAGAACATGGCAACCAAACCTCCCAAAAGTTCAAAGTCTTGGAAGTCAGGGACTGAGCCAACAGCCAACCCAATTGCGTCGCCTTGGCGTTGTCCGGTTGGATCTGCAAAGATGCCTGGGCGTCCGCCAGCGCTTCTTCCTCGGTGCGAAAACCGACGAGTTGCAGGTCTTCCCCGCGTTTCTCATTGGATAAAAAAAAACTCAGGTGATATCCCCAACAGCATGCGGTGCTCTTTGTGCTCGCACCACCCCGCAGCCCTTGCAGAACCTCGTGGAACCCTCGGTGGAACCCTGGTGGAACCCTGGTGGAACCCTCGTGGAACCTCACCTCAGGCCCGCCCTGGACCACCCCAGAGCCTATCTGGGCTGAGACCCCAAAGCTTTCAGCTGTTGGGGAAAAAGAAACGACACCTAGTGCTTTGAAAGGGATACAGGGTTACGACAGCCCAACTTAAGAGGCAAGAACGTAGAACAGCTAACCGAGGTCACTGAGTTCTTCACAAGTTGATCACTTTACAGGTGGGTTCGCAAGCGATCGCCGCTTTCGGAGGGCCTCACAGGGCTGTTCGGTTCTCGGCATGCGCTCGGAACAACTTCCTATTAATAAACTGGGGGTGATTAATAGGGGGTCAACATTACAGCGATATTTTGCATTGATGGCAAGGAGTACTGGCCCATTTGTGTAACAAGAGAGGCAAGTTGTTGGTGCGACATGCCAAGCATGAACATGGCTGCGGCGGGAAGCGCTTCTGCTTTCCACAAATTCTGGCAAGGCGATGATGCTAGCCGATGTGTGTGTCTGTGTGCGTGCGTGCGTGCGTGGGGGCGTGGGGGCCTGGGGGCGTGTGGGCGTGTGTGTGTGTGCGCGCGTGTGTGTGTCTGTGTGTGCGGAGTGACAGAATGCCCTGTCACCACCCTTTCGGTTTCGCAGCAGGGGCGTGCAGCACCTTTGGCATACTGCACGCAATGAAGCTGTTGCCAAAGGTGGGAAGGGTGTCCAGACGTGGACACCTGTACCTGCTTCAGTGATTCTGAAAGTCCTTTTGGCCCCTTGGTTGCGGCGCTGTTTTGTGCTTCTTGTTCTTGCTCGTAACGTGTTCGACACTAGAGGGAAGCCAAGTGCATTGAGAGCCGAAACTCAACATACTCGAGACTTGTCGGTTGTACTCGAGACTCATCAGTTGTACTCGAAAGATTAGCACTCTCCATCTGGAGTTCAAGTGTGTACACCCCATTCGTGGGGAATCCTCGGGTGTACCCATTGTGTGACCCCGGGCCGGCTGTGTCGGAAAATTTGACCTCAACGTGCGTATCATAGAACAGCGGAATTTCACATTTAATCAGGAACGAGGTTTCACTAAAGGGAAGAAAGCCGTCAGTTCATAGTGACGTCTCACCATAGTTGATAGCTGCCGATTTTCATTGCCTACCTTGACCATTGGTTGAACTTGTTGCTCGTATCATTGCGGTTGTCGATTGCTGACTTGTATTTGCTTTGCCTTGTACATTTCGCTCGACCATTGCAGTTGAGGGCCGCTAACTTGCATTTGCATGGATTTGAATATTGTCGGGTCTGATTCTCTCAAGGTGGAAGTGTGCAAATTCCGATCTAGTTGCGTCACCATGTCTCGACGTGATGATCGTGATAGATCCAGG